AACAGTCCAAGGTTGGTAAACAACATCAAAATTACACGTGTATAGCGCATTTCACATCGGGAGGATTTCCCAAAGTGCTGGACAGACAGAATTACGGACCCGAGCTGAGGGTCGGGGTGGGGGAAGGTGGATGGCAGGGGTGGGAAGCAGGGAGATTGAAAACATGCTCGAAGAGGAGGGTCTTGAGGTGGGTCTTGAAGGTGGCGAGAGAGGGGACGAGACAGAGGGATTGCGGGATGGAGTTTCAGAGGGTGGATGCAGAGTGGCAGAAGGCCCGCCTACTGACAGTGGGGCGAGCAAGGCGGGGGACATGAAGCAGGCCGGAACCTGCTGAGCGGAGGGAGTAGACAGGGTGGTAGGGGGTTAGGAGGTTGGAGAGGTAGGTGGTAGCAAGACCGTGGAGGGCTTTGAAGGTGAGGAGCAGGATCTTGAACTGTATCATCTGTGTGATGGGAAGCCAGTGGAGTTGGGAAAGGATGGGGGTGATAGGATCGCGGAGCCTAGTGTGGGAGAGGACACGGGCTGCAGAGTTCTGGATGATCTGCAGCCTGTGGAGGGAAGAGTTGGGGAGGCCAACAAGCAGTGAGTTTGCATAGTTGAGCCTCAATATAGTGAAGGCGTGTATGAGGGTTTCGGCAGCCTGCAGTGTGAGAAGGTGGGGGAAGGCAGAGTGGGTCATGACATAGATGTGGTGCAGAAAGGATAGTTGAGGGTCAAACAAGATCCCAAGGTTCCGGACTGGCTTAGCAAGGTGGAGTGTGCAACCATGGATAGCGATGCTGTCAGCGCCTGAGGTAAGGAGGTGCTGACAGGAGCCAAACAGGAGAGCCTCAGTCTTGTTGACGTTCAACTGAAGAAAGTTAGCTCTCATCCAGGACTTGATGTCTGACAGACATTTTGTCAGCACAGCAGTGATCCTGGAGTCAAGGGTGGAGGCAGAGAAGTAGAGTTGGGTGTCATCCGCATACATGTAGAAGTTGACCCCATGTCTGCAGATGATGTTACCAAGAGGAAGCATATAGATGTTGAAAAGGAGGGGACCAAGGACAGAGCCCTGAGGAATGCCACACAAGACAGTCCGGGGGCTAGAGGAGAAGCCGTTTGAGGAGATGAAGTGCAGGCCGAGTGATAGGTACAATCTGAACAAATCAAGGACAGTGCCGTGGAGGTTGAGGTGAGAGAAGAGGCGGTGGATGAGGACAGAGGGTTGACGGTGTTGAAAGCAGCAGAGGGGTCAAGGAGGACGAGAAGGCAGAGGGAGCCCTGGTCGCAGATGGACAGAATGTGATTTGTCATTTTGACCAGGGAGGTTTCTGTGCTGTTGGCGGCACGGAAGCCCGATTGGAGGGATTTGAGAAGGGGGTGGCGCGAGAGGAAGGAGCAAAGCTGAGAAGCAACAATTCATTCTAGGACCTTGGATAAGGAGGGGATGTTGGAAATGGGGTGGTAGTTAGGGTGTACGAAAGGGTTGATGGGATGGTTTTTTAAGGATAGGAGTGATGACAGCTGTTTTTAAAAGGGTGGGAACAGTACCAGAGGACATGGAGATGTTAACAATGTCAGTGCGTAGAGGGGAAAGGAGGTGGAGCTGGGAGGAAAGGAGAGGGGTAGGGATGGGGTTGAGGGAGCAGGTGGTGGGATTCATACGGGTTATGGTGGTGATGAGAGAGGAGGGGGAGACGGGTTCAAAGGTGTGGAGGGAGGGATGAGTAGGGGCTGGGGTGGGAGGAGGAGATGGGCAGGGGGTAGCAGTTGCAGTGGCAGAGGCAGCTGAGCAGATTCCCTTGACTTTGGATTTGAGGAAGTCCAGCATCGCCTCTCAGTTGGCATTTGAGGTGAGAATGGGCGAGGCATGAGAGGGTGGGCAGAAGAGCCGGTTCATGATGGAGAAGAGGAGCCTGCAGTTGTCCTTAGCTTCCAAGGTTGTCTTGGAGTAGAACGACGATTTAGCGGAGGTGAGGGCGGAGTGGTAGGATTTGACATGGTCCATCCAAATCTACTGATGGACAGTTAGGTTTGATTTAAGCCAGGTGAGCTCAGTGGAACATGCCTGGGCTTTAAGGGAGCGGAGGTGGCTGGAGTACCAAGGTGATTTGCGCAAGTAGGAGATGGTTCAGGAAGAGAGATAGTTTTTGAATTGCAAATTTGAAACTGACCAATATAGATATATTGGTAGGTTAGTGCTATCTAAATTGCTTGGTGCTTGTGCATTGCTTTTTATTAAGATGCCTGGAGCCTTTGTATTTGTTTTATTTCACTGTATTTCTGCTATACTTGTCTTGGAACCAGAAGCAGTGAGGAGTAGAGGTGGGCTGTGAGCGAGAGCTGAGCAGACAGATAGACAGAACGTAATTTGCGTTAGAAAGATTAGGATGCACAACATATGATTCAAGTGTACATTTCCAGTTTTGTGGTCTTGAATTTACTTGGTAAAGTCATTTGTAGTTATATCTGGGCGAATATTAAATATTCATTAAACATCATAAATGAAACTAGATACTTAAAAATGGATGTGATGCCATAGGAGTTACCCATTTGTACCCAGACTGAGTCTGCAGTTAGAATAGACAAATCAATCTCAGATCTCGATAATTTCATTGCATGCTTTCATGAAGATGACCTTCATAGTCTGCTTGGCTGACATCCCATTGCATTACAGGGATGTGCAACACTGCCAGAAGCGGTGGCCTTTAGATCCAAAGCTAAACTGAGGTCCAACTGCACGTGACGTGGGCATTGAGCAGTGCAATTCAAGTTTGAATTTTGTCTTGGTTTGAATTTTAATTGTTTTTATAAATTAGTGATAATTTGTATTGCTTGTGCAATGGCATGAGTCAGTTCTCAATTTTCAAAATCCGGTAAAGTGAAAGATGTTTAGCAAGTGATAACTTCCCATGATTTTTGTCTCACATCAAAAGGGAAAGTTCAACCCATTAAAATGCAATCCATTAAAATGTCAACTGTTGCAAATGTGTATTCATTTAAAACACTAACTTACTAGGGTTGCAACATTTACGTGTCATCAGAGATGGTGGCTAACAACACCAGCTACTGTGTTAACCTTTAAAGAAAAAGAAATAACATTTTTATAGAACCTTATCGAATCAAAATATCTCCCAGTGTTTCTCAGATAATTACTGTTCAAGGCAGGTTTTTTAAGCAAATGCAGCAGCTATTTGCATCACCAAAGTCCCACAAGCAACCATGAAGTGAATGAAGTACAGTATAGATGTATTCAAGATGAAGCTAAACATTCACACAAGAGAGAGGGGAGTAGAAGGATTGGAAGTAAGTAATGGGTGGAGACTCATGTGGAATATAAATACCGTCATGATTTGGTTGGGCCGAGGGCACTGTTTCCATGCTGTGGATTCTTTGTAAGTGAATGATCAATTTATTCAGAGAATTATCACCCAATACACCAGGAGAATTCCCTTTCGGAATAGTCTGATGTGACCTTTAATGTCCACCTGAACAGTCAGATGGGATCTTGGTTTAGGGTCTCATCCAAACGTTTGAGAATCGTGAACTAACAGGATAAGTACTTTATTTTTTTCCCTTATTTTCTTTCCGCCCTACCACTCTAAGTAGTGACTCATAAGCATTGGCAGCCCTGCATTACACAACCTGAAAGTGGTCATTGTTAATCTGCGGAAAAAGGCAACAAGTGTCAGCAGTCTATTATGAGTCCGGGGAGCCTCATGGGAATGAATTCAGATCCTGTTCACACCCGGGGCCCATTTGTTTTTGCACACATGACTGAACAGCAACCAGAAGTGTGAAACATGGTTAATTTTTGCCTTCCTTAGCCCAACAATGCTATTTCTTCTGCTTCAACTGTGGGTTTGTGTTCTAGAAGGAATGAATTGAAAAGAGCTGAAGGGCAAATCATTCTTTTGATCTTACCCCTGAGCCATCAGGTGAGGTTGGTGAGGTCTTTGTATAGATGATTACTGAGTGATTGGGTCAGTGAACTGGAGCACTGAGGCACAGCACAATGAAAGCATTGGGATACTCCACTGAATTCCTGATTTCAGGTGTTCTGCTGTGGACCCATGCTGAATAGAGGCCAGTCATCATCCCTCGAGGTGTAAGGTAGGCTGGAAAGGAAAATTAAATGGAACAATATCTCTAGGCCACTAACTCACTTCTCTTATTAAACTGTGACTCTATGTTAATACAATATGTTACTCTATGTCAGGTCCCACTTTTCTCGTCTACAAGATGAAAACAGAGAATTAGAGCAAGGACATTGGTTTTCACATCAGCAGATGAATGAGAAAAATGACAAAGATCCTGTCTTTTCTTTACTTTCCCTAAATTAACATAGTTTGGCCTTGTTTTAAAGATTTTTTTTCAATGTGAAATGAATGCAAGTTACTGAGGTCTTAATGATGGGCCACCAGTTCTTCAGCTTCATGACTGGCCAGTTAGGTTTGAAGAAAGTAGGTGTACAATGTGTTGAGTATTGTTCTTTCACGAGGACTACAAGGGCAATAACTTTTATATGCATATTTTATTTTAGCTATGGCTTCACTGATGAATAACTACAGTGATTGAATGCAAATAGTATGAGTCTGTAAACTGCTTTCTGAAATTAAATGGGCTTGCTGAGATGTCAGTAAATTCAAGACAGGAAAATAGATAACTATTGGGCAAATAAATCAGTTAAAGGGCACAAGGGATTGAATGGTGTAGGATTCACTTTGCCTTGGAGCTAACTAAATGAACCTCAATAGTCATTTCCAGTCTTGTACAAGGTGACCAAAAATTGTGAAGCCACCCTATTATCTAAAAAAACAAATATCATAATTTGTTTAAGACTTATGAGACATTGTAATTGGTAACCCTGTACTATGCCATTAATGTGTCCAAAGGCATCAGCACAGTATCAGAATGACCAGTGAGGATTGAAGAGGGTATGTGTACAGTGAGTTGTGTACTGTTCTTTTCATAGTGTCCACCCATTGTAATCTTCTGTGTGATTCTTTGCCCCATAGGATGAAGGTATTGTGAAAGAAATAGATATAAGCAACCACGTGAAGGAAGGCTTTGAAAAAGCAGACCCCTCTCAGTTCGAGCTGCTCAAAGTGTTGGGCCAGGGTTCTTATGGGAAGGTAAGTGAACTGCATGAATTAATCTCATTATTAGTCCATTTAAAATGTGAAATTACGTTTTGCTAACCCCATCTTAATATGTCATTCAGTTCCTGGATTTACATTTGCTAAGTGAAATGTCTTTATTTGATTGTCTTCAGTTGCTGTGTGATGCTGCTCTTAAGATATAACTTAGTTATGATTTGTATAATGTAATGTTCATTGGAATTATGGGAAATAATATTCCAGCATTTATATTTGCATATCGTGACTCAGGAATGTAAACAAAACCGAAAATTATCAATGGCTAGAATAGGTTACAGGGGTGGTTGAGGCCACGACATTGGACACATTTTAAGAAATGGCTTGATGTTGCAATGGAAAGAAGGCAAAGAGGATATTTTGGAACACTGAGACCAAATAAGCTGAAGGGAGTCTTCATCTGAATATCTCTTTTGATCATGTGAAGGGACATTGAAGGCATCACAGGGAAGGGTTGTTCTAGCTGAACAACCAGTGGGAAGCTTCCCGGACAATATTCTTAATGGCAAGCTATATGGCTTCAGCTGGTTAAACTCCAGCAGTGTCCCTATGGCACATTCTGGGAATGCCTTAGCCTTGGCTCTTGCCAAGAAGTGCCTTTTACTCTCTGGAATTAGGGAAGCAGGGAACATCACTCCAGGGGGAGCATAAGGATTCCATTCCAGACCTGGGGAAATTTCCAGGTGTAGTTGGCATACATATGGTTTGGATACTCTTAAGCATGAGGATGGGTTTCCAAGACCCAGCTGTTCAAAGAAGAAAATACCATACTACTTTCAAGCACTAACAGAAAGGTATTTCTTTTCTGGAGAGGAAGTCAAGAGCAATGCTTGATTTCAATTTCAAGTGAAATGATTTGTGAATGATGTGATTTATTTCAGTGTCTGTCCCTGTGTTAAAAGTTTGCAACTAAATGAAATTAATTCATAGAGAGATTGACACTTAGTTGAAAAAAGTTTCTCCTTTAATATGATGGAATTGATACTTTATCAGAATGAGAATGGTGCTTCAATAGAATGGAATTTTTAAAAAAATAATGCAGAACTCAGTGTTAAAATTCAGAACTTTTGCTTTCTCATTGGTGAAGATTCATCTTCGACAATTAATTATGATAATTCTTACATTTGATATAGCACCATTCATATCGGGAGGATGTCACAAAACATTTTTGTATCAGAACACTATAAAGTCTGATGATTGTATTTTGTAGGCAAGTATTTGAGTTGCTCCGGAATGTGCTGGGATGGGTTCTTAGCAGACCAAACACCTTTGGGTATCAATTGTAGGCTCATATTATACATCAAATAGCCATTCATTTATTAGGTAAGTATGATTTTTGCTTTCTGCCTTATATTAATAAGTGCCCAAAACCCTCCAAGAGCAAAGTAGATCCTCCTTCAATGAAATCTGTCTCAGATCATTAACAGTAGTATCAATACTGCAGAAACACCAAATCATATCTTCTTAATTTCTCTTAGAGCAGGTGGCTTAATTTAGCGCCCGATGTTCAAATGGCTCTCACTGATCAAACAATTGTCATCCAAACGAATGGTTCATTATTCTTACGACTGCTGCATATTAATCAGGAAAGGATATAGCACTACTTTAGCTGAGTTGGTAGAACTTTCGCCTCTGGTTTATAAGATTGTGGGTTCAAGCCCCATGATGGAACTTGAGCTCTAGGCAGTGTTGTGCCAATGGAGCTCTGCACTGTCCAAAATCCTTTGGATGAAATATTAAACTTGAGGTGCTGTCTGTTCATGGTGAATTGGATGCTTAAATGGGCTTCCCCACACCTTTGATTCAAAAACATCTATCATAAAGATTCCCCAAACCTAGTATTGCATCAATTTTAAAGGTTGCAGATCTTTGTATTTTTTATGGAAAGTTGAAACTCTCCTTTTAAAATATGATATGAAAGGCACCATATAACTGCAATTTTCTGTTGTTCTCCTGGTGTCCTGGCCAATAATTCCCAAATAAAATTGCTATTTCGCTTCATGGCTGTTTGTGGAGCATCTGCTATGTGTAAATTGGCTGTTGGTTTCAACAGGTCATTCCACTTTACAATTTGTACTGTGACACACTTTGATGTGAAAGGTACTATATCAAATTCAAGGATGATTATATTATCACTATAGGGATCACCGCATAGCATTCGGGGGCAGGAACCTTGACTGATGCTGAATCTTACCGCAACATCTTCACCACTGAGATAAAAAGAGAGATAGGTGTTTGGGAAGGAGTACAGTTTGAACCTCATGGAAAACAAATCAAACAAACATTAAAATGCCCCATAGGTTTAGCTTCATCTGAGGGGTGAGAAACCTTATAGTGAATGGAGTGTACTTTTATTGCAATGAAAATCACTTGTGAAGGTTTGGGCCATTTGATCTGATTTTTGCAGAACAACACCATCATTTGTCTTCGCATGAAGCATCACACTATTTCTTAAATGAATCTAGTGTCTGCAAGAACTCTACAAGGTGCCCTCTGATCCATCTCTTACAAGGTTTAAGAACCCTACCTTGCCTAACCATTCCTGACAGGTGGATTCTAGCACTAAATGCAAGAAGTCAGTGAAGAAGGCGAGTCTTCTCTCTCTTCCCCCCCCCCTCCTCAATTTGGGCTGGCTCTCAGGGGAGGGATAGGGCAATTAGCATGGTTAATCATTTCTTGTTTTCAGTGAGCTGCAATACAAAGCTCAAGCTTTTACAAACCCTAAGACCTGATACTGTGCCATTGTGCATGATCAAGTATGTAGACTGGATTCTTGCAAATTGTGTGGACAGCTGTTGCACGAACAAACACGTGGGTGTCCTCACGCTCATTATTGCCCAATTTGTCTCGCAACTCATTAGCATGAGAATAGGTTCAAATTGCACTCATTTCTACACGCCTCCTTCCACACATATATTTATTTGACAGTGGGCCTATCGTTTCTTGGTTCCTTTATTTCCATTATATTTCTGTGCTTTTCCATATAATTGAGCCTAATGGTCTTGCTGAGTTGGCTCTGACAATGAGATGGCCTTTCTACAACAACCATCCCCACTATTGCCAGGGCTCGCCTGCAATACTATCTCGATCCTTTATGTTACTTGGAGTAAATAACTGCATTTAAAGTGAATGGTATTAAAGCATTATCATAGGGGTTTAATATGCATCAATTGCAACTTCTGTTTTATATGGGAAGCTGTTTGATTTTTGAGATTTGCAAAATTCTCAAATCCCAGCAAAGTACGGAAAATAGTCAACTTTCAGGATCTGAAATTCACCACTTTGCGATTCTCTCAAATTAGCACAAGAATCTGGTTTACGAATATTGCAAATTACACCACAAATTGCATTTATACAGTATCTTTTTCATAGAATGAACATCTCATGTTGCTCAACATTTATAATAGTGAGCACTAAAAATGGGAGAACTAAGGAAGTTGAGGGCTTGGCGTAGTGGCTCAAACCTTAGCCACCAATGGAGGGTCGGAGATGGTGAGGAACAAGCATTGGATTGGGATCAGAGGAGCAGAGGGAACTAAGAGCAGGTTTGGAGGAGATTGCACACATAGAGTAGAGCAGGACAGATGATGATCTTCATGTTGATCCTTCTTGAGTTCTGCGAGCCAGAAAAGAGCTAGAGGCTAATGTGGGCGAGAAACTAGACTAGAGTTTTGGATGAATTGGAGATAGACTTCGATGATATACATTTTAATTAAAGATTCAAAACTATTTAACTTTCAAACTGGGGTACATTATTTCCTGGCCTGACATACTGGGGTTAAGTCTGTTCAGATCTGGTGAGCCTAACAGCATCCCATTGTGTACTGTTATACAATACTCCTGTGTTCTGTTAGTTGTCATTTCTCTTATATTGTTGCCACCCGCTTTTAATTTTTGAATATGTTGTTGAGGTTTTGGGTAGGGCAGGGGAGTGGGAGATGAAGTCAGGGAGACAAGTAGATTTTACGCCTTCTCTATTACAGCAGATAATCAAAGTAATGAGAGATCCATGTCCCACTGCACAGCTCTTCCTGTGACCTACATTCTGTATAAAATATTCTGCAATATAAAGAATAAATGGTGCTCAGGAGCATGTGAATTTTCTTTTCGATTCAACTGTCACCTCCCCAGTATGGCATTATTGCTGTGTGAGATTGAGCTGCTGCATTCGCTTACAGTCGCTATACTTCACAGTAAATCATGTGAAGCACTTTGAGGCATCCTCCTGATGTGAAATGTGCTATTACCAATTGCAAGAATTATATATTTTTAACATTTTCTATTGTCAAACATCCATATTTGCTTCTGTGAGTAAGATTGTCAATTGGAGACGTGGACAGTTTTATGCTGAGGCTGGATCTGTAGACTCATTCCATTTAGGATTTTTCAGCCAATAGAGGTTAGACTGGCTCACCCTTTGAACAACGAGGGTATCAGCCTGGCTCATTTGATAGCACTTGTCTTTGAGTCAGAGGGTCCTGGGTTCCAACCCCATGCAGGACTTTGTACTCACAACCTTGGCCAATATTCTAATACAGTGCCTGGGGAGTGCTGCAAGGTTGGAGTTGCCATCCTTCAGTTGAGACATTGAACTGAGGTCTATCTTCCTCAGTAACCTGCCTGTTCAGGTAGACATTAGCGCTCCCATAGCACTACTTGAAAAGAAAAAGGAGATTCTCTCATTATCTTGCCCACAGCCCCTCAGCTAAGTGGTCATTCACATCATGGCTGTTTGTGGGATATTGATGTGTGTAAACTGGCTGCCGCATTCACCTAGAAAATACACAGTCACTTACCTTTGCAACAATCTGTAAAGTGCTTTTAGGTGTCCGTTCGATGTAAAAGAAACAACATATCAAATGGAAGGATAATTATTATATAATGTAGCCTACCATTGCACGCACTTTTGTCTCATAGGAGGGATACATTCAGTTTTCAGTTCTGTACCATGTCTAACAGTGATTCAAGGTACCCAACAACTGAACAACGTACAACAAAAAAAATCCTTAGCAACAGAAAACATCCTGAGAGTCGGTGTGGGAAAGGGCTGTTGTATATGAAATGTATTCTATTCCACTTTTAAGTACTAATTTTTTTCCTGTTCTTCAAAAGGTTTTACAATCCTCCTTTTTTGCTCTCTCTTTAAGGTTTTTCTTGTCAAGAAAATAAAAGGCTCTGATGCTGGTCAGCTGTACGCCATGAAGGTGCTGAAGAAAGCTACTCTGAAGGGTGAGTGCTGTTGAAGAGTTCCAGATTGTGGGTTATTTTGCACAAAATTCCATTCTGAAGTATTTTGTGAAAAGATGGCTATTTTTAACACCAGACCCCCATTGAATGACACTCTTCCTCCTATGAAATATGCATAAGGTACATTATATGCCTTCATGATTTTGTTTAAAAAAAAGATCACATCACTGTGCTTATGTTCTCTTATTGTACTTGAACATCTCACTCCTTTCAATCCTCTCTCTTCTGGGAATTGTTTGGTCAGCTTTGCTACCTGCTCAAAATGGTATTTCACACACTAAAAAACTCAGCAGAATCTGGCTCTGTCTGATGAGTGAATCTGTATTAGTAGTGCCAGTAGAGCTACCATGTTCTCATATAAGGTGCAACGTTATTGATATCTGGTTGACTGATGTTGGAGTATGCTGCAGAGCCATCAAACATAATCTGATTCCAACCAGCTTTCTATGTGTTGAGCTTTCATGCTTGGCCACGTAAGGCAGGCACCAAGTGGATGAGAAAAAACAGTGCACTAGAGTGATTGGTAAAATGCAGGTCACCGCCAACTAGTGCATTGGCAGAGCTCTGACCTCTCAGTTTTCTCAGCTGGGACATGAAGTGGATTCAAGTAGATTTTGCAGAAGGCAAAATGTAATAAATATAATTGATGTTTTCCTCCATGAAAATGAATCACAGTTTAAAAAACAACTGTAGTGACAGAATGCTGAGGCCAGTGGTGGTGGTTCACACACTGAAATGAAAGAAGCAGCGTTGTATAAATCTCAAATCTTTTTGTAGCCTTTCAACAACAACTTGCACTTATATAGCACCCTCCATGCAGGGTAGCATCTCAGAGCGCTTAACAGTGGCTGAGCCTGAGTCCTGTGTATAAGTATATCCCATGTGCGGTGTCCCCGTTGTGTGGGCACAGATTGGTTTGGAATTGGTATTCCAGGGCTTGCTGCTTGAGAAAACATTTCAGAATTTTTGTGGTACAGTCTCATGGTTTCGATCTCTGAGTTCTGGAGAACAACTTAAAACAGCCTCTGAGATAACATTTATTCCATATTAATTACCTGCAGCACAGTATGGCTGCATTGAGTTCACTTTACTCACAGTGGGTCTGTGCTACGAGTTTCCAGTGAACCACAGCATGTGCTTCTCTGAAGATTGTTATCATGCATAGCGCCTCCCGTTACTGAGGAAGATAGAGGACACATGGGAAAATATAGCCGAGCACATCTGCATTCTCCAGCCAGTCACCTCCTATCGTGCAGGTCTATAGGGAGGTTAAAATATGGTCTCACAACATTCAGACAATTACATTTGTTGTGGACTCGGCGGGTGAGTAATGTTGTAATGAGAAGTTACACATATAGTGTTACAATCATACAGTGGGACGTACAGTAGGGATGTTCTTTAAATACTCCTTTACTCATAAGGATGATTACAAACCATTGAGGCCCAATTTTAACCACAGAAGTTTGGACAGTTTTTGTGTTCAAGAAATTTGACCCAAAAATTCCCTAGACAAACTCAGTGATATTCTTTCTCTGCCTCTGCTGTTTTGACTAACCATCCTCTGTTAAATTAATCATTCATGTCTTGGATGTTGTTTGGACTTTGCTATCTGAAAGTTGTCTGACATGTTTCCCCACAAGAACACAGCTATTGCACTTTGCTGAAGACTCAGTGAAGTGCTTTGAGGTGTGTCACCATCACAAGGAACTGTATGAAATGCAAGATTTATTTATTATAGCCATTAAAATGTGAAATATTTGATAACTATTATATTTGAAGGTTTTGTTCTGCGTTTCATCTCTCAATCCCATTTTAGCATCTTATATAAGTCTAAAATTCCTTTTGAGATGTCTCATTTCAGGGGTGAAAAATTCTAGTTTATCATCCATTCCTCGCAGCTCACCCCTCTAACACTATAGATCAGCCTTGTAGCTCTGTTCTCCTCTGCATTTCCTATAGTCTGGGCAGTCTTCTTATGTTGCAGTAGTCACAATTGTATGCAATCTTCCAATTGTGGCCTAACCAGAGAAATAAGCAGCTCAAATATGATTGCATTGGAACTGAACTGATTTTTCAATGTAGTCCAGCAACCTGTTTGCCTTATTTATTACATTTCGGATGCACTTCTTACTGGTCTGCAGCTGAAACAAAATCCAACCAACAATACCAAACCTTGCTTGCCATCAACCCACCTGTCTCCTTGCCTCTAATGAATCAACTTTAAGGTCTTCACTTTCACCTATAAATCCCTTCATGCTCTAGCACTTCCCTATCACTGTGATCTGGTCTGCTAACACAGACTTACTATTATACCCTGCCCCCTCCATGCCTCTTTGGTGGCTAAGCCTTCAACAGTGCCCTCCATCTAGCCCTCTATCTTGCCCCCTCCTAACCTGTCTTTAAATTCCATCTCAAGCCTACTTCTTTGACCACAATTACAGTCCCTCCCTCCCTCCTTCCTTCCCTGCTTGGCATCCAACACAGTGCCTGTGAAGTGCTCTTGAGACGTTACTGTATATAAAGGACGCTATTTCAACTTCTCCCTTAGTAATTTTGTTGTCATCCACTCGTCCCCTCATTTTACTTCATTATTACTTAATGCACTAATGCAATTATCTGCATCTGGTATCTCTACCTACTCTGATCCTTCATACCTTGTTTTGTTCACGCTTCAAATCCAAAAGATTTGTTTCAAGCAAGCGACTAGACTATCTTTTGAATGAAAATGCAAAGGGCAAGCCACAAAATATCCCATTATACAGTTCAGATGTACTTCAGACTGTTTTCACCATGGATTAATCAGAAACACTTTTATCAATATGAAATGATTAATCCTAGAACAGGCAGCTCCTCACTGTCACTTTACCCTTGGGATCTCTTCCCTCTCCTGTTTTCTTCTAGTGAATTTTTTTGGCCTGTGTTAAAATTCTTCAATTGAAAGCACAAGATTAAATAGAGAAGTTCAAAGGCTTCACTCTTGTTATGTCTGCTACAATTTTGCAAAAATTCCTCTCCCATTTTCAAAGAGTTTTGAACCTTCGACTCATTTGCAGCTTTCACTGCTGTTCCAGCATCCTTCAGCAGAAATCAGATTCCTCAGATCTGTGTTGCTTAGGATTGTCAGCAAGCGCAGAGCATTCTTATGAACTGCTTGGCTTGTTATTTATTTGAATACACTGGGCTCTAATTTGCAAGATTCACCAAATAATTTAGAAATGGCAGAAGATGTCTGCCTATGTCTTAGACTGACCCAAACTGACTCGCCAACTTCATAAAAGTAAAGCCTGAGATTGGTATCTAAAGAGTCCAGAGGGTCACCGGAGATGCAACCAGGTACCTGAAGGATTCGCTATTTACAATTCCTTTTGCTGATCTTTCTGTTAAAACCCTAGTGTTACACCAGATTTCCTGTTTACAAATTGTTTCATTAATCTTTTCAGATTAACCCTGATGGTATTGTTTTGGGATGTTCAGTAATTTCTCTTCTCATGCTGGAATAACGAAAGTTTTTTGCATGGGAGTTCTTATTTTAGTGCATTACTGTGTGCAGATTGGCTAATGCATTAACCTACAAATATACAGCCTAAGGCTAAGACTGGATGGAATTTAAGGTCTCAAATTGGGAACCTTGGCTACTGGTTTGCATGATTTAATACAGTAACACTCAAGCAATGAAGTTATTCTCTGACTATTGGCAGAGCCTAAGGTACAGAACTAAGCAGTACACTGAGATAGGAGCTGCATTGTATTGTAGTAGTAATAATAATAATCCTCGCATTTAATACAGTGGCTTATCAGGGCATTGAGACATCTCAAAGCGCTTCACAGAATATATTGAAAAGTGTATTTCGTGCGCAAAATGCGACAGCCAGTTACACACAGCAATATCCCAGAAACCGCCATGGAGTGAGTGACCAATTTTACTTTGGGGAATTGTTGGTCAGGACAACAGGAGAAATGCCCTTTTCTATTTAACTGGTGCCATGGGATCTTTAACGTCCACCTGAACAGGTATATGGGACCTCAGTTTAATATCTCATCCGAAGGTTGGCAACTCCGACAGTGCAACACTACCCCAGCATTGCATTGGAGTGTCAGCTTAGACCATGTAATCCCAAATCCCAACATGGGGCTTGTACTCACAACCTTCAAGTGCTCTGAGACTCTACCCTGCATAAGGGATGCTATATAAATGTAAGTTGTTGTTGTTCTTACTCAGTGGTGAGAATGCTATCACTGGGTCAGGCTGACACACAATGTCATTGCAATATTAACGTGTAGATTTGATAATTCTCATTGAATTAAAATGTTTCACCTTGCTGTATATGCACAATAAAGTATCAAAGATGGGGGAGGAGGGAGAGGGTTGAAAACCTATCTACTCATATCGGTGATGCTTTAATCCTGCCCTCTATCTTCTACCTCCAGCTCACTGTTGAGCATTTTGAAACATTTTGCCAAAGCGAAAGGCGCTATCTGAGTTGTATTGTATGAGGCCATAACTTGCATGAAGGATGCATTTTTCAATTAATTTCTTTGAACGAGAATTCCAAAGATGAAAGACTTAGTCATCCCTTTTTGTTCTGCCTTGTTAAAATAAAAGGCAGGATGAGTAATACATGCTTATTTATTCAATAACAGTCCCAAAGGCTTGATTGTATAGCATGCTGGAAGTTAAGTGCAGTGCAGATGATTCTCTGCCTTTGATTCCATGCTGCGCATTATCATCAGTCAGTCAATTAGGTACTTACACCAGCCTCTTTTAGTTAACAAACCGTAGAATAAGCAGCAAGCGATAGAATCTGTAATGGCCAGTATTATACAGGGATAGCAACAACTTCCAGCACTTACAGAATGTAGCCTTTGTGGCTCTAAATAAATAAGCTGAATTCTGCAGTTAATCAAATAAAAAATCTTTCTTTTTTGAGTAGGGACTATTGCTGATTGATTTTAAGTCAAATCTCTAGCAGTAAAACTGAACCCGAAAGCCTTGATTGAGATACCATGAAAGAATGAGTCTTGCCATTTTTTAAAAAAAGCAAAAAAATGATATCAGAACTTTGCAGTTCATTTTCTGGATTTTTAAAATGTGCACCTTAGTCTGTGTGAGGAATATTTCCAGTTACTGGTGTTGAATGGAAAACTGAGGCTGTTAGTGTGAGGGAGGTTCATTTCATTTTACATGCTTAAATGTTGAGTCAGCCCTGGATAAAAATTATTCTATTTTTACTGACTAACTCACAGTCTGCCTCACTGACTCATATAAAGTAGTCCCATGGAAATGCCATCAGCATACACCATTTAAACAACGAAATACACAATGAATAGAACAAAGAACAGGTCTGTACTAATTATAATATAGTGTACCTGATAACTAAAAAGTGCCCTGATAATGAGATTCATAAGCTCTACTACACTGTCTCTGAGCACACACTATCCTCTGTGAAAGAGGATATAATTGCAAGTTGTTGTCTCTGAGCTGATGAGACTGATGTGTGTCCTTTTCTTTTGTATGAATAGCAATCATCATAGATCTGTTAAGATAGACAATGGAGTTGCATTAATGGTGACAAAATAGTGTGTATGGCGGGAAAGGATAGGTTGAAATTCACAGTGATAGTGGGCAACAAAGCAATTTTAAATATCAGGTCAAGAGGAAAAGAGAGAGAATTACTTAGGCAAATAAAAAGAGTTGGAGTAAATTATTATGTGCAGATCAAAGGGATTAGTGTATTGCAGATGGATAGTACAAGGATAAGGAAATGGGAGGTGTTTCAGTACCAGTAATTTCTATAACATGAAGTGACTGTGTATTTATAGGCTGCTGCAAATCTCTACAAAATCAGTTCTGGCAGCAGAAAGGAGTGAAGGTCCCCAGAGAGGTTGTGACATACTTCCCATTACCAGAAGGAAATTGTCTGCATAAACTGAAATTCTTTTTTAGAGGAATTCGTTTTTAAATAATCCTTATTAAGGAATTCTATTGTTAAAATACCGCAAATTAAACTCTGTAATGTGCAAAGCAGAGGACTAGGACAAATACAGTATTTGAGTTACTATCAGTCTTTGTTTCGGAGTCAGGGGATGGTTGGTTCAAGCTCCTTGTTGGGACTTGAATTCACAATTATAATATCTCAGCTGACACATCCAATGCAGTGCTGGGAGTTGCGTGGCATTGTCAGAGGTGCTGTCCTTCGGATGAAAGGTGAAACGTTAAAAGTCCTGTGACATGATTCAAAAAGAGAAGAGACTTTCTCCCAGTGTTCTGGCCAACAATCCCCCTAATGAAATAGGGTATTCATTTCAAGGCTGTTTTTGGGACATTGCGATGTCCAAATATGCTGCCTCGTTTGCCCACAAATACACAGTCATGGTAAATTCTGTGAAATGCTTGGATCATCCTCCAAACATGAAAAGTGGTATACCAAATGCAAGGATTATTACTAGTTCAGTAGTATTAGTTGTTAACTGACATCCTCCACAACTGGTCATAGATTGCAATTGGGAAAACATTGAGCTCTGATGCATTATGATTTGATGGTTTTTTCAGTGTTCGTTGTACAGTTACAGTCATGGTAGCTCATTCCTGGCTCTGTAGCCCCATAATGCTGGTGCTAAACACACAGTTCAGATGGGGGCTGTAATTGGATTAAGTATCTAAATTGGTTGTTTCAGACTAACAATTGACCTTAATCACAAGGGATGGAGAAGGTCCTGTGTGACGCATATTTTTCTTGTACATCTGGAAACCAAGTGCAGATGAGGAACACAACAGCAAAGCTTCTGCATGTGCATTAATTGTCACTATATTTTGTGGAGTCCTGTAGCTCAGTGGTTAGAGCACTCGCTTTGCAAACGAGAGACCTGAGTTCAATTCCAGGCAGAGGGCGAAACCTTGGGCAAGTTTCCTTACTCTACACGCCTAATAATAATCCCTCCAAAAACAATAATAAATTGGTCATTTTCAATCTACGACTGTTTGTGGGACATTGCTGTACGCAATTGGCTGCCGCGATCGCCCACAAATATACAGTCAATTCACTTTACAGTGTGTTCTGTGAAGCGCTTTGGGACATCCTCCCGATGTGAAAAGCGCTATATCAAATGCAAGGATTATTATTATTATCCATGTGTACATCACCTAATAGTTGAGCATAACACTTCCTTACATGGGAAAGTTATTTATTCATATAATCTATACCGGAACTCTATAATGAACAATGCTTTTGAATAAGTTCTATATCCCAATGTATATATTGCAGAAATCCAAACTGTCAAATATAATGGCTGTTTTCATAGGCAAATGGAGCAGCCACTTTGCACACAGCAAGATCCCACAAATGCTGTTAAAACAAATGACCAACTAATCTGGAGGATTGTTGGCCAGGGCACCAGGAGAAATCCCTTTTTGTTTGAATAGTGCATTAGAGTTATGTGGTATATAATGTCCACCTAAAGGCAGGCAGTTGAAGGTGAGACCTTAATTATTATTATGCAGAGTTAATCATAGTCGTAACCATAAAAATAACAGTAATTCTTACATTTGATATAGCGCCTTTCACATCGGGAGGCTGTGTCAAAGTGTTTCATAGGATATGTTGTAAAGAGCAGTGACTGCATACTTTGTGGGTGAACGTAGAAGCCAATTTGTGCGCAGCAACAGTCATGAAGTGAATCACAAATTTTATTTGGGGGACAAAAAAAACTCCCTTTTTTTGAGTAGTGCCATTAGATCTTTAACACCCACTTGAATAGGGAAGCAGGACCTCAGTTTAACTTCTCATTCGAGTGACAGCACCTACAAATATACAACGAACCCCCAGCACTGTATTCAAGTGTCAGCATAAGCTTTGTCAGTTCCATTATTAGAAACACAATTCCTTTGACAAATGCAGCACTACCCCAATACTGCACTGAAGTGTCAGCCAAGCCTGGAGCTCAAATTCAACTTATTTTCTTAATCTTTATTAACACAAACTATGATCTTCATGGAACATAGACAGACCAGTGAGCTGTTGTGTGTTTGTGCAGTGGGGTTAGGGGGTTAAAAACCCAGCTGACAGAGTGAAACGGGACAGGTTGGATTGGGCCTCCATGGGTGATCTTGCAGGGTCACCAAAATCTTGATGTCTTTTCTCTATCATAACCAAGTTGATCACTGTTACAGGTACAACTGTTACTGGCGGTTAGAGACGAGCCTGGAAAATGCAGCTAATTTCTGCTCTTTTATCCCACCTACTGGCTGGGAAGAGATTAGCTTCAGTGCTCCAATCAATGAGTGCTACATTAAGCCTCCAGTTGATCAGAACAACAGCAATAATCAATATAATTTAACATATGTTCTTCAAGCTGAAATTCCCCAAAAGCTTCCTTCTGATGGCTAATGTGCAATGAAGCTCTGGGGAGCTATATTTAATACAGGCACGTATTTCAAAGTTATTTTGACCCTTTTTTTGGTTTTCGTTCACAACAACCCTAGTCAATTGGGATGGAGAAGCTTTTCAGTGTGAATATGTCTCATGTTTTCACCATCTGGCCATAGTCCCAGCCTCATTTGCTTTACAGTGATTTTGTAAACCAGATTATGCGCTACTTGCTCAGCATGAATCTTAACACAGTATTTAAACAGCTCACTAAGTATAAATTAATTCACAGTGCAGAATCTGATTGATACCAGGGAAGCTTGTCATTCTGTGGAGCATAGGTCGATTACAGACTAATGCTAATTGTACAATTTAGTTTTCTGTGTCAAGCCTCCCATGAGAAACCCATAAGCGAGAGAAATCAAAGACCCCAATTTTCTCATGGGCATTGTCTTAAAATGTAAGCTTACAAATTTATGTGGAATTTTGGAAAAGTCTTAAATTCAGTTTTAATTTGGAAGCCAGTTTTACGAATAATCCGAAAAGTTCTATGTCCCAATGTATATATTGCAGAAATCCAAACAGTTTAATGTTAGCAGAAAGATGGCTTCCAAATTAAGACTCAATTTAGGAATGTTCCAAAGTTTTACCTCATGTTAAATTTGAAGACAACAGGATTTAATAGTAAAACGTGAGACTTTGGGCCCCTGAACAAAATGAAAAAGTTTTGAATCAGGTCCTGAGTTTAGAACCCTAGTTAAAAATCACCTCTGAATATGTTTTTCTACATTCATTGGTTCACACATTGTGCATCCTTGGGTGTCCTCCTCCAGTGTCCTCTTTATAAAATCTGTCATTAGCTTTTCAAACATAAGAATGATATCTGATTCACTGAGGTGGAAAGGCTCAGAGGATATTGGCGAGATGACTCCAGTACTTAAAAATGCTAAGTTGTGGAGATAATTGATGTAATTACTCTTTTCTCATTGAAGATAAAAATTTGAGAGTGGACATAATCCGTTTCACACACAAATACAGTCAATCCGCTTTAGAATATATTCCGTGAAGCGCTTTGAGATGTCTCAGCGACGTGATAATCAAATGCAAGCATTATTATTATCATCATCGATATTTTGAAAGATGAGGCTACAGATGTTGATATGAACACCCTGTTTTTAATCACAGATTATGTGAAGAGAAGGTATGTTTTATTATAATAATCTTAATTAAAATATAATAATTTGTAAGTGAGCAGAAGAAACGGACCCCCACCTAAAACAGTGATTATTTTGTGCCTCTGAGATGGAGAGGGGAAATACGAACTCTTAATCTGCTTGCAATATCTGGATTGGAACAGACCCGAGGATCTTCAGAATGCCAATAAAGCTTTGCTTTATTAGATTTTATTCATGAGGCATGGAATCATTTCAACCAGAAAATACCATGGTCCTCAATGTAGAGAGGTACCACGACTGGAGAGGAAATGCTGTTAATTGAGTGTTTCTTTCTTGCCTCAACAGTGCGTGATCGAGTCAGATCCAAAATGGAACGTGACATTTTAGCGGAAGTGAATCATCCCTTTATAGTAAAGTTGCACTATGGTAAGTTGTACTTTTCATTCTGACTTGCTATTACCACTATTGGTAAATTAGTGCTAATAGGAAATGGTAACCCTACCACTATCAGGTTTAAAAAGTTAACATTTTAACAGCCAAGGAGCAGATTCTTACAGAATAAGGAATCAAACTAGTCAGACTTAGAAATGTGTGTACAGTAACAGACATCTGAACTTTAGCTCAGTTTGGTGACTCTACCCTTAGTGAGGGGTGCTATGTAAATGGAAGTTGTTGTTGTTGTCTTATCCTTGTCTGTAACTTGCAGAAATTGTGTGCAGCATTTATACAGAATGGACAGTCTGCTGCCTTTTTCCCAATCAATCCAATTATACTGGGACATGAGGGGAGACCTAATAGAGGTCTGAAATTATAAGGGATTTGGATGGAATAAAGACGGAAAAATTATTGTGGGCTGGCCGGTTCTTGAAAGAGAAAGAGAGAAAGAGAGAGAGAGAGAAAAAGAAAGAACACCTGAGCAGGCATTGAACAATGAACATTAACCTTGTTAACCAGCAGCATTCTTGGAACTGTACCTCAGTAAGAAGAACCAGGGGGCTAGGAGAAGAGGCACATGCCAGATGCCAATGGTGAAATGCGAAATCAGAGCAATAATTGGACATGCTAAAATTCTTTTGTAAAAATTGTTCTTGAATTTATTGCCTGTGTATTGATCCTGAGTGAACTGAGATGAGACTCCTCAATTTTCTTTCTGTTTCTTCTCCAGCATTTCAGACCGAGGGGAAATTGTATCTCATCTTAGATTTTCTAAGAGGTGGTGATCTTTTTACAAGACTATCCAAAGAGGTAGGTGGCATAATTTTCTTGGTGTTCAATGCAAAGAGATCTGCATTTCATTGATAATAGGATCCATAATATTCACAATAACTTGTAGTCGTGCAATACCTTCCATGTAAAAGAATGTCCTAAAGCACTTGACAAGTATGAAGTTGAATGGACAAAGTGATATCTTCCAGTGTTGTCATGCAAACCCATTTCTGGAACACTTGTGGGTTGTTTAAATGCAGTGACCTCTTCCAACATGTAGAGCTTGTTACTATTTATAAAGATTGTTCCAGGTTTAGCTGAGTTAACCAGACTGCAGAAAGGGTCTACATTCCATGTGATTTTCAATCGGAACATGAGAATGCATGGAACAGGAAAAGTGCATTTTTGTCCATCAAATCTCTTATCATTACAATGGATTTTTCTGAGTGTACAGAGCAGGAGCTTTACATCGCTGTGAATATGAGTTATATTGACTCGAGAGAAGCCCAAATGGGGTGTCGGTTTCAATGTTTCCTATAGATTCTGGTGCATCCTTTTTGTGTGGGTCACTGATTTTTTTTAAAAAAGAAAGTGGCAGACAGTGAAGGTTTTGAGCACAAGTGGTAAAATCAGTGACTCGGAGGTCTGAAATTCCACCTAGCCTGTAAGATAGTTTTGTCTTAAAATGTAATATCATGCAGAATTATAGAAAATTCTTCAATCTCATCTTGACTCAAAAGCCTTTCATTGTTAAGAACTTTAGAAGAATGTCTTGCAAAATAACTCTGAATTGAAGAATTTTTCACAATTTAAGAGAATAAGGTAGGGTTTAGTATAAGCTGTACATGTTTGTGGAAGGCATGTCTTGATCGGCCGAATAGGCTTTTCCTGTTTCATGTCTACTTATGTATGTGTCACAGGATGAATTGGGGCGTATCTCTTAGATGGATATCGGCAGAATTTCCTTTGTTGGGCCATTGTATACATTTCCTAGTTTACATTCCAAAATGCAATACAGTAATTTCAAACATCCTTCAGCATGCTCTTCTTCATCTGTACAGTGCTATTTCCCCTTGAAGGTAAAATCCATAGCATAATTAGAAGCTTTTTCAGATACTGGTTGCAGTTAAGAAATGTTGCTTTTCTTTGTATATTCTTCCAGTTCTTTACATTTAACTTTTAAAATGCACAGATCAATTTTGCAGATGCCTTGTGGATTGTGGTGATTGTGAGAACTGTGAAGAGCTACCATTTTTTCTGGGATTTACTCAAAGTGAAGCATTTACATGAAGGATCGAATGTTCATCAAATCTAGTAGCATTTTGAAGCACTTAACATGTATTATTACTGCCTCCAGACTTTGTTTGAGTTTATCATTTAAAGAGAAGCCGTTTTAGATTCTGCCTTTGATTTGGTATTTGGAATCGCAAAGCTGACATGGTAACTTTCTCCCTCTGACAGGTGATGTTTACAGAAGAAGATGTGAAATTCTATTTAGCTGAGCTGGCCTTGGCTTTAGATCACCTCCACGGCCTTGGAATAATTTACAGGGACTTGAAACCAGAAAAGTAAGACGATGTCTATAAATATTGTTTCGAAAGACCATATAAAATATGGAAACTATTTTAAATTGCAACACTGAAAGTAATAAAATGACCAATATTGTGCATGCTGGAAAGATTCCTCAGCCTATTGATTTTATAGGACAGTCCATAGAGGTGGATCTCTTTTGTTACCTTTATTAGATTCACAGGATTACAAAATATTTACAACTCAGGAGGCCTTTTGGTTTATTGTGTCTGTTGTTGCTACAGCAAATTACACTTATGTAGCACCTTTCTCACATTGGGTGAATGTCTCAACATGCTTTACTGTAACATGAGTGGGAGCCCGAACTGGAAGGTGGTGGTTATGTTGGAAGGGGGGGTGAGGGGGTGTTCGAAAGCACAGTCAAAGAGCGTTTTCAGGTGGTCTTTAAAAGCAGAAGAAAGGAGTGAGGCACTGGGATCTCAGGAGAGCTACAGAGGAGGGGGCAAAGTAGCTGAAGGCTCGTAGGGTGGAGTGGGCAGGAGAGGACATGAAGCAGGCTGGAGTTGGTGGAATGAAGGAGAAACATTCATATTTAAATGTATTGATGCTAGCATCTGCTGTGCTTGTTGGGTATTCTAGTCTGATGTATAGGGTTCTCGTAACACTGGTCTGTGATCTGGCTGGAGCACTGTGTGTAGTTTATTTTCATTATACTGCAAAACTAAGTGTTGTCAACAACAACAACAAGATTCCATTTATTGAGCGCCTTTCACGTCGGGAGGACGTCCCAAGAGATTAACGTTAAGATCAGTTTAGAGATAATCACAAAAAGAATTAAAGGTGAGGTTAAAGAAGCAGTTACACAGAGGAACGTAATGTAATATATAAAATGGCATCGGGGAAAAGTCAGGGGAGTGGGATTAAATGTTGGCTCAAGATAGCTAACACAGACTCACGTCCAGATATTCATTATTCTCTGTATGAACTATCCATTCATTGTCTGTATAATAATAATAATCCTTGCATTTGATATAGCGCTTTTCACGTTGGGAGGACGTCCCAAAGCGCTTCACAGAACACACTGTAAAGTGAATTGACTGTATATTTGTGGGCGAACGCGGCAGCCAATTGCGCACAGCAATGTCCCACAAACATTCGTAGATTGAAAATGACCAATTTATTATTGTTTTTGGTTTTGGAGGGATTATTATTAGGCGTGTGGAGTAAGGAAACTTACCCAAGGTTTCGCCCTGCTTGGAATTGAACCCAGGTGTCTCGCTTGCAAAGCGAGTGCTCTAACCACTGAGCTACAGGACTCCACATTTAAATGATATGATTCTTTCGAATGTATTTCTCATCATTATTATCATTATCCTCAGTGCTTTCATGCTTAAATTATACTAAGAGATTATAAGTGAGAGAAGAATATTAACTAACTACATCCAAAATCGAAACACAAATTTATGTATCTTATTTATTCTGACTGAGTGAATTATCTTCTTGTACAATGTCGTTGAACGTTCAGAGGCACTGAACCATCAGCTTGTTGGTATTTGCCTCCAAAATACAGTCACTACTCTCCGCAGGAAATTCTGCCAAGTGGTTTGAGATGTTTTGATAATATAAGGTCAACTTCAAATGCAAACTGCAAGGATTATTATGATTATCATCCTCAACTCCAGGACCACTGCTGTCCTGACAGAATATCTGTCAGACATCAAGGCCTGGATGAGAGCTAACTTTCTCCAGTTGAACGTCAACAAGACTGAGGCCCTCCTGATTGGTTTCGTCAGCACCTCCACACCTCAGACACTGGCAGCATCACCATCCAAGGATGCACACTTCACCTCACTGAGTTAGTCCGGAACCTTGGCGTCTTATTTGACCCTCAAATGTCCTTTCTAACCAATATCCGTGCTATTACCCGCTCCACCTTCCCCTACCTCCGAAATATCGCCCAGTTCTGCCATTGCCTCACCCCTCAGGCCACCGAGACCCTCATCCATGCATTTGTTACATCTCAGCTCAACTATGCAAACTCTCTTTTTGTCGGCCTGCCCACCTCTTTCCTACACAAGTCGCAGATCATTCAAAATTCTGCAGCTCGTGTCCTCTCTCGCATAAGGCTCCATAACCCTATCAAGTACACCCTCGCCAGGCTCCACTGACTCCCCACCCCACAGATAATAGAGTTCAAAATCCTTGTCCTCGCCTTTAAGGCTCTCGACAGCCTTCTCCTTCCTACCTCTGTGACCTGCTAACCCCATGTCAACCTGTCCGCTCCCTCCGCTTAGCAGGCTCTGAACTGCTACACATCCCCTGTTCGGCCCGTCCCACCATCGGTGGTAAGGCCTTTAGCCTCCCTGCCCCCACCCTTTGGAACTCCATCCCACAGTCCATTCGCCTTGCTCCATCCTTTGCCTCTTTTAAGGCATGTCTCAGGACCCTCCTCTTCGACCGCACCTTCAGCCACCGTGCTACCCCAACCCTCCCTGCCCTCCAATCCCCTGATCCCAACCCTCTGCTTGGATCCAAATCCTTGGTTGTCCAGCACCTTGCAACGTCCTCCTGATGTGAAAGTCGTTATATAACTGTAATTTGTTGTTATTATGTAACGAAATGTGCAGCTGCTTTGATTCTATTTGCAAGAGTAGAAAGAGTCATTCCTGTCTGGGAATTTTCCTCAAGTTTTACCTGACCAGTTAATGACTTTTAAGTGATTGGAAGTGTTCGGTGAAAGGTGGCTGGAGCTGTGGACTTTGGTCAGTGACTATATTTCTTGTTGAAAACGTGAACTGCCTTAAGATGGCTAGTTCCATTTTGCTGATTGAAATGCGGCTGATGGTTAAATGTCTGTCATATCTGGGTGTGCTTTGGTGTCCGCTGCTTTTGATGTCTTATTGCTTATTGATGGTTTGAATTTCAGTGTACTTCTGGATGAAGACGGCCACATCAAGATAACGGGTGAGTACATCATGATGAATTATGCCCACGATGAAAACTAGCAGCTTTAAAATTGAATGTTCAAGCTCCATGCATTGTTTTATTTTGACATTTGACGAGATTTCAGCCTTGTTATAAGTGATTCTTATTGTTCAAGATTTCGGGCTGAGCAAGGAGGCCGTCGACCAAGATAAGAGAGCCTATTCTTTCTGTGGGACGATAGAGTACATGGCCCCTGAAGTAGTTAACCGACGAGGTCACGCACAAAGTGCAGACTGGTGGTCCTTCGGAGTTTTAATGGTACGTGAAATATCTTCTGATATTGGGGGTCAGTTTGTAAAACAGCTTCTCAAGGGCAGGTTCAAAGGCTGGAGTGTTTGGGTGTCTGGCTTAGTAATAATCACTTGTGTCAGGGCAAGTTGCATAAGTGTGTATGGGAGCTGTAAATGAATGCAAATTGATATGTCCCATTGACTCTGTGAGACTGCAAGAAGCATTGAAACCATTCTTCAGTCTGGTTATATTGGCAGGAATTAAATGAAGTTTTAATCCACTTTTCCTTTAATGCATTATATAAAAGCTATAATTTCTTGACTGCCCATTTTCTTTGTCTGTCCAGGACTTGCTTATTGATTTAGCAGAGCATTAGTAGTCTTGACGTTTCTGCTTCAATACAATTCAAACAATTGAAATGAAAGAATCAGGCAGAATAGTTAACTGGCATGGCAAAACAGATACAAAGACTTATCTGCTGCTTATCCTACTCTAAAGTATTTTCTCTTAAGTGGCTTTTATTGAGACAGTTGTGTTAATTATATCAGTATTTTAACTTGAAAGTCTGATTTGTTCCAAGAAATTGAATTTTAAAAATTAGTAGATGTGTGACAACAGTTTAAATGGTCCCCAGAACAGTCATTTTGGTGTCAGCCTGGCTCAGTTGGTGGAATTATCACCTCCGAGTCAGATGGTTGTGGGTTCAAGTCCCGCATTGGGACTCTCATAGTGTAAGATGGCACACCAGGAGTGTCTTTTGAATGACAGTTAAATGTTTATCTCTTTAGGTGGAAATTAAAGATAGTTTTCCTCAAAAAGAAAGGGAGTTTCTCTTGGTGTACTGGCCAACAATCCCACAGATAAAATTGATCATTCACTTCTGGCTGTTTGTGGGATATTGCTATTTGCAAATTGATTGCCATGTTTGCTACAAATAGACAGTTTCTACACTCTACAGTAAATCTTTTGAAGTGCTTTCAGATGTCCTCCAGATGTGAAAGGTGCAATATCAAATGCAAGGATTATTATTTTTTTCTCCGTGAGATTTACATTCAGTGTAATGTCGCCATATGGAACATGCAACAAATAAGCTGTGGGGGAGGGGGTGGAGCTGTACTTGCAGATTCCAGATGGTGCACTTCTATTTTATCATGACGAGCCTGAATTTCTTGTAGTAACTTTGAATGTGGGAGTTTTGCCAACACTGATGTAAGGGAAAACATGACAAAAGCTGCAGCCTTTCCAAATGCTGCAGGGAACTACAAAGGAAAATTGCAGCCAATCAAGAAGAAATTAATTTTGTGTAAAATTGGCCTGTCGTGTTTTATTGCATTCGAATTCAAGACTGAAAAATGTAATTATTCAGTCACGTTAGCGAAAACTATCATTTAATATTATTTCTAAGGCTTAACAGATCTGCAGGTCAAATTGCACTTGACTTCAGACAATGTGTAACCCTGATCACAATATATTTTGGAGTCTGATTTGGGGTATTGTAATTCCTAATGGGATTTCTTGATTTGCACAAATGACAGCTCTTTCTGGTAACTAGAAGGATGTCACACTGACTGCAGCAAGTCCAGTTTGTTTCCAGAGCAGAGATCCTGGTTGATGGCAATTTTGATGGAATTTCTCATCGTAGAATCATAGTCATAGAAATTTAAAGCACAGAAGAAGGTCATTCAGCCATTGAGTCTACACCGGCTATCAGAGAATGGTGTTCTTTAAATCCCACTGCCCTGCTCCATCCCAAATCTCTTCAAGCCTCTATCTGTAGCTCAGTGGTGAGAGCACTCGGGTTCGATTCCCGGTAGGGTGAAACCTTGGGCAAATTTCCTTACTCCATACGCTTGATAATAATCCCTCAAAAAAAATTGGTCAATTCAATCCACGACTGTTTGTGGGACACTGCTGTGTGCAATTGGCTGCTGTATTTTACTCACAAATATACAGTCAATTCACTTTACAGTCTATTCTGTGAAGCGCTTTGAGACATCTAGAAGACGTGAAAAGCACTATATCAAATGCAAAGATTATTATTATTATTATCTTTCATATACCTGTCTACTCCCCTCTTGAAATGGATTCTGCCTCTTACAACTAACAAAGCTGAATCACACCCCAAATGATGTTCACAATAGTCAAACCATCAACAGAAATCACGTTCTCTTGTCAGATCAGTATATGGTAGACACTATTTGTTCTCTATGAAAAGCCACTTGCTACACTTTACTGTAAATCTTGTGAAGTGCTTTGAGATATTTCAACACTGATAATGTGCCATATCAATTGCAAGGATTATTATTCAGGCAAGAGGCATATTTCAAGAACCTTATTTAATATAATAAAGATTATGTTGATTCAGTTGCTCCACGAGTAGCTAAATATGTAGACACAAATTTTCTTGTCAGCTATCTATCGACATACTGATCCAAGCGTTGGAATATTTTGGCAATTCCTGTAGCTCTATGTGATCATCAGCATTCAGTCAGGGTGGCCATAGGCTCGATAATACCAAGACAACCTTGCAACACTTATTGCAGAGCTCTGCTGTCACACAGTCAACTGAGGACCATTTGAGCCAGGGCAGCTGGGTCACCTTCCAGTGACAGAGGATTAAGTATGAAAGTGTTTACCGAGACACAGACGCACACACACAGGAATGGGAAATGGACTGCACGTTATTTGTCAGTGGTGGATTGACATTTTAACTTTGATGAAGACTTTTGACGTGGGTAGCAGGAGTAGTTTGAAGGACTGTTTTAAAATTTTTGATCGAGCTGTCCGGTGAGAGACTACTGAAAGATAGTGCAGCTACTGGGTCATTCACAGCTCTGCACTTGTGACCCTCGGCAGACCTGCTGCTCCACATAAATCTAGTTATCCATTTCCCATCTACTCAGCAATGGATTATTAAAGGAACTGAGATTCAGGACTGTTCTCTCTCCTTTTCGTCCCAATGGTAAGGAAACAGATTTGGGGGGTGGGGGGAAGGGCATTCAAAAGTATCCCCACAAATAGAGGGGTTATATTTAATACCGATTGCTTATGAGGATATCAGCAAAATGTGGCTTTGAGCTGCAGATGGGCAAAGCCTTCAACTTTTACCATCGGGTGAGTTATTAAACTCGTTCAAAGAGTGAGTCACGTAAGTGGGGTTGGCTCTGGACGGACGCATGATAGAATTAGCCCTTTCACATCGTAAATCCAATTCATTGTCAATTACTCAGGCCAAAGCTACATATGTCGTAATGTATGTTTTTGTCTTAATTTATTCCACAGTTTGAGATGTTAACCGGATCACTGCCTTTTCAAGGGAAGGACAGAAAGGAAACCATGGCACTTATCCTCAAGTAAGTCAATTGAAATAGAATGATCATATTCAGACATAGCAGATCCATTAATGCTGCATGAATGCTTGGAGGATTTAGGTGGAGTGTATTGCAGACAACCTATTTTATAGTCACAGGCATTTAACAGTATCCACAGATAGACAGGTTGAGAGACTTGCTCAGAGAGAATGATTTTTTGCATCTGTAGGTGGTTGGTGTTTGATTCGTATACTTGGTGATTATAAATGTAAATCCCAGCACAGTCCACTCTGTTCTGTACAATAAATTTATTTTTTAAACCAAGACATATAGCAGTAATGCTTTAATGCAGAGAGGTTGGACAGAGTAGCACCATGCATTTTCCCTGGGTGTTCTCCATCTCCCACTGTGACTCTGTACCAATGTTTATCTTTCTACTAGATCTAGTTATCCAATATAGTGGTCATAGTTTAAGAGGAGCCTCCGCCAAAGGATGGTCACACTCATAACTGTTCACATAATAACGGATCATGGATCTTGATCACGGATATGTTATCAAGGGAAGGCACTGCGTCGAACTCAGGCATCTCCCTGCAGCGAACAAGCTGGGAGGGAAAATTAGAGGTTGAGTCACTCTTTTGTTCTGTTCAGTCTATTTTGGGGACTTCGTCAATTCAGCAATGAAGATTGTTAAGTGTACATCATTGTGATGCAAACATTATTTGTAAACAAATTGAGAAAGGTTTGTGAAATGCTCCAGTGCTGTGCGTTGTACTGCAATGAATCATTCCATGGGTTTTGTGACAAAAGTGTTGCATTGGCTTTTTTTCTCTCCTCCCCCCGCCCCCCTACCAAAAAAAAAGCACGTTTGTTGGATGTTTTTCATTAAGGCAGTGCTCTTTAAGGTTTTGTAAATTAACCCACCCAATGATTTGGAAGTTTGTTATGAAACTGTTGCTGTTTGTTAGACAGAACTTGAAGAAGATGCTTAGTGATGACGATGTAATTTCAATTTGCCTGACTGCCAATAATCTCAATCCAATTTGCACTGCTTGGTTGTCAACTGAGACACACAGACGTGCTTCAATTCCTGGTCTGTGCAGGGCTAATTGATCTGGACAGAGGTACTGCAGTTGGCTTAGTGTCCTCGGGGTTGAGAATGCAAAATAGTGAATTGGTATTTCTGCTCCTGAACACTGTCCAGTGACAACTCTCCTCCTTTCCCTCGTGGGTTTGTGTGGGCACAGAACAAAGGCAGGATTGGGCTCGACTGCGATATCCCACATCCATACAGCTGCCAGCAAACATTGTCGGGGATCATATTGAAGAATAGCTGTTTGGATGAGACTGTAGGATGCCAAAGCCCTTTGAACCATCACCCAGTTATGTGCCAGAAGAGAAAGTCAGAAGGGAATAGTGGTGGGGGCAGGGGGAGAGAGTTGGGGAAGGAATCTGTTCAGGGAAAAAGCAGCAGGATTTCTATTTTGACAGCGGGTCTAATCTGGTTTGGAAATATCCTGAATTAAACCCCAATTTCCTGTTTGTTTTATTCACTGGGAAATGTTGCTGTGTTGCAGAGCCAAGCTGGGAATGCCACAGTTCTTGAGCCCAGAAGCCCAGAGCCTTTTGCGAGCACTTTTCAAGCGGAATCCTTCCAACAGACTAGGTAGACTTGTTTCACATCTTCTTGAAAACTGTGCACCAAAATTATGAATGCAATTACCAAATCAAGTCTGCTTTATTGCCTGATTTTAATTTATTGTTTTCCTGAGTAACTGGTTTAATTAATTTGTCAAAGGGACTAAAGAATAGATTAACTGCAACACCATGGGCTTGTGAAAGTAATCTGTTACTGTCTCTTGAGATATTAAATGTGATTCTCAGTTATCTTCATATTGGAAGCCTGCGAATAGCATTTAGGGACAGCAATATATTGAGTCTCTGGATTACTTACTGGTCCTTTTTCATTATTATTCTCCCAACACTAAATTACATCATTTGAAATTGTGTCTGCTTCTGCAAGTAGTCTTGTATTCATTAAAATGAAATGTCTCTGTCTTTTTGTCAAAGATTTTTTTTCACTTTTTTTGGTCAGCCTGACACAGGCAGAAATCCATCCCCATGCTTAAGAGTATCCAAACCAAAGTGAGAAATGGTTTGGATACTCTTAAGCATACATTAAAAATGTATCCCACCTACATATGGAAATTCCAGGGATCGATTGTTGGAATAGAAAGTGCACTCTCTCCCTGGAGGGACTCATCCTGCTTACCTTATGCCAGAAACTATTAGGAGCAGGTTGGCCAAGGCTTGGGAACCCCAGAGTGTGCATTGGGGTACCTCTGGAGTGTAACCAGCTAAAACCACATAATTTGACATCGATTTTTTTCATATTGGGCATCTTTGTCGGATCACCCAAGACAGCAATCTTTTCACTATGATTTTATAAATAGAAATCATATTACAGGGTAAAGATGATATAAAGATTTGTTGTAATCAGTTTAAGATAGACATCACCCTTCCTCTTCCATATCTAAATCATGCCGAGAAATTAATTCCAATTTGATACATTAAATGTAACCCCCTATGTTAACTGTGGTGACTGTTCAATATTATTTGTTTCATGTATAAAAATCAGTGTTACTGAAATGCAGCAGAAATTGATAGAAATACAAGCTTCTTGATTACTCATTTTTAATTCTGGTTTCAAGGTGCGGGGCCTGATGGAGTGGAGGAGATCAAGCGTCATCACTTCTTTGGAACTATAGACTGGAATGTAAGTACGTCACCGGCATCTGAAACCTCAGTGGCATGAGTTTTATATTAGTAAGAATGTACAATATTATTATTAATAATAGAGAACTAAGAAATGGAGCAGAATTGATTCACTACTTGGGTTTAGTTTGTCTTCAACAAGAACTTTATATTCTTTGGATGAAATATTATGTTAGTCACTGTGTCTAAATTGATCTCTCATTGGCCAGGCTTGTGAAAGTCATAAATAAGATTGGCATTCTCGTGTGTTACTGTGAGACTCATCTGAATACGTACAGGAATCAGTATTTGTGAATCCTTTACAAATCCTGTAAATTAAATTCCACTTTGCAGGAGTCCAGGGACATTCTCTCTCTAATGGCCTTTTGGAATAATTATGGGGCTTTTTGTCGCTGCTTGTTTGACTTATGAACAAAGGCTTTCATAAATTCCAGCATCAATTGAGCAGCTAAAGAGAAGCTTGACTCCAGGGACATTGACTGACCCAATTACACTATTTTTTATATTACCGCTGGGGCCATTAAGCAGTATAGCTGGAAGATAGGGTCATTTGCTTACCTTCCCATGGGTGTAAATGCATCGATTTGGAATGTGGCAGCTCAAGTTATAACTCTGGTTTACACTTGTCACCCCTTTTACTTTCCTTTCTGGTGGTAAGACTTCAATGAGATCTGCTGCAGATTGCTGCGCAGGCCAAGGCATCCATGCTGCCAATTATATTCTTTGGATGATAGGATCAAAGATTGGCTGAAATGCACACTCAGTAATTCAATGCAATGTTACTTTGTCTGACCTTTGAATAGATTGCTAGTTTGCCAAAACAATCTGTGCATTGCTCAAGGCTCCTGGTCAGCAGGAGTGGCACTAAGGAACTCTTCATTTGAGTCAGCATTAGCATTAAGGCTTGCTTATATACATCCTACCTGACTTAAACAGGGTTATGTTATCTCTTTGCAGAACAGACCTGTAATTCACCAAAACATGATAATGTACCCAGAACAACAAAACACATTCTGATAAATGTAGAATAAAACATGTGGTGCAGTCATTCAGTCAGAATCTTTTCATACCATCATCTACTACAAACATTAGATCAGCCGTGAAAATAGAACTGCTGTATTAAACTAATTTCCGTACATTGATATTTATAGTCTCCATTTTATTCTAAACATGAAAGTTTTCTATTATAGAGTGGGCCTGCTGAGTGCACTAAAAGTGGTATGAAAGGATAATAGAATTGATAAGTTTGCATAATATATTTGTTAATTACTTTGAAATGACTGATGTACATTATCTTTCCGCAGAAGTTATACAGGAAAGAGATCAAACCACCATTTAAACCCGCTGTAGGAAGACCTGAGGACACATTCCACTTTGACCCTGAATTCACGTCAAGAACACCAACTGGTGGGTGTTAGCTTCTGAAGCTTATTGTTAATCATTGTAAATCAGCGCTTTGTAAATCAGCTGCGGAGTTCAGCTACAGAATACACAGTAATCGCTGTTAGTTGTTAGTCCAGCATGGACTAGTTGGGCTGAATGGCTTGATTCCAAACCATGTATTCTATGTTTCTGTGTCATATATTCTATGTAAACTCAGTGGCTCAGTTTAACCTGAAATTTCACCTAGTTCTCAGAACCATAGATATTTACAGCATAGAAGGTGGCAATTCGGCTGATCGTGTCTGCTGACTTTTTAAAGAGCAATCCTTTTAGCCCCATTTACCTGTCCTTTCCCCATACCCCTATAGTCGACTCCTTTTAAGGTGTAATTAAGATCACGCAGACGTATTGAAAATTTTCGAATTCAGTCTTAATTAGGAAGCAGATTTTTTAAACAACTGCAGAAAACCAGCTTCCAAATTAAGATTGAACTTAACAATTTTCCACAATTCTGAGTCACCTTAAATTTTTAGGCAAAATGGTATTTGCTATGTACAGTTGCCATGGTAGGAAAGCACACTGGAAACGTCCAAGTGTCCTGTCTAACAATCCCTCAAATAAAATCGGTCATTCACTTTATGGCTGTATGTGGCACATTCCTGTGTGCAAATTGGCTGCAAGTTTGCCTCCAAAACACACAGTCGCTACACTTTATAGTACAGTTTGAAGCAATTTGAGACATCCTCCTGATGTGAAAGGCCTATATCAAATAATAATAATGATCCTTGCATTTGATATAGCACCTTGTTACTTTGGTGAGATGTCTCAAATGTAAGGCTTTAGCTTTTTAAAGAGCCATTCAATCCCAAGTTGTTTTTCTCATGTATTTTTGCAAATTTGTTATCTAAAACTGCATCTACTACTCAGCCAATAAACATAAGCCTTTAAATACAAAAAGTAAAAATTGAGTCCAAATTGCATACCGATTGATGGAGAGGTTGGTTGCATCTACTTGATGCAATTGTGTTTAATTGAGTTTACAATGGCATTACCTTATGTTACATCTTAGAGTTGGAAACCCACAGATTCATTGTTAAAAGAAGCAACACAGGCCGAGGCACAGAATAAGGCTTGTTCCTCACATGATTGTTGGTGTTTAAATGAAAGGTTCCTCTGTCCTAGAGAACAGCGGTGTTCAGTAAATGAATTGAAATTGTAGCTTTCGAGATAAAGAAAAGCTTTTACTGTATCTGGAAGTCGGGAGGTCAGTAGTCAGGGCTTCAAGGAAATTCTTTATTTGAGGATCTTCAGGACAACAATACTGTTGAATCCTTGAGGAAAACTAATGTCAGTGATCAAAGAGGCGTTTGAATATAATTAGTGCCTGTTATCAGATAAATCCCATTCTTGCCTTGGATGTAGTTCTGTTCCCTTTGTGAAATGATACACTAGCAGTGGGTCTGATTATAACAGCGATCTATTTCCCACTGCTCTGCCAGATACTGCTGTTTTATTTGATGTTCTCTTTCTGCCGAAGGCAAGCCTACAGCTTCAACATATGTTTACATCCCTCTATGTCAGATGTGCACTCGCTCTTGGCCAATAGAGAGATTAATATAAGATGAAGCGTCCTGGCCAACAATCCTCCAGATAAAACTGATCATTCACTTTTAATCAACAACTGGAACAGCTAGCCAGAAAAGGTGGTAGAGGTCAGAAGACTGAACTCGTTTATAAAGCAGCTTCATGTAGTTATGGGGAGATGGTAGGATGGGTGTTCCGCAAGGATGAGATTGAATGGGCTGAAGGGCCTTCTTCATTATATGAGAGATTGCTATGCACAAATTGGCTGCTGCGTTCACCTACGAAACACACAGTCACTACACTTCACAGTAAAACTCGGGTGAAACACTTTGAATCCTCTCAACAAAGTGATAAGTTACTATAATCAAACAAAGGGATTATGAATGTTACTCATTCTGAGAACTGCTTTACTCAGTTGAAAGGAAAAATATAAGGTGGCAAAATTATCTGGAGTTTCTTCTCTGGAAATGTTGCGTGTTTTAGTTTGCCAGCTAATATTGCAAAGCTCTGGAGGCTCCTGCCTAGTGGAATGGGATGGAGGAAGAGAATGAGTGGAGTAAGAGATCAAAAATTCAGATCATTGCTAGAAATAGTTGCCTGCTTCAGAGTCAATTTGCTGGAATTAGATTTCTGTGTCTAGAGTGAATTACAAATCCATCTAAATGAACAACCAAATCTCATTGCTCGTGAAGTAATGAAAATTGCTGTCACTTCTTCATCTTGTATGGTTTCAGCTCCTCCACTGACTATAATAATGTTGTTAATATTAAGAAAAGCTTCACATGGCAGAAAAACTTCAAATGCTAGACATGCACAGCCAGTCGACCAAGATCTGAAAGAGCAAAATAGGTCAGCGCTGAGGGTCTGCTTCTTTGTCAGATTCATCAAAATTGCTGTTAAAGGGAGGAAGAGGGTTTGATATTAGGACACTTTTGGAGCTAAGAGTACTTTTAGGGCAATTCTCCGACAACATAATAAGGTGTCTCAACTGAAAATATCCACAAACTGGAAGTTACAACTAATGAAATAAATATTATTTATGAATATCGCAACTTCAACAATAACAACTTACATTTATACAGTGCCCTTAATGCAGGATAGTGTCTTGGAGCACTGTACAGTGGTAGGGTTGCACACCGAGCGAGGGAGAATGGAGAGGTGACCCCAATGTAACTTAGATCCCGATGTCTTTCAGATACACAGAGTGTTTGCAAAAGTAACGCTGGGTTGAGTGATATGGGCTTTTTTGCTGACTTTCACATTAGCTGTGCTGTATCCTCACTTTTTGGAGCTGACCAACTCTGGCAGATGAAAATGAAAGTGCTTCATGACTGTAATTTAATGTGACTTCACTGAAGACCAGCTGGTTACAAGCCTTCTTGTGGTGCTGAGTAAGCAAATATGATTTGATTCCTCAGCAGTGCTATTATATATGCTCCTGTGCTATTAGCAGCAGATAAATGCTGTCTAGAAGGGTTGTGCAAAGGGAAGTGTACTGGAAAGTTGAAAGCGCCATAATAGTTGATTGGATTGGTCCCAAAGTTAAAAATAAGTAGTAATAAATAATCCCATTATCTCTCATTACCTTCAATACATTTCTTTGGCAAATATCTGTCTAATTTTCTCTTGCATTTGCTGAGAGCTTCAGTAGGTTTACCACATTCCATGCAGGTGGTTGGCACCCACAGACGAGAATCTTCACTCTAAGGGTTAAACCCATTTAACCAGCACCTCACTGATCTTTCTGTTCCTATAGTGACCATAATACAACTGCCAGATCTTAAATACCTGCCCCAGGCTCTTTAGCACTGGGTCTGTAATGAATGTTTCACTATAAATAGAGCACAACTCTCATTCCATGTCTCCTCTTGACAGCAACAATAGTACAAGTAGAGATTACATTATATTATACATTAATACTCTTAAGACATTTGCTTTTGTGCCTTATTTCTTGTATCGGTTAACATGGAGTATGTTTGGTGTTTGATTGAAGGGAGGTGACCTATATTTTGGACCCATTTCATTAAAAGATCCAATAGCATTAGGGGTTTCAAACAGTCTAACTGCTGGATTCAAGGCAGTAAGTAAAGCTTTTACCTTTTATAACAGTTGTCAGAGTCAAGTTGGTGGACAGTAATGAAATTCTCTTGGTCTTTGATTAACTGAGTCCAGAATTGCCTGCATCCCAGATAGATGTGAGTCCTTTACAAAAGGACAAGTGGCAATCCCCAGAGTTCAGGCTCCAGTATTTCATGCTCTATGTAAATGTGGAGTCAGCACTTTGAGTAATCCTCCCAACGTAAACGGTGCTAAACAAATGAAAATCTTATTGTATTTTCTATGATAATTTCAAACCAAAGTGATTGAAGTCACTTCTAGAGGTGCAGACAATTGTAGAGATGAAGATCTCAGTAGAAATACGTGGGTTGAAGTTGGCTGGATACAAAGAGCCCAATAATTGCATTTAAAACAATTTTCAGTCATGGCAACCCTAAAAATAATGTATAAAACCTTCGCTACCACCTTTTGTTAAGATGAATAATTTCTCTGTGTGGCTCTCATTTCCAGTTTATTAACATGTTGGCCTCTGCTGTATAAAGACTTTCGTCCGCAAAATGCAGTCAATCTACTTTACGGTGTATTCTATGAAGCACTTTGAGATGTCTCAACGACGTGATAATGCAAGGATTATTATTATTACTAAAATACCTGAGCTTGGTACATAGATCTATGTATGAGACACATTGGGTTTAAATACAGATGAGCACATTTGAACGCAAGGATGTTCATACTTTTCAATGTTATGATGTTTATACCTGGAATAAATAAAATCTGAAAGAGCAAGATTCACAAATGTCACATTTTCACTCCCAATCCTTTGAGTTTTTTATGCTTTTAGGTCAATCGTTGAAAAACTAGTAGTTTGCCCTTGAGGAAAGCGACAAGGAACTAAGCTGCTCTCGGTTCAAATTATACTTTGTGCAAAGAGCAATTTGAGAAGTGTTTAAATTAGGATGATGTAGATCTGGGAGATTAAGGTACAGGGTACCAGCAGAATGCAGGATTCTGGAAAAAGCAGCATATAAAATGAAACGAAGAGTTTGTGTATCCTGGTCAATAATCTTCCATACACATTGAACGTTTACCTCATGGCTGTTTGTGGGACCTGACTGTGTGCAAAATTTGCCTAAAAAACAGGCATACAAGTAACAATAATTGATGTAAAAGAACTTCTAAGATGTTTCGAAGTGACACCAAAAAATGCAAGTTTGTTCTTTCTCACTGACTTTGGTGTAGTGGTCTAATTTCTCTGTTTGCCTGTTTGACTATAATCTCTTTGTTTGATCATGACAACAATTGTTTAGAGCAGGAACCATCTTACAGCTTAGAGTTTGTCAGGCTTCTGACAAGCAGAGAATCCCTCCCCTCCCATTTTCCTTCTAACTGTAATATTTGTTTGTCCACAAAAAATACAAGGTAAATTATGTGGAGTGCTTCGAGATATCCTCCTGACATGAAACAAGTTATATTAAATTATTATATTCAGTGTTGTTATTATGGCATATGAAGTAGACGGAGACTGTGCAAGCTTTAATGCAGCATGAGATGTCTCTGATCAGTGCTTTTTGATGTACAAGCTGCCAGGTTTGATTTCCTTCCTGTCTCTCCTCACAGACTCGCCTGGCCTGCCTCCGAGTGCCAACACACACCAGCTTTTCCGAGGCTTCAGCTTTGTTGCCACCAATCTGGGCCAGGATCAATCACAATCCGAATCCCGGAAGCTCATCGAGCATTCTATTGTGCAGGTCTGACAGCTCATGTGATCTCAACATCAGATATCGAGCTCAATATTGCAAGATTCCTAAGAACAATTTCCTGCAATTTTCTCCGCTTCATGAAAATACTGACTCCTTATAATAATAAATATTAATCCTTGCATTTGATATAGCGCTTTTCATTTCTTCTAGACTCCTACCGGCTGGGAATCTGTTTAATGTGTCCTCCGATAACTCGCCCAAGTGGCCGTTATTTATATGTGGGCCTTGACAGGGAGTGTTGACTGTGACTGCAACACAGCCGAGCTCGGGTCAATCATCACCTGATGTTCACTCACCTGCACGTTCGGTAGCACGGCAGCGGGCTCTGGACAGTGATCAGTAGTAGGGAACTTGATTGATTCTCCCTTCCTAATCCCAGGTCATTGAAGCACCCTAACCCGGCTAAGATGAGCTAACTCAGCAAAGACCAGGGTTCAAACTTTCAAACTATATGGGTTTGTGGTACACCAGGTTGTGCCTTTATCAACTGGGATATTGGCAGAGTTCTGCTCATGTATCTCTCAGTAGGCTTCCCATTAACATGAAGTGTAGCTTGCTGTTACCAATGCTCCTGGCTCCAGTTGTTCTCACTCTTCTCTTCATTTCTACTTTTTATTGGAAATCGTTTCTTAGCAGTTACATGGGAACAGCATTCATTTCACTGATGGCTACGAGCTAAACGAGGATATTGGTGTTGGGTCGTATTCAGTATGCAAGCGGTGCGTTCACAAAGCCACGTCAGTGGAGTATGCCGTCAAAGTAAGTGTTTCAACCAGCAAACGGATAGCACAAGTGATCAGACACACACCACCTGATTCACAATTTTAACACACTACCACGCAAACGAGGAATTAGTGGGAGTGCTACAGTAATTTTTGTTTTAAATCAGAATGAATGCAGTCACATTATACCAGAAGGTATTTTTATTTCACATGGCGGCTTTGGGACTAATGTGTGGCACTAAAAACTATTACTATTAACCAGAATTGGGTCCCACAACTCATTGAAAAATTGCTGCAAAGCAATTTACCTCTCGAGCACCATCGGTGTGACTCACGTCGTAGAATCATAGAATTATACAGCTCAGAAGGAGGCCATTCGGCTCATTGTGTCTGTGCCAGCTTTTTGAAAAACACTATCCAAATCAATCCCACTCCCCCCCCCTCTCTCCCCATAGCCGTGCAAACTTGTTCTCCCCAAATAATTATCCACTTCTCTCTTAAAAGTTGTTATCGAATTGGCTTCCACCAGCTTCCATGTCCTGGTACCAGCCATTAGCTGCCTCTGATGTGGATCATTATGGATCTCCCTACATTGATTAGGGAGAGATGTGATTCAGGTGTTTTAAGATGCTGTAAGATGCACGTAATGCAGCTGTAATCTGGCTTTCTGATTTGGACTGGAGACATAAACCAGTGGACACAGATTTAACATTGGAAAGCTTCAAGTGAGATGAGAGAACAGAAGGTTTAGCCCCCAGAACTACTGCATTTGTGAAAGACTCCCATTCAAACAGTAACTCGCTAACTAACCATCTGGTGAGCAACATTGTTGGAGATCATATGGTCAAGTACAGGCTGAGAACGAGATAAAACACCAAGGCTCCTCCATGTACTGCTGGGCGAGGGAGGGGAAGGTGGGTATGAGGAGGAAGAGGAGAAAACTTGCTTGTGGAGGGAAGCAACCCAGGGTTTCAATACTGGTGATGTGACAGTGATTTTAAAGTGGAGTTCATGATAGGGAGGTTTACATATGACTACTTAAAAGAAGTAGGAGTGCTGGCTTGTGTGTCTTCATCTCATTCCATTGTGCCTCAGGTTCTGGTGAAAAAGGTTTATATTTCAGTGGTGACAATGCGCCTTTCATTGATTTAAACATTTCTAGCTTGTGCAGCGCAGCTCTGACCCAGTTGGAATCCTACCTCAGATTATAGTGCTTGGCACTGTCTCACACACTGCCTGGGGAAAGCAGTCACAAGCTGCGGCGGGTTGTAACAGAAGGCTGCAGTCTGCACATCTCCCACTTACATTAAATGGAAGCTAACACAGGGCAGCAGGTGCAGCTAATCCTTCTAAATCAATTAACCGGCAAAATAATTTGTATTCAAAAATTAGTATTCTTCGTTGGCAGTTTGATATCAAATCATTGGTTTGGGATTTTGCCCACAAAACACAGTGACTGCACTTTACAGTATATCCTGTGTCATGCTTTAAGACATCTCAACGATATAATAAGGTGCTATATCAAATGCAGGGATTATTATCATTCAGCTTCCAGAATCTCCAGCTAGTGTGTTTGTGACCTGTAATATGTTGATCAGACACTAATTTGGGGCAGCTCTTTATTTCACTGAACGGACTCAACACTGGCATTAGCAGCCCCTATAATTTCATGCTAAGGGTTGTGCTAACCTGCTCTTTACAGCAAAGATAAGCTTTAATTTATTTATTTTCTATGACCCATTTAATTTAGGGCAGAACTGTCTGAGCACAAACATAGCAAAATTAAATGGGCCGCGAAAAAAAAAACTGCTTATAATAACCTGGGAACCCAGTGGCAAATTCACTAAGATCAAAGCTTTAGTCCATTTTTCCTTGTCTGAATACCATGTATCTGTATCTCCTGAAGTCTACAAATTAATCAAAGCTCTATGCTCCCTCTCTCTAGTCGATACCATTTATAGTTCCACCATCCTGCGTTAGCAATCTTTGTGATTCCAACAGCATAACATCAGCACTACCTGTGATTCCATTATTTTATTTCAATTGGTTCTGATATTTAAATATATATAGGTGGTTATAGGTGCTGGCTAAAGGTGGTTTGATTGTGGATATTAAGGAAATAAATTGCTTTAAAGGTTCAGATTATATTATAAACCAGCAAAATGAAGTTACAGAGGATTGCAAGCGTTACCTGAAGCCTAAGATTTAATCAGAGTTCTACACTTCCTCTTTCCAGTCTATATCATTTATAGTCAGTGATGCAGGATTAATGAAATAAAAAGATTTGTTGAAGATTTTAGTCTGTAGAACTGGAATAGCATGGAATGAAGGCAGAGGCTGCTGATATGTAATCATTCAGAAGCAACCTGTGGCCACAAAGAGGCTATAACAGGAGATAGATTCTACAGCTGGTATCAAATTATTGACAGCTCTGCAGGCATGTATCTTAGTGTGTGCAGCCACAGCTGATTTTATTCCTGTTTGGAGTTATTAATGTGAATTTCACAGAATCGTAACCCAGAGCTGCTGCTGATTTTCAGTGTGGTGCTGTAGTCAGTGAGAGTCACTGATGATTTTCAGGACAGAGCTACAGACAAGTATAAATTGTTACTGTAGCTAAGTATAAAAGTTCTGGGCAAAGAAAATCTAGAACACTAATTAAATAAATTAATAAAATCAATTGTATGATTGTATGTGATTCACTGAGAGGCATTATGGAATTTTAAGTGGGTCTAACAACACTGTGTTTCTTTCAGATTATCGACAAAAGCAAAAGAGATCCATCAGAAGAAATTCAAATATTACTGCGATATGGACAGCATCCAAACATCATTACCTTAAAAGATGTAAGTGGATGACACTGGTCTTCACTAAGTCTGCTGACTGACAGCTACCGCCCAAATGACTGGACATTTCTCAACCTTCCTGGAAAATGCTTGACCAAAACAATACCTCTCATCCCCTTTTAGTTATTTCCACAAGATTGGCTTGAATGAAAATGGCCCTTAGACCCATTTTGATCTCATCCTCACAGAATACCCACGCTACCGTTTTCCATCACGGCATCATTTTTTAAAAAATGTCTAGTGTCCTGTGTTGCAATGTCCTATTCCAGTGTTATCAGCAAGTTTTACAGCTGGGAAACCATCGCCTTCCTCCTTGTTGGGCTTGATTCCTAGATAGAAATTTTGGCCCTGGATTGAAATTATATTATGCTGAATAATGATAATTTGGTCACTCAAGCCATGACAGTCTGTGGGACACTGCTGTGCGCAATTGGCTCCCGCGATTTGCTCACAAAGTATAGTTAATTCACTTTACAGTATATTCTATGAAGCGCTTTGAGATGTCTCAACGATGTGATCAGGCGCTATATCAAATGCAAAGATTATAATATTATTGAATGATGGTGATCCTCAGAGGGGTAAAATTCCTCAGACACTCCTGTACTCTTTTTCCAGAGGCTTGAGAGCAATTTGTCCAATGGGCATTTCAGCACAACACATTTTTCAGGAAGGGAGAGGAAGAGAAAGTTTTAAAAAATAGTGAGGCGAGAGGGAGCATTGGTGTGTATTGAAATAGGAGATTTGGATTTGCAGATCTACTGCAGATTTGGGTCTTGCAGATCAACAAGGCCCCGATAAAACAATATATTGTTCTTCCTTTTTTATTTATAGATTCAAAGAGTTTTATCTGAAAGTGGTAAACAAGGAAGATTTTCACTTTTCAATTGTTACCTCCTGATAAATTCGGAACCATCATGTATGTTCTTTTCAGCAAATAGGTCTGAGGATAGACTGTGTGAGTCAGCTTCAGGCACTGAAACCTGCTTGTTACTCTATGAGTCTTTTCCAGCACCGGCGTGCAGAATCGTGTGGCCTAACCCGAGCCTGATTTTTTGGGGCGTTGTTTTTCAGGTGTATGACGATGGGAAATATCTGTATCTTGTCATGGAACTTATGCGAGGAGGAGAGCTTCTTGACCGGATTCTGAAACAGAAGTGTTTCTCGGAGAGAGAAGCCAGTGCTGTGCTTTACACCATTACAAAGACTGTGGAGTACCTGCATTCTCAAGGAGTATGTCATGTAAACGTTTACATTAGTTTACACACAATATGTATATAGAGACGTGCATTGAATTAAGAAATGTACAATGGTAGGAGTAAGAAGAGTAATACTTCTATGTTGTTTTTGTTTTTATTGATAATAGTTTACCCACTCTATCGGGTCTTGGTATAATACAGAAAGTGTGGTAGATGACACAGTAAACTCTAGCTCTGGCAGTGGTAACTCCTAGGTAAAAGGAGTATTCCGACAAAAGGAAATGGGTTGTAAGAACATAGCAGTGCACAGGACCAGAAAACACTATTGTGATGCATATTACTGGTGCCAATGTGAAGAATAAGAAATAATTCTACACTACAGCATCCGTCTTTTACCTTCAACTGCACCCCATAATTCATAATATTATATATTGTATAGTACGAAGTACATAGTATTACATATTATGTGGTATATAGTTCATAATATTAGGTAGTACAACACAGTCCATAGTACATGGCAACAACAACAAAATTACATTTATATAGCACCTTTCACGTTGGGAGAACGTCCCAAGGCGCTGGACAGACTGAGTTACAGACCCAGGGTTGGGGAGGGTGGAGGGCAGGGGCGGAATCAGGGAGATCGAAAGCACGGTTGAAGAGGAGTGTCTTGAGATGGGTCTTGAAGGCACAATACATACATAATAATAGCTGTGTACACTTCGTACTAGGCTATAACATGATACATTCCCACTCAAACCTGCCTGCATAATCTCCCTCTGCCTCCGTGTTGTCGTTTCACATATTCACTACTCTTTGTGTAAAGTAATGAAATCTGAATTGCCCGGTGACCCGCCCTTGCTGCTGGAGCTATGTTCTCGCTGAAGGAGCTATGATGAGGGGTGAATCACTTGCCACCCCCCCACACTTCCCCAGTAGCCCGAGACCGACAACAATAAGAACCCAGCAAAAGGCTCGGTGAGGTCGCAGTCTATTTCAGGCAGTTAGGGTGAAGAGTACAAGCTGATACTCAATAAAGCATTTTGTACTGTAAATGGTTAAAAATTGTTCCAGCAAATGATGCAACAGGTCGGTGTTCATAGGGAGAAGCACAGATACCCTCTTGTCCTTTTACATATTCTAGCAAACCATGAGGGCTTCTTAGTGGTACCTATATTTTGAAGGTAGTGTTGGGACCAGCCTCTTATCCTGAAGAGCGGAGGGCTGTGCTCCAGCAGTAATTTGCTCTCTAGTGTTATCTCACAGGTAAGGCCTAACAATAAGCTTTGTGGAGTCCTGTAGTGTATTGGTTAGAACACTCGGCTCGCAAGCAAGAGGATCTGGGTTTGATTCCTGTGCAGGACGAAACCTTAGGCAAGTATTCTTACTCCACACGCCTCTGTTTGCTAAAACAGTAAGTAGGAATCTGGTTGTTAGTCGATTGGTGGATCAGTTTTCCAGAGGTAATATACCCTTCAAAATAAATAAATAATTATTATAACCCATTTATTTGCTTCAGAATATTCCCTTCACCTAAGAGCACTCATTTAAGCAACAGTATTATTTTAATGGTTAGTACATAAAAATCTCAGATGTCTTTATTAGCTTTCTTTTAAAATCCCTGGTATGGTGAGAAAGATATAAAAGACATCTGTGATTTTGTTTAGACTGAATAAGCAAGAAAGAGATCTGCTTTATGGATAGTAAATATGTTGAAACATTCAGCCTTAGACATCAAAAGGTTACCTTTACAGATGCACTCTGAGAATGAACTTAATGCCGTTCCTTTTCTATGGATGGTTGTTAAATACAGTACCTCCTCATTCTTATGGGAATGGTGGCTGCATGTCATGTAGTGGAGCCCAAACATATAGAGGAATGAAGTGGGAGTATGCAAGATCAATCTCTCACTCTGTTCAGTTCCTAGTCTGAGCTGCCTCATCCGTGAAAGTTCTGGGCAGAAGTCACGATACCTTGCTATAGAGAGAGAAAGAGGGAGATAGAGAGGGATGGAGGCAGTGTCAGGGAGGTGTTGTTTTGGGTTTTTGGGGTTTGCCAAAGACAGGGCTGGCAGAGCTCTGTTTGATGCAGACATCTCTGACGAAGCATTGCTTTTTCCTATTAGGTTGTCCATCGAGACTTGAAACCAAGTAACATTCTGTACGTGGATGATTCGGGAAATTCAGATTCCATCAGGATCTGTGATTTTGGTTTTGCAAAGCAGCTTCGGGCAGAGAATGGCCTACTGATGACCCCTTGTTACACGGCCAACTTTGTAGCACCCGAGGTAAGGTGATGAAGGCCGTGCTTCCACTTGCATGCTATTTAGTTGAGGTAAAGAATTTAGGAACATTTTCCTACAAATGGTTCCTGCCTCACTTGGGGACTTCAAACCCATATAATCTATGATAACACTCCAATGCATGCTGCGGTTGTGCTGCATTGTTAAAGGTAACGTCCTTCGGAAGAGATGTTAAACCAAGTACATGTCTGCCTGTTCAGGTGGACGTTCAGGATCCCATGACACAATTCGAAAAGAGAAGAGAGTTTCTGCAGATGTTCTGGTCAAAGATTCTCCAAATAATAATTATCCCTCACTCCATGGCTGTTTGTGGCACATTTCTGTATGCAAATGATATGAGTTGCCATATTCGTCTTCAAAATTCACATTCACTCCACTTCATTGTATGCTCCACTTTATGCTTTGAGACATCTTCCTGATGTGAAAGTCGCTATATCAAATGTAAGAATTGTTATTATTTATTACACAGTCACTGCACTTGACAAAAATCAGATGTGAAGCTGTTTAAAATGTTTCAACATTATAGGCACCATAGCAAGCATTAAAATATTTAACTGACAGTATGTCAGACACAAATGTATCAACTTCAAGTGAATAATAGCATTTTTAAAAATATATTTTGTATCAATCTCTCTTACAGGTACTAAAGAGGCAAGGATATGATGCGGCCTGTGATATCTGGAGTTTAGGGATTTTACTATACACTATGTTGGCAGGGTAAGGAAGCTTTTGTTTCCCTCATCACATCGCAGTTGCTAGGCTTTTATCACCTTTGCTGTATTTTTCCTCCTTTTCAGGTTCCACACATACCATTTGCTAATATCTAGCCTGAAAATGTAAGTAGGTAGCAATCTATCCATAGCATTCTCATTGGCACATCGTACTGGGAGACACATGCATTTTAATGGATTAGGGTTTTTCTTTATGTGTATTACAAGCTTTCGGGATTAATGATTAGCTCTTTTGCAAATCTCACAAATCGAACAGCTTCTGATATTGGTAAACAGGAAGTCGCAATTAACCCAATAAATATGGTTTGGAAACATTGCAAATTCAAGCTCTCATGTCAGATGTTAGATGCAAAGAAAATCACAAAGACAACGTACTGAAGCACCAAACTCAGAGATCGACTCCTGCACCAGAGTGATACTTCTAATTCCCAAATTATGGTTGTTTTGTGACCCCTCAGAAGTACTTGATGAAGAAAATCCTTCGGTCTATTTGATCTCATCCTTCCAGAATATCCACCCTATCATTTTCCCATTACGGCATTTAACTGTTTTTAAATTAGTCCAGTGTCCTTTTTAAATTAGTCCAATACAACCTTTCCTGGTAACCCATTCTCCTTATCCTGCTTACCCTCTGGGCAAAGAAACACTTTTTGCAATCTGTTTAAAAAAATTGACCTTCGCAATCCTGAACCTGTGTCTTGTCAGTCGGGTTGGAACTCTGGAAGAATGAGATCAATCGGAACAAAAGTTCTGATCCTCTCTTATAACCTTATGAGCCCTTACTTTGTCATCTGCAAATGTAACTACCTTGCAAATCCATGTCATTTATACCGGGAAAGCCTGTTACACGCTCCTCCGTTTAGCATTGCGTCACTTATAAGTTGATTATTTAATGGACCTTGACATTTTATGATATTATAAGTCATGAAAATGCGGTTATCACGAGAATATCGCTAGTAGGTTGTGCATCCAGAGAATAGTTGCAGCAGGTCAAGTCTTGTGTGATGAGAGCAGCTGGTTGACATTTGGCTGAGTGTATGTGCAGTGCTCACCAGTGATATCACCATTGATGACACAAACCTGGAAGCGCTGACAGCGTTGTTTGTTTTGTGTCCTTGCTGATGACCTGGGTTGGAATTTCTGGTTCACAATAACAACTTGGGATTATATAGCGGCCTTCACGCGAAGTAGCATCTTGGAGCACTTAGCAGTGTTATAGCAGAGATTTTCCTTGTGTATATATACATGTATACAGTCTCAGCACAGACGTCTAAGGCCTCCCACCAACCACAAGTCTCTCCCTGAATTCTCTGAGCCCCATCGTTAAAGGAAAACTAGACAACCCAAAGCTGAGCCTGGTGTATACTTGTAGGAGCTGTACTACGCTGGACAAGTACAACAGCACCCTCTAGTGGACTTGTTTAATATAACAATTCCTGATTTTAGTTCTTCTTTTTCTTCCGTCCTTATCCTGAACGTCCTGGGTCTTGATGTGGTTCTATTACATGAGAACCAGCCACCTTCTGGTACCATTCATGTCTAAATAATAAGCAGGTCAGTGCCGGCAGGCTGCTTGACTATAGAGGGGATTACATCTAAGCCTCTTTCCATCCTACTCAACTCCTCACATGCACATTGTAGCAGGAGGTAAGAGTTAGATCTCTTGCTGTTTAAACCCCTTCCTAACCTTAGGAGCATTGAGACCATTTGTTGTAGTAACGCAGCAACAGACTAGGGAGACTACACAAGTCCTTCCTGAGCTGTGCAACTAAGTGCCACACCAAACACACATTGGTGTATTCAGGGCTTCTTGCTTTTTGCAGCCGTTGCCTACGGGAGTTAAAAAATAAACGATTCTGATGCAAGGTTTACAAAGTCCAAGTGATTTGTCCCCCCTCTTTTTTTTCGAATGGGTTCAGGTTCACACCATTTGCAAATGGACCAGATGACACCCCGGAGGAAATCTTAGCACGCATCGGAAGTGGGAAATACGCCCTCACTGGTGGGAACTGGGACACTGTTTCTGATGCTGCCAAGGTAAGAGTTTAAGACTGACTTTATCCTTGTTTCCAAGTTATTGACACTCCACTCCCCTGCTCACATATCGATGAGACTGAGTGCACTGTGTGTGTCACAGACAATCCAATAACAGTCATTTCTCAGTGTTCAGAAGAAGCTTATAAACCCATTGATCTCTCTTGAACTATATGATACAATGTGAGCCCTCAATTATACGACTGCTATCTGATCATTCCCGGGAGTATTATTCTCTGTACAAGTGATCTAAATCGTTTGATTTTATACTGCCATTCACTACCATTATTATGGGTGTAAACTACCAAAATCCCTCATTTGTATTATTGCTGTATAATCACTCCCAGGTGCCCATTATTCTCAAAGTTAAACAGGTTAGGAACCAAGCCAATGTTCGTCTTCAAACCCCTCCAAAGTTTTGTTCCTTCCTACCTCTGTGGTCTGCTAACGCCATACCAACCTGTCTGTTCCCTCCGCTCAGCAGGTTTTGGCCTGCTCCACGTACCACGTCCGGCCCACCCCACCATCAGCCTCTCTGCCCCCACCCTTTGGAACTCCATCCCACAGTCCCTTTGCCTTGCTCCCTCCCTTCCTCTTTTAAGGCACGCTACAAGACCTTTCCTCTTCGACCGCGCCTTTGATCACCCTCCTTCCCCACCCTCCCTGCCCTCCACCCCTCTGATCCCAACTCCCTGCTCAAGTCCAAATCTCTGAATGTCCAGTGCCTTTGGACATCCTCACGATGTGAAAGGTGCTATACAAATGTAATCTGTTGTTGTTCCTAATTTCTCTGTATGGAATAGTCTCTGTATAAAAATAATGACAAATTCACTTAAAAAGTTTTTTAAAAAATTGAGTAGGAAGTTTCCTGTGAATTGACTTGCCTCTGTCTGGTTTGGATTCCCTTAAACGCTGTGATGGATTTACAATAATAATCCTTAATTTGATTCTTGTTGGGTGGACGTCTCAAAGTGCTTCACAGAATATACTTGTGCAATATTATCGCAGTTTAAACATTAAAGGTTAGTTTTTTTTTATCTTGAGACGAGTGAAATACTTTGTGCATCCGGCTTTGATTTCAATTGGACTCAAAAACGTTGCAATTTCTATTGTCTTTTTGATCATGTGGAAGAGTGCCACCTAGTGATGATCGACTGGTTGGAGACCCATGGCCCAGACTGTACGAGTTGTGGGGTTTGAACCTACAACCCTTCTGACTCAGGTGCGAGAGCACTACCTCTGAGCCAGGCTGACACATGTGTTCCTGCATGAATCAGACACCAGGCTGGACAAAAAAAAGTTTGATTCAACTAAATGCCGCACATGAAGTGACTTGACTGTTTTGGGATTCCTGCAGGATATGGTGTCTAAAATGCTACACGTCGACCCTCATCAACGGCATACAGCAATGCAGGTACTGCGACACCCATGGATTGTGAATCGGGAATTCCTATCACAGAGTCAGCTTAACAGGCAGGATGCTCAGTTGGTCAAGGTGAGCTTTGAACAGGCTGGATGCAAGTTTTAACATTTTTTTTTAACCTTTTCCTTCTCCTGAAAATATTGTGACTTCTCTTTCCTTGTACTGGGACAAGGCTTGGGTACGTGGGAGTCAGGTACTTGATAACCTGCCCCAAGTGTCTATTCTTAATGTGTGAATCTTCACAATGAGCGAGACCAGAGTATTTGATGCAGGGCTCTGTGCCTTTGCCAATTTCCGTTGTTACCTGCCATATGCACATGTGTAGCTTCCAATAGTAGATAGCTGCCAGATGGCGAGCAGGAGCAGGAACTGTGGCTGATTTTCCTCTCATCCAAGGATGCTAAGGTTCACTAAAGTGCTTTTACTGATGCACCAGCTGAAACTAATGAACTGAACACAGCCCTGGCTTTGAAACAGTTCTGTGTCCCAGCATCTAATGGAGCCTTTGGGGTGCTAATAGAACATATACTCAATACTGCATTATGTTTTCCATGCCTGACTGCAACAACAGCAATATTATATTTGTGTAGCGCCTTTCACGTCGGGAGGACGTCCCAAGGACTAGCAATGAACTGACCTATCAGTGGTTAAGCATCAGCACCCCAGATTACTTTTTAACAATAAGAATAGAAGAAACTTAAGACAGGTATTCAAGTACCTGGTTCCCAGATAATGAAGTACCACAGGCTTGTGTAGAGCCTTATTCCCAGCTGGTAAATATATAACTAATGTTTCTCACTGATGGTCAGGACATGAATTGTGATGCTCATTTTACAGATTGTTTTAAATATCTATTATCACAGGGTGCAATGGCTGCCACCTACTTTGCTTTAAACCGTACACCTCAAGCACCAAGACTAGAACCTGTGTTGGCTTCAAACCTGGCTCAGCGACGAGGCATGAAGAGATTGACTTCTACAAGACTATAACAGTTGCCGTGAAGCAGCTCTAGGAAACCAAGAGTATTTTTTTATGTAAAAACAGATAATGGATAATATGGACCTTCATGACCAATAAGTGACCACAAACGACCCAACGTACTCATAGAGGTTGGGCCTAGATTTGTCCAACTGTTGTTCAAAAACAGATTAAAAAGAGACATTGTAAAGGATTAAGAGGAGACGACAGGAACACATTTTTTTTCAAAATAATAGGCTTTCTTATTTTTTTGCCTCATAACATTAGAAAATGTGTGGCAAAATGTGTGGTAAAACTACGCTTAACTCTTTCCTGATTGACGAGAGAACAATGCCCATCTGAGGGGCTTGAATGAAACATGCGCGCTAGGGGCTCTATATACAGTATGGCTCTTTCCTTACCCCTTGATTCCGCTTCAAAAGGTAAGGTTTTAAATGTGAGCCTAGCCCATTACACTCAAGTCCTACTGGGCCCAAGAAGACTGTGTGGGTCTCCTGTTTGCATTTGGAAGTTGGAATCTGTTTCAGTGAGATGATAATGGACTCATTAAGTTGACAGTGCTTTCTTCATTGAGACGTTCTCATGTTTTGTAATTGTAAATTTTTAAATGTCCCAACACAATGTGAAATAGAACAAAGCACAATATACTTTCAAGGTGTGGAAGGTCCTAAGAAGTTTGTAATTAATGGTGAGTCTTTGTGCAGTAGAATGAGCTAGACCATGCCACAGTAAATATGTACGAGCTAACATAGATTTGTTTCTAAGCGCCATAAAATACACTTTGCACTAGATATTGCCTTGATCTGTGGTGCTTTACAACCTGCATAAGTTGTTGTAAAGGAATGATACAACTTAATATGGTATAATATAGCATTGCTATGGCATGTATTCCAGTGTCTTCACTTTGTCTTAACGCCTTCTGCTCTTGTCCCTGTCATGTGCAGAGTTCACCAACACTGTATTCTCAGACTTCTCTTCCTTATCTATCTGCTCCCTCTTGGTTATGCCATCCACAAGCATATATATATATGGATGACATTTAACTCCACCTTTCTGCCTCTACCCTTGACTCCAGGAATACTGCTGTTCTGCCTGGCAGACATTAGTCCTGGCGAGCCTTAACTTTATCCAGCTCAACATTGACAAAACAGAGGCCGTCTTGCTTGGTTCCTGCCAGTGCCTCCTCACATTGGGTGCAGACCCAAGTACCCAGTCCAACTCATGGAGCTTGTAACAAATCTTAGTATCTTGTTCAACCCTCTTTCTTTGAACATTCCATCCAGGCCCTGACCTTGTCTGCTTTCCTCAATATTCACATCATCGCCAGCTTTGCCACTACCACAACCTCAATGCAGATGAACCCCAAAACCTTTCCTTTGTCACCTCTGGACTCCCCAAGTTCCAGATAATTTAGGGCTCTGTATCCCATATCCACTTCTACACTGGATACGTGAGCCCATCACACTGATGCTCACCTGGCTCCCTATCACCCACAGATTGACTTTAAGGTCTTGTCCTTGTTTTTGAATACCACCTTGGCTTTGCCCCCCTCTATCTCTGTGACCTCTTGTGACTACTCCCCCAGCCACTAGCTCCGATCTGCCAATTCTGGCCTGCTTCATGTACCCCACCCACTTTTTAAAAAAAATCCCCCTTTTCACTTATGCGACAACATGTTAGGAGGTGCAGTGTGGTTCAGTGAGCGACAATCCAGCAGAAACGATAAAATGCCTGAAACTCCTTGTTTAAGTGTATTCAGTGCTGCAGGCTGTTGTCGAGCTTTGACAGTGTTGAGCTGTGTATATATCAGACTCTGCAGGAGCAAATTGTTCATGTAAAGTGTCGATGACAAACCATAGCTTCAGTTTTTCAGAAAAAAATGTACAGGATCGCTTTATGGATATTTAGCACCAGCTAGTATTGAGTGATGGTAGTTTCTGAGTGGACTGAAGTAATGCATTGGCAAAAGTTGTAGTGTTCCGGGCAGGGTTGTGTTATGTTTAAAACGATTCTAGATAGGATCTGTATTTAAAATGCTACTGTGTTTTGAAGCTTTTTGTTGCTCATTGCCAAATCTTATTTAACAACAACAAATTATATTTAGCGCATTTCACATTGGGAGGACGTGATGTGGGGACGATCAGACCACTCACAAGCTACTTTCATTTTCAATGGATGGTGCTAAATATCCTTATAAAGATCCTGTGTTTAAGGGACTGTACATTTGTTTTGAAAAGCAAAAGCTATTTAAAGTAGTGCTTCAGAAAAAAGTAGTAATTTATTTGGATTTGCCCTTTTATAAATGATAATGTTTAATGCTTATTTATTGTTTGTTGGTTTTGTATTTTTTGGCTGACTGTATATCCCTAAACCTATAGGAGAGATCAACCATTCAAGTGGCTCGTTAATCTTTTCTGATGTTTCAGTGTCGAGAGTTGAGGAAGAGCCTTTAACAGTTCCCTGTCTTTGGTACTAATGCATCTCTCAAAAAGGTTAGAGTCAATGTGAGCCTTTGCTGATCTTTTAAGCTTCCCTATGCCTGAAATTCCACCTCGTATGACCATTTCATTTTAAAATATAAGATTTCACCCAATTGTGAAAAAATCTTCAGTATTGCATTAATCTTCAAACTGTTTTCCACAACTCTTAAGAAAAACTGGCTTCCAAATTAAGGTAAAGATATAAGACTGCATAAATTTGTGGAAAATTCTTGCAAATCAAAGACAAAAATGGTTTTATCATCCAAAATGCTCAAACCAAGTGGAATTTCAGGTCTGATGTTATCTCTAAAGCAGTTTGCTCTTATGGGTCATGAAGCTCCTGCATTAATGCTCTATCCATTCAATCATCTTAGTCCACACAAATATACAGTAATCCACACACTCTTTATAAGGAGACTGTAAACTCAAGATTGTCACTGGAAGAGGTGCAAGAAATACCTTCTTGTATGGGCTTGTCAGAACGTGGAATGCTTTGCCATAAGTGGATAGTGGTGATAAGACTAATAGCATTTGAAACGGAATTGGATAAATATTTGAAGAGAAACAATATAAAAATGTGCAGGGAATTGGCATTAGGAAGTATCGGTCCAGTGAAGGAGGTAGGATCGCTGGTCTGATGTGTTGCAATTTCTATCTCAGAGGAGATGCCTGATAGACGATGAATACAAATCACTGTATTTCATTCATGACTACTGAATCTTGTGAACAACTGCAACTCTTGACAAATAACTTCAGTTTGGACAGAGTGCTAAGTACTGTTGATTGTGTGAAAATGTAATGTTTCTCCCACCGGAGAGGAAAGGCAGTGATGAGCTGCTTGTGACAGTATGGCCTTTCTTATGGTTTGAAGCCATTGCAGAGGAATTATTAAAGACAAACTATTTGGCATTGAAAAAAAATTGTACAGGGCTGTTCCTATTTACAAAATCCCCCAAATGAAAGAAATAGGAACCAATGGATTTGCATGCGTGTGTTTTTGAAAGTCTTTCTAAGTGTATTATACCAAGGGGCAGAATTGCACTGAATTAACTAAGTATTTTTCTGGAGGAAAGGGGGAAAGATATTATACTTTATTTCTCTGTCAATCAGGACCTTATTTGATTTCAAAGTGTTGTCTGAGAGTTTTGAAACCTCATTGTTAATAGTGTTAATATGATGAACCAGGCTCTGGTGCCGTTTTCCTAGCACCTGTAATATGTAATGCTTTAGTTTTTATTCCTCATTCAGAATTATTCTCAAGAATTGTTTTGTATTATAAATTATGCTGCTTGTATTGATGTTTGACAAATGGTACTTTGTACAGTACAAGAAGGAGAAACCAATTCCATGAATGTGTTTATTATGCTTATTTGACTTGAGAAGACATTTTTTAATGTAATTCCATTTTATGAATTGTAATATTTTTATAGCACTAAGAAAAACATAGGACTTTGTATATGCACTCATCCACATTTGGGTGTTTTTTCTTTAGACTGGTTTCTTTGGACCCTGCAGGGGACTGCTATCCTGTCTGAGCTTGATTATACTCATGGTGCAATACACGTCCATGTCTCAGTCAGTGCATTTGCTTGTACTGTTTATACCCACCTGCATTGTCAAAACCTTAAAGCTAAAAGTAGACTGAATGGTTATTTGCGACATATACCCAGATGCACGCCAACGAGCATTCAATACAGTCTAATGAAAGTAATTCTTTGCTTCGTTAACTGTGCCCATTTTGTCAGTTACATGGTTTATGAGCCTGTATGTGGAACACTGTAAAATGTAATTTATGGATAATCATTTGTACTCTGCCATAGCTTTGCATGTCATTTACATTGTCTTTATACAGGAGAATTAAATAATGGAAAATGTTTCAATGGTATTGCAATTTCCTTTTTGAAAGCAATCTGATTATAATGTCACAATTCTCCCTTGGCTTGTGCCATTGATGCTCTGGGTGTAAATCTAATGGCTTAACTGCCCCTGTGTAACACATGTTACAATGGACATCGTTTCTAGGTAGCATAGAGATTGGCAGAGACAAACACAGTGAAACCACATTCTCACAGACCATCCGAAACGGAATTCTACCTCCAAATGTTATCATCACAATGAAGAAAGCTGTGCAACCGGCGCTATTAACCATGGAAAGTAATTGAGGTGAAGGTTAAAGAACATTTAGGAGATATGTAAACATCCAAATGGGTTTTCAACAAAGTATCACATCCTTCACTGATTAGTAAATAGTTAAAAGAAAGCAGCAGTCACTCCCAACTCATAGAATGTTATGGCACAGAAGGAGGCCATTTGGCCCATCGAGTCTGTGCCGGCTCTTTGACAGAGCAACTGACTTTTATTAACCCCACTCACCAGCTTTCTCCCCATAACCCTGCAAACCTGTCTTCCCCAGATACCTATCCAGTTCTCTCTTAAAAGCTGTTATAGAATTGGACTTCACTGCCCTTTCGGGCAGATCATTCCAAATTCTAACAACTCGCTGAGTGAAAAAATTCTTCTAACCTCCTCTCTGCTGGTAGATATCTTAAGACTGTGACCACGGGTCACAGACACACCTACCAGCAGAAACAGCTTTTCCCTATCTCGCCTGTCGAAACCTTTCATGATCTTGAAGACCTCTATCAGGTCCCCGCATAACCTTCTCTGCTCTAATGGGAAAAGTCCTAACTTTTCCAGCCTGTCCTCATAGCTAAGCTTCCCCATTCCTGGTATCATTCTCGTGAATTTCCTCTGCACCCTTTCCAGTGCCTTAATATCCTTCCTGAGGTAAGGTGCTCAGAACTGGACGCAGTACTCCAGCTGAGGCCTAACCAGTGTTTTGTACAGATTAAGCATAACCTCCCTACTCTTATACTCTATGTCCCTACTAATGAAGCTCAGTACACCAAATGCCCTTTTTACTGCCCTATCTACCTGCTCTGCCACCACTCATGCTTGTGACTGGACTATTCAGGATAATTCCTTTTTTAAAACTTAGAGGAAACTCTTGATACTTCCATATATTCTATTGGTTGGTTGGTTTGAGCCAATTATAAATAATTGATGGTGTAATAAATGACTTTAAATGCTCTATAATACAAACAAAGAGTATAGATAGGTTTTTTTTAATACAAAGACTGCAAATGAATAGATGAAAAACATACAGAACATATACAATATTTATAATTTATAAACTGGTCGTTAAGACATCTCAAAATTATTGCACTTGCATTTTTTTCCTTTTTTTTCTTACAAATAATGTCCTGTTGCTACTCTGGAATTACTTCTCTTGTAACAGAAAAGCCCATCCAAAACTTTGGACTTTTTTTTAAACCATTTGTATACTATACTCAATGTAAAAATTAATTTACAATAACATTTTGTTACATAGTAAATGTACATAACCAAGATCACTTGCAGTAAACAGTTGCCTAAATATTAACATTTGTTACATTGAAACATTACATTTCATAATAAAGCTGGAGTGGACAGTTTGTCAGCATTTTCATATTTACAGGTGATGCTTAAGCTGCTCAGTACAGCAGTCGTGAATGGTGATGTGCTAAGAATTCCAGTTTGTTTGTACATATTACATGCACACAAAGCATTCCATTATAGTAAATACACTGAAGGAGTGCAAAAAATCCCTTTCGACTTCCAGGAGAAACTAGAGCTAACGATGAAAAGCTGCCTACAACCCAGGTCGACAGCATCTTGAATCAACTAGTGCAACACAATGCAGCATTAGAAACACTTTGAAAGACTGACCACATCTCCAACAATTATATGGTATGGTTTTACACAGTGGGGATTAGGGATGTAAATGAAGTACCCATGTTTCTCTATTGGGAATTTGAAGGGCCACCTTTGGTTTCTTTCATCAGGTTTGCTGACCGGGTGTACAAACTTGTGGGTCTAACATGTCTGATGCAGTTTTTCCCATTCCCAGTAAGACACTCATCATCTTTCCCCTTCCCACAAGATTGAGATAGGAGAGGGATGCAAACGCTTTGAGGTCTATTTGACCAGGATTTGCTTCTCCTCTTAGGGAGCTATTAAACATCACCCATTCTTCTCAGCAGTTTAAGCTTCACTCTTCTCTACAGTTACCTTTGCGTTAGTGCTGCTCCAATCGTGTTAGCAGGAAGTACATTTCCAGTGTGATATGTCAGATGGTATTGATTTCTCTTTCCCCAAGATGAAACCCATTGCTTCAAAATGGGGTTCCACTTACCACTCTAGAGAAGAACAACTAATATATACTCAACTGAAGAAGATGCATGAGAGGAAGCTCAAGGACTTGAACATATGGCCTTTTGATAGGCTTTAAACCACACAGCTACTTTAGCTACCAATAATATTCTGTGATCCTTCGTTGATGATATGCGAACTGTACAGTAAGCATCAATGCTAATTGGCTCTTCCTGTAGAAGACGAGACTCCACTTCTTGAAGTACATCGGCCGGAGAACTTGAGGATAGAGGCTCGGTGAGCAAGTGGCTAAGGCCCTCTCTCCAGTCCTTTAAACAGTTAGTGCATTTCAAAGAATAAAAGGGGGAAAAACAATGATTATCCTAATCCTGCACTTAAAACTTCACATTTGGAGGTACTGGATAGGAGAAATTCAGTTGTCATTGAGTATAGGAGCTGACAATATGCACTTCTAATTAGAAAATCCAGTTCTACACTTAAAAAGCAAGAAAAATGTTAGGCGTAGATTTTTGGGAAACTTACTTCATTGTTGCTATACAGATAGTTCCTGCCAAGTTTCACACAGCGTTGAGTGAAATAAAGAAATGTTACTGCTACATGTAGGGAAAATGATTACCAACTTTTAGGTTTGTATCACATTTAACTAGGGTGAAGAAATTCTACCCAGTTTTAGCTTAGCACTAGATTTATCATACATCACATCGACGTCAAAACTGATAACTACAATGATATAAATCAGATGTTTTGACCATTTGATACACTGTTGTGCGAGACAAATCATTTTTTGATTGTCTTTCAAAGGAGATTCAAATCTCATGACTTGCCTTCATTTACATCCCCAGGTTAGATCTGACTGTGAAGATCCTTAGCCATATATTTGTCTCAATTCAAAGATGCTCCTGCCATATAGTAGCTGAAAGGTTTCTGAGGCTTGCATCTGGGAGAATCCTTTTCATTTTTTGCAGTTTGCATGGATGATGCATGCTGTCAGTTCAAGTAATGTTTCAACCATGGTTGTCACTTTTACAACTACTACAATACAATCTTGTTCTACACACATCTTATTGTGAAATGCAAACCAATATGTAAACCATCTTTAGCGGAAATGATGATTTCAGACTACCACCGCCACTTAACCCAGACAGATATTTTTAAGTACCAAGCGCAAAATTGCAAGGAAAGTACCTGTCTGTCTAGGAAAAATATTAAGGCCACAGCAATACAGCACACAAGAAAGACCAATGTTCTCTTTCTGATGTCATCTGCAAACAAAGCAGGCTTTGTTTAGATATTAGATCCGATGCCTTCTTTAAATGTTGTTCAACCTCCTAATTTCTGTGTTAACAGCTGGAAAAAGAGGGAATGTTGCCATGAACTTATGAGGTAATGTTATTGTATTACCTACAGTAGCAGTTCCCCTTTCCCAATTCAAAGCCAGACACTCCACAATGGATCATTCAGAACAGAATACTAGGTTGATCAGTTCTCAATCTTTACGGGAAAATTCTCTGAGGGTACAGGCTGGGGAGGAACCCACACTGAGGAATCTTCTCCTTGGACTACGTTCTCCCACTGACTCAGATTGTCCCTAAAAGCAGAAGGGAAAAAAAAAGCAATAATTAGAATTTATTTTTTTAAACTCCATATGCCAAAGATGTGTAAAAAATAAAGGTATTTTTAGGGGAATGGTGCTTGGTATCCAATTCTCTTTTGAACACATTTTACAGTGAATTTGCTGGGACTCTCCAAAATACAAATTAAATTTAGTGTTATTTATTATCAGTTGAAGTAAAAGATATTTTGGCTCGTATTACCATCGTCTAACCGAGTACTGTAGTAACTGGCTCCAAGTTGTCTGGACCAGATAATGAAATATTCAATTTCTGGACCTGGATGTAATTCTAGGCTTTGAATGTCATTGACATGCAAAGAGCCAACAGAATAAAATATAAATGTGAATATTTAGAGCAGATGCTTTGCTCCTTTTTTTTTAAGAAAAACAAATCTTATACCTGGACCTAATGTTTTTGCTTTTGGAATTTGTCTATCCTGAATGAGTTTTCCTTGCCAATATGCTGAGACTATGGTAAGTCACGAATACAAATGAAAATTACTGATTTCAAATATATCTGAACATGGTAGCCAGATAACTGCGTCAAGTGACTCCTTTGCCTGGATCTGACAGCTCTACTGAGTGTTGTTTTCCTCAAAGATTAATATTTTTATATAAAAGGCTGATGAGATTGGTCTCTGTATCCAGTCATACGCTACACACAAGATCTTCTCAACTCCACTTAATTATCAATTTATATGAGAGATGTTTTAGATGAGTCAAGACAATTCAAGAGANTTTTTTTGAAAAGGTTTCACTTTGCAAAGAAAGAAAGATAATTCTAGTGCCACTGATTTCTTTCGTTCTTTCCATCTATCTAGCTATAGCTATAAACTATTATTTGTACAGTGCTGGAAAGGCCTACCTGCAAGCTTGTAGCAGTTGAACGGTTGGTGGGAAGATTTCAGCAAGTGTACCATAACAAGGGATGGCTACAGCATTGTAGAAGCCGACCTGGACGAAGAAAAAACAGATGACTACTTTGAACAATTACAAAAGTACAAATGATGTGAGGGTTTATCTTTGCCACATAGAAAAGCTAATTTCCAAATTATGTAAAAGATATTAAAAACGTATTATGGAGAAATGTACATATTGATCAACTATTCCAGATCATTGTAATCCAAAATCATTCTTTCAAGTGCAAAGGACAACATAGTCCAGTATAGGGCAAATTGTGTATAGACATTAATGCTCAGTGTATAATATTATCCAATCTAGTATTATTTGAAATACTGTTTAAAATCTCCCAAATAACAGGAACAAGTTGAACAAATTTCGCAACTCCATTCAGACCTACCATTTGGGGTCATTAAACCTGTCATAGAAGGGCTCAATGGCATTAATTGAATTTGAGATGCAAGCAAAATCCAGAAGTAAAAAGACTATTTGACTCAAGATTCTGAAAGCACAACTGGAGGATATTCATTTAAAATTAACAAGACTTGAGATTTGACTTTTCTTCTTCACAAAAGAGTGAATACATGAAAGGATGTTGCATCATATCCTTAAAAAAACTGAATATGTATTGGGAACAGCACTGGAAGAGGTAGACAAGTACTTCATGGGGTCGGGGGAGTGGAATCTTAAGAGGCTAGCAGCTCAGAAATAAATAGTGAATAAGATGGATGAATTTTCTGAGTTTTTTTTTGCTCAAAGATTATCTACGTAAAATATTCCCTTAAGGAACTGAGCAGATGGGATTCAGTTAATGAATGGATGGGTTATGTGTGGACGGTGGAAGGAGGTAGCAATATAGGTTTTCTCATTCCATGTCATCTATGATAGTTCTTGGATAGTACCCTGGAATTATCATGCTCCTCCCCCAATACTCTCCCTTGCTTGATAAGCATAATTTTCTAAAGAGGCTCAGTCACAGACACACTCTCAACCCAATTGTTTATTAATGGCTATTTACTTGGCCTTGAGGGACTTCATCTCTTTTGGCCCTGTCCATCATAGGAATGGGTTGGATTCCAATCTTCTTCATCTCATCACCCTATGTAAAGAAAAGAATCAAGAATAAGTTAGTAGATCTCACCACTCATCACAATTACTTTTCCACTAGAATAGACAATCACATTGGTTCAAGCAAATGTACAAGTTGAAAATACTAAACAGAAAACCACACTAAAATGTCTAAAGATGTTTCAGCAATATAAAATTAGAAAGAACCAAAATTAGCTCTTCCAAAAACTCCATGAGACTTTCAGTCACAGAACCTCAAAATATTACTTGCGAATATTACTCTCATCAGAAATGAAGTTCAGAATTTTTGATTTCAAATGTTGATTGACTTGTTGTGGATTTACAGCATTGACTCCAGATTCCTGGTTTGTCTTGTTTTATTTCGATTTATTTAGCCTAAATGTTTGTTTGCAATAGGTTCTTGTTCAAGAGAGCTTGCAAAAACTCTGTGTGCAACAAAGACACAAGAACATACTGATCAATTAGCGATGGGTCTATGGATTCAGTTCTCCAGCCTTCAGAATACTGTTTGTCAAAAGTGTGAACTAGTTTATGCAAAACCAAGGTTAAACTTGGCGGATTTCTACAGCAATTGTGTTGCCACCTTCACATTACAATCTGCTTTAAAAAACAAATTAGAACAGATATCTATCTACCTCTGTCCAGAATTCAGCATAAATATCATTGGCTGTTGTCTTGGTAACTGGCCATAACTTTGTGACGGAACAGAGATCACAAGCTGTCATCATTAGACCAATGACTCTGTCTCTGTGGGAGGAAAAGCAAAAGTTAAAAACAAATAATTATACAATGCTGGAGATTCATTATTTTTCATTGATACTGCTAAGCTGTACACTTTTCAACTTAAGAAACTTCTTGCGTTTGATTTATGTCACTATTGATTCATATTGAACTTAGTAGGAATGATGCCTTTTAAAGTTCTCCATAAAGGTTATGCTGGTAAAGAAGTCATCGGGCTTAAAAATGAGACATTTTGCAAACCATAAGTCACTGTGCTAACTGGAATCTACATTTTATAACAAATTCAGTAGTAAATTTGCAAAAAAAAATGCAATCCTGTGAGTTTGCAAAGCCCATTTTGTAGCTATTTTGCTCGTCAGATATTAATGCTGTTTTCTTAGCTGAGCAATGCCTCGTAAAATCCGACAAAGATCAAACAACAGAACACCGGCCGCACGGGCTTTGTCGACATTTGGGATCACAACTTTGTTGTGCAATTGATAACAAATCACACAACATCCATGATAAAATGTAAATCACTGGCAATTACTGCTTTGTGAATGCCATATTTTCCACCCCATGGTGACAGTAAGAATTAATAGCCACATGATATATTTTTTGTTCGCTCACAAAAATGTAACAAACACATCACTTTACAGTGAAGCACTTTGAGATGACCTCCCAATGTGAAAAGCACTATATCAAATGTAAGAATGTTTTTGTTGTTTAATATTGGTGTGACTAACATAGGTTGACATAATAATTAAGAAGCTCTTTTACAAGAAAATATTTAATTTCCCAAGCAAATAGATCATTCAATGAAAGATAAACATGAGCATAATAAACTAACACTATAATATTGGGGGAGGGGGGAGAAATATACAATGTGTGATAATCATCGCCAGTGTTAATTTCCACAAGGAAAAAAAATAAGTGATTGTTTTCATCCTATCAATGTCAGATTTGGGGCTGAACCATCAACTCTAGCTGTTCAGAAAAATCTTGAATTGAACCTTGGGGCAGTCTGGATTTCACACTTTGTCAGGTAAATTTATATTAAAAAAATTTCAGAAGAATTAATTTTTTGCTAAGTGAAAAATCAAAACCTGACACGGGGTTAATTCAGTTCTGAAAATGCTGAGGGAAGTTGTTGGTGCTGTTAGTGAAGCGAGGGGAGGGGGTGTTTAATAATAATAATCCTTGCATTTGATATAATAATAATCCTTGCATTTGATAGTGCCTTATCACGTCTTTAAGGCTTCTCAAAGCAATTAACAGAATATACTCTAAAGTGAATTGACTGTATATTTTGTGGGGGTTTAGCTTTAAAATCTGACGTTAAGGACAGGACATTTATTCTGTCCTTGTGATGATTATCAGATCACATACCACACATTCTTCCCCTCCAATAATTTCAATTAAAATGAAGACATCTACCTGTGTGACTGATTGTTGAGATCCAATGACCTGGTGCGAAGCAGCTCCTCCAACTGCTTTCTGTTCCCAAAATATAGTGCTAGATCAGTGGCGATGATGGCTTTCCGAATGATCTCCAGGACCTGTTCATATTCATCGGAGGTCAGATTGGAGAAAATATTATGCCCTTCCAACTGGGGGAAAGAAAAATCAATAAACAGTACAGATACTAGTTTTGCCACTTTTATCAAAATGACAAATGTATCCATCCCTTTGCTGCTCATGCTTCACTTGGAGCAGGTGGATTTGGTTCATACGGGCCTGGAAGGAGAAGTTAAGGTAAATGCTGTGAGAATGTATAGGTATAAGTCAATCTGCAGACATGCATCCACTCTTTCGGGGAAAAACAAAATCCTTTTTGGTGAGGAAAACCTATTTTTGTTTGTTAAGGATAGAAATTCAGATTGAAAACAATTTCACATTTTGAACCAAACGTTAGCATTGAGCATTCAAAAGTCAGATCTCACATGGATCACATGCAGATGATACACTGCACAAATCTTAATTTCAATCCCGAAAGGCATACCTGATGCTGTGCTGTATAATATTAACCACACCAGCCACCCATTCTGTGTGACACGATTAAATTTGTGTCAATTACCACCAAATTGTGAGTGTTTTTATATTGTGATCCAACATCCATCAGTCTGTCCAAACTGATTTCACTTAGAAGCCTTGTAGACTAAGCTGTCATCAGTTTAAGCTGTATTCAAACCCAGGAATCCAAATGCAAGGTGTTTAACCGACTTGATAACTTTTAAGAGAGAAGTAGATAACTATTTGGGGAGGACACGTTTGCAGGGCTATGGGGAGAGAGCAGAAGAGTGTGATTGATTTGGATAGCTCTTTTCAAAGAGCCGGCAGACACGATGGGCTGAGTGGCCTCCTTTTGTGCTGTATAATTCTATGATAAGTTTGTATGCAACCACAAGTCCTCTATATGCAGGTCTTCAACTAAAACAAAATTCAACTAAATCCAAATCTTGAGAATACTGTGGTAGATAAGGCTACAGCAGCTCGATTTCTATGATAATGTCATGTAACACCTGAAAACAACATTGCATTGAATTCATCAACATCTGGCAGGTATATAACACCTTTCATGTAGGATAATCATCTTGAAGCACTTAACAAATAAGACAGGAACAACGAGTGGGGAGGAAGTGGTGAATGAAGGATGTTGACCAAAAAATTGGGTTGTAGAGTAATTGATATTTAGAACATTCAATTCCTGTCTGATAGAACTATTGAAAATATTGTTAAACTTATTAGTCACTGTCCATGTGAAAAATATTCACAGGCAATGAGTACGTCATGGCAGATTCATCAAACAAATTGATTAACAATATTTTTTGTCTGAGTGGGAGAGACAAAGGTCAAAGGACTGTCAGAAAAAGAACAACAGCAAGATTCCATTTATAGAGCACCTTTCACGTTGGGAGGACGTCCAAAGGCGCTGGACAGTTGGGTCAGGACCCGAGCAGGGGGGAAAATGGTGAGGGGAGGGAAGGGAGGGAGCGAGGAGGGGATAGAGGAGTCCTGTAGCTCAGTGGTTAGAGCACTCGCTTTGCAAGTGAGAGACCTGAGTTCAATTCCAGGCACAGGGCGAAACCTTGGGCAAGTTTCCTTACTCCACACGCCTAATAATAATCCCTCCAAAAAAAACCCAAAACAATAATTAAATTGGTCATTTTCAATCTACGACTGTTTGTGGGACATTGCTGTGCGCAATTGGCTGCCGCGTTCGCCCACAAATATACAGTCAATTCACTTTACAGTGTGTTCTGTGAAGCGCTTTGGGACGTCCTCCTGACGTGAAAAGCGCTATATCAAATGCAAGGATTATTATTATTATTATATTATAGAGAGTCGAGAGGGGAGCTGAAGGCACGGTCAAAGAGAAAGGTGTTGAGACCGGCCTTGAAGGAGGAAAGGAGGAAGCAAGGCAAAGGCACTGGGGATGGAGTTCCAGAGCCTAGGGGCTGAGAGGCTGAGGATAATCAAAAATATCAGACACAGCGTACCCAAATAACTAAAAGAATCAGTTTGGCAAAGACGAGAATATAGGAAAAGGAAAGCAGAGAAAAGGAAACATCATCAGCCAAGAACTTATTACATTTTTCACCTCAGAGGAGCTAGAAACAGAATAAAGGATTTAAATGGTAAACTTAAAAATAACCAATGGTAACAAAAATAAAGCAACAACAAAAACAAATTACATTTGTATAGCGCCTTTCACGTTAGGAAAAGAGGCTCCATATTTTTTCTTACTTTCCCAAATACACTACCTATTATTTTAATGAGTTACTTATTTTAGACAGCCAGTTTCAGTGCATTTGATGGTTTTGATTTGGGGAAACAACTGGTCACCAATAAACTTATTAGAGTTTACTTCTCCAAAATATTTCAACAGAGTGAAGCTTGGGCTGTTTTTAAACTAGCTGGGATCAATTTGTTACTCATTAATAATAATCCCTCCAAAAAAACCAAAAAACAATAATAAATTGGTCATTTTCAATCCATGACTGTTTGTGGGACACTGCTGTGCGCAATTGGCTGCCGCGTTCGCCCACAAATATACAGTCAATTCACTTTACAGTATATTCTATGAAGTGCTTTGGGACATCTAGAAGACCTGAAAAGCGCTATATCAAAATGCAAGGATTATTATTATTACTTCTACTTCTGGTTGGTGTGAGACTTCAGTTACCGGTAGAAGGTTACGGTTTGTATTAACACCTATCGTTACGAATATTGTATTAAATGTGCACACAATACAAGTGCATGTAATGTTCTCCTTAAATTAGGAATGAGGAAAGTTTGACCTCCGATCACTTGCACTGATATGCTGTATGACGTGTCACTCCTTGGACAATCCAACAAGAGACATATTTAAACATCACGAAAGGGACTCAATTGGCTAAGCCTCCTTCATATAGACCTTACTGGAGAAATTTGGCAATCTAGGGAAAGCATGAATGCAGGGGCAGACTGGCTGTATGGGAAATTTCATACGTGCCCCTGTGAATGGTTCCCGAATGTTCCAATACCGACCATTCCAGATCTCAACATCTGGGTCAGTAACAGCTCAGACCAACCAATCACTACCCATAGCCAGCCCTCCCTGCTGAGTGACAGCTACAATAGTCAATTACAGTTTGGATCCCACCATCTAGCCCCGACAATGTTTTTAAACACACAGAGGTTTGAATCGGCGCCCCCCCTCCATTTTACCTGAAAATCCTGAACCATTTCAGGGAGCCACTCCGCTGCTATATCAATGCAATAATTTCAAAAATTGGAATGTTAAAATATAAATTGAAGCAGTATATAATCTGATATTTACATTGGTACCCAGCGTAGTTCGGTAAAGGGTTGTAATATGCGTATTGTTAGTCAATTGCAGATCGCTTTCCAAGGGTAATAATCCCTTTCCCCCCCCAAAATTATAATTTAGTCACTCAATCCACGACTGTTTGTAGCACACTGCTGTGCTCAATTGGCTGCCACATTTCAGCCGCAAAATGCACAATCAATTCACTTTACAATATATCCTGTGAAGGTCATTGAGACGTCTCAATGACATGATAAGGTGCCACATCAAATGCAAGCATTATTATTATTCGTTTGGGGTTGAACAATCTGATCCTTCAGAAACTGAAGTATGTAGACACACAGCACAGCTGTTGGTGAAGTGGGATTTCATTATGAGTACAATTTCAGATTGATGGAGTGAATGTTGACTCACAAAAATCAGTACAACATAGGAGGCCATTCAGCCTCTTCCCCTGTCCTCCTCCCCATTAGAGCTATCTCCTCGAATCCCTTCCCAAGCTTGTTCCCTACAACATTTAATATTTCCTTAAGTATTTATCTAATTAATTCTCAAGTAAGCTTGCTTTGCTGTGAATTCTTTATCAGATAAACTCAGGTATATATCAAGTGCAATGTCTATTATTGTGATAACCATAACAAGGTGACACATAACGATGCCATCAGAGCTCAGATTACACAGTTTGGTTATTCCTCACATCTAGTCAATGTAGCTTAACTTCTAAAATCATGTGTCTGATAATCTTACCTGCAAGATAGATACTGTTTGGGAGAAGTGATGCTGCTCCATTGTGGAGGTAGAATACAGTGCAGCCAGAGGGTGGTCAAACTTCTGCAGATAGCTGTTACTGTAACCTCTGTGATCTAGGTCATGACACAGACAAGCCACGAGGAGACCTTTCCTCTATAAACGCAAAAGATGAGAGAACATCAGAAAAAGTAAAAGCTTTGCCCTCTTCTCTAATTGGTGTGTGTGGGGAATTCATCCTACACAGCAGTACAACTCCAGTGCAGCCATCTGTACTTGCATTAAAAAAAACTTGCAAACATTTATTGTTAAGGGTTAGCATTTTTGTTTCTGACTTTTGGTTTTTATTACCGATGTTTTAATTTATTGGTGGCACTTATTAAGGAATTGTAGAGGGTGAAATAATTGAATTAATCTTGATGCAGATAAAGAGCTTCAGTTACTCTGCCTTTCTGTACTGTTGGGCTATGTTAACTCCCAAGACACTCTCTGGATTATATCCTGCACATTCATAGTTTAAAATAAATAAAAATTAAACAAAGAGACGGAAATAATCAAAGTGTTGAACTGTGATGATTTGATACAGCTGCAGTAAAGACAATGTAATACTAAAGCTATTTTTGTAAGACATAGTTGTGCTTATTCCTTTTAGTTTACTGCAGTTTTATTTTCCAAACACAATACAAAAACATCAAAATGTAAAAGCCTCCTCATCCCAGGTATTACCCTAATTTCTTTTAAATTCACCATCTTCTGACCTAGAGGCAAGATCCTCATATGGGAGGATCACAAGCAGTTACTACATTAGCCCACCACGCTGAACGCAGATGTTCATCAAATAGTTGATGAGGAAGCTTTTGCGATGACAGCTGCTGGAAGGATTTACTTGAAGTCTGGGTTTATGAACACCGGCTCATGTACCGGTATCTTCCTTGATTCATATACAGAGAGGGAAGCAGCTACTGCTGAAGCTCCTCACTTCCAATTGATGAGGTTTGTATTTAAGTTAATTTGATTCCCATTAGACAAATGATATGGACTTCACACTTTGCACAAAGCATATGCATAACAATGAACTGATTTTAGACCACAAAATATACAGTCAATTCACTTTACAGTATATTCTGTGAAGCGCTTTGAGACATCTCGAAGATGTGATAAGGCACTATATCAAATGCAAAGATTATTATCATTACTCTACTTGCATAAATCATCTCAAGTGCAAAAATATTGGTTTTACTTTTCCAAGACTGAAATAATAGTCTCCAGTGTTTACACACCTGAGTAATGACATATAACCTGTCATATTCTCAGCTTCTCATATTGCATCTTTTTGTTTAAAATAAATCACAAATAAGGGCAGTTTAGTTCAAATTTAAGGCCCTGCACTCGTCACATCCATTGAGATGTTTATTGCTTCAGTTAGGAGGACAGAACATTTCTGAGGTTATATCAGTACTAACATTTTCCAATGAGTGGCCAGCAGGCGGCAATCTTTAGCCAGTTTTTCACCTCCCTGAAATTCAAAGCTCTTTCACATAGTACTTCAATGTAATGGTCTGTGGGCAAAACCAACATAAGGGCAGAGAAATACAAATGCCAGGTGTTGCTGGAATTCAGGCCCCCCCCTTGATCAGGAGTCAATCATTTTACCCAATACTGAGATTGCTCAGGACATTCGAGCAAAATGAGTATTAATAATAATAATTCTTGTGTTTGATATAGCGCCTTATCACATTGTTGAGACGTCCCAAAGTATATCACAGGATAGACTGTAAAGTAGATTGACTGTGTATTTTGTGGGCAAAATGCGGCAGCCAATTTCATACAGCAATGTCCAACAAACAGCCACGGAATGAGTGACCAATTTTATTTGGGGGATTGTTGGCCAAGACACCAGGGGAAAGAATCTCCCTTCTCTTTTTGAATAGCAGGATCTTTAACATCCACTTGAGCAGGCAGATGGGACTTCGGTTTAACGTCTCATCTGAAGGACGGCACCTCCGACAATGCAACATCCCCCCAGCATTGCATTGGAATATTAGTTGAACCCACAGCCTTCTGACTCAGAGGTGAGAGGGTGAGCTAGGCTGAGTATTGATGCAACATTTGAGGTTTCTTCTCTGTTGCGTAATGGTCTATGTGAGGTTACGTTTAGGTCACGTTGAGCACAGTGTGCTCCCAGAATGGGATTTCCACTTGTCAAAGCACATGGGCAGATGCTAAACCACAGAGCTGACAAGGAGCTACAGAGAGTTGTTGACAAGATAACTAATACCTAGACACTGTGATCAATTTAACAGTAAAATTCTCACAGTTCTTGTTGTATTTCTAACTCGGTGACCCACTTGCACTAATGGTTGTATTTCTAAATCAGCAGGTTAGGAGGAAACTGAAGCAAAGAGCTTCTAAGTTATTGGTTATTAATCCTAAAATCAAGTGAAACAGACTGGACAAATGCACAGCCTATAATGTTTAGAATGCCAAAGCCATGGAGCTGGAAATTTAAACAAGAACAAAAGTTACAGAATGTAATTGCTTTGTTTGCATCTGCTTTTAATTGTAATTCTTGATAATGACGGTATTACTTGGTAGTCATTCAAGATGCACTTTATTTATTATTTTCCAGCATATATGAACCATAAATTCAGTCATAACATTAATGGAGTTAATGATGTTACCTCATTAACATCAATAATGACTTAACATCATTAACTGTTAGTGACGACAGTTAATTATATTAACTCATTAACTGTCATCATTAAGTTATGTTGCTCTCCAAATACCTTTCAACCAGACTACCTGATCCATAGTGTTTGAAATGGCTTAATTCCCCCACCAGCCCCCTAACAACTCCTATGTCAGCTTGGATTACTCAAAACAACAGCACTTTCTCCAGCAATGTGTCTTGTCAGCCAAGCATCTGATTTTTGTTCAACGCTTTTTCAAGAACATAGACTCCGCATAACGTCTTCCAACAGCTGTTGTTTGAAATCTCTGAGTTTCCTCATCAGCTATTCAAGCTGTACCTTTCCCATCGGATATTTTTTCAGCTTGTGGTAAGTGTTGATTGATACAGCATTAACTACTTTACCAGGGAGTCTGTTGCACAGGTCTTCAACAGATCTCTGGGAAAAGGCAAAACATTCTTCTAATCTCTAGTCGCACTTGAAGTTGTTAATCCTGTACTCCTTCAGCATGGTGGGATAACCTTTACACACAACAGCTTGTAATGCGCCATCCATTTGAATGTTCTAGAGTTCCAATGCCACGTACTAGGCTTACAGCCTAATCCAGGTTCTCGTGTGAACCTTTCAGCCTCTCTGCCTCCACACTCTGGAACTACATCCCACTGTCCCTTCGACTCGCTTCCTCCCTTACCTCCTTCAAGGCTGGTCTCAAGATCCTTCTCTTCGACCATGCCTTTGGTCGGCCTCTCACCTCTCTGCCTTCCCTCACCCCTATACCAATCCTCCGCAATGCTCGGGCCCCGATACCTGACTGTTCAGCGCTTTGGGACGTCCTTCCGACGTGAAAGGCGCTCTACAAATGTAATTTTGTTGTTGTTGTTGAAGAATTTTGGCAAATGCCTGCCATGAAGCTAACTTTCGTCCAAAGTGACATTAACTCTTTCAATNAAAAAAAGCAAAATACTGCAGATGCTGAAATCTGAAATAAAAACAGAAGTCACTGGGAACAGCAACAGGTCAGCCTGCTGGTTGTTTTTAACTCTTTTAATGTTGGGCCCCCAAAAGTTCTACCCACATATACAATAAATATTCACCTATCTACCAGATGCTATGTACAATTTATCCTGTGGTGGCCTCCATTTTATTTTTTAAAAGTTCCCTAAAGAAGGTTTGTGATATTTCCCCCCAAAACACAAAAGTAATTGAACAGAACACCACAATACCTATTCAACCTGACCAGCTACATCACTCTGATACTGATTGTTACTTTCTACAATTTATATTTCTTCACACAGGGCACACGGAAGCTATTCTTTCTCATAAAGCATTTATTGTATTAAAATATCCTTCAGCAATTGCCCTTTTAACCTTCAATACCTTTCCCATCAGATATTTTTTCCATCTTGTGATAAAAGTGTTCATTAATACAGCATTAACCACTTTACCATCTGTTGCACAGATCTGCAGCTCTGGGGAATGAACAAAATATTCTTCTAATCTCTAGTCTCACTTGAGTTATTAATCCTGTACTCCTGCAGTAAACCCAAATTAAATTGTCAGCATTATCTATGCTTCATGATTTCAAAGAACTGGATAGTTCTAGAGATCAATGAAGTACCTCGCTTTTTGCAATAATTCAATCCAAAATAAAGCTGAACCAGTCTTAAAATTAAATTCTGTTCTTCAGTTACTTTAAGAAACAGTCAGTGGTAAAACGTTGGGAATAAATTCCACTTGTGAGCCATGCTGATAGAAATCACTTGGAATTGTAATACTTGGGATTATCTTCATATAAGTAAATCTTTGAAGGTGGCAGGACAGGTAGATAAAGCTGTTAAAAAAAGCATACGGGATATGAGGCTTTATAAATAGGGGCACAGAATACAAAAGTCGGGAAGTTATGATGAACCTTTATAAAACACTGGTTAGGCCTCAACTGTGTTCAGTTCTGGGCAACACACTTGAGGAAGGATGTCAAGGCACAAAGAGTGCAAAGGAGATTTACCAGATTGGTACCAGGAATGAGGGACTTCAGTTATCAGGAGAGGCTAGAGAAGCTATGATTGTTCTCCTTGGAGCAGAGAAGGTTAAGAGGAGACTGAATAGAAGTTTTCAAAATTATGAGGGGATTCGATAGGGTGAACAAGGAAAACTATTTCCACTGGTGGGTGAGTCGGTAACCAGAGGACACCAATTTAAAATAGATGTTAAAACAAACAGGTGGGAGGTGAGGAGAATTTTTTTCACACAGTGACTTGTTCGGATCTGGAATGCGTTGCCTGAAACAGTGGTGGAAGCCGATTCGATAACAACTTTTAAGAGAGAAGTAGATAATTATTTGGGGAGGACAAGTTTGCAGGGCCATGGAGAGAGAGCCGGGGAGTGGGATTGATTTGGATAGCTCTTTTCAAAGAGCCGGCACAGACATGATGGGCTTCCTTCTATGCTGTATAATAAATTGGTCATTTTCAATCTACGACTGTTTGTGGGACATTGCTGTGTGCAATTGGCTGCCGCGTTCGCCCACAAATATACAGTCAATTCACTAGAAGACATGAACAGCGCTATATCAAATGCAAGGATTATTATTATATTATTATGATCCCTCTCTTTTAATGGTTTCCTATTTAATGGGTTATTATCAAATGTGCAATAAGGGCAATAAAGATTTGAACAGAAATTAGTGATATTGGTCATATGGATCACTGTTAATAATCGTGTTGGGAAAGTGTGGAGCACTAGTGCTATATTGTGTCAGGTATTTAGTAGATACCACTCCATTATTTATTTTCATCTTGAGTGTCAATTGGCTTTTAAAATAAATTTACAAATACTTTAAAGCATACTCTCTCAGTGGTTGCATTTCCAAGTCTGTGGTTCAGAATGATGAGAAAAGCCTATTCCCTTACCTCCAACTCTGTGAATGGTCCCTGGATTTTTTGCAGGATGGCATACATACAATGTGCCACAGTGACTGCGTGCTTCCAGTTGTGGTAGGGTACACGGCGGTAATTTTTCCTCACCGACATTGTGAAGCGACACAGCTTCTCCAGTTCAAAACTAAAAAGGTGGAAGACACAGAGGAAAAAGACAGCCAGTTAAACAGACTAGAAAAGCCATTTGCCCCAGATAATGGAACGATGTTCCATTTGTATAGCACCTTTCACGTCGAGAAGATTTCCCAAGGTACTGGAGATGAAGGCCGAGGGGGTGGGGAAGGATAGCCGAAAGTGTGGTCAATGTTATCACCTTTGTAACTTATTAAAATTGCGAAATATATTTTGTTTTAATGAACAAGGTGATGAATTTGCCAGGTGCTTGTTTTCCCTTATATTTGAGGAGTCTATCTCAGAGGAAGTTCTGAAGGTTCATTGATACAAAGCTTCACCAACAACTATAGCTTAACAGGAGGTAGCCAGGACTTGGTTATGTAACTTGGTCTGCAATGAGACTTGCTGCAATTTCCAACAGCAGTACTACTTCAGCACACATTATACCTTAGAGATATTTGACAAGTAATAAACAATGATTGATCCTCAGCCCTTGTAATAAGTCAAATTTTGCTACAGAAAGAACAAGGTTTTTTTGGGCTGTACCTGCTTTTTCCACAGGAGTTGTGGACCATATAGACAAATATAGCTGGCCAGAGGTCCTCATAAGGGCTGATATCAAAGTGGTATCTAGGATAAAATGAGAATTGAAATAGAAAGTGAGTAGACAAACATTCTTTTTCCGAAACCATATCACAGACATTGACCTTATATTAAGCAACTATTTGGAACAGTGATGAAGTTCATTTACTTGATATTCAATATTTATTAAACCTTTAGTCACTATTCCCATATTCTCTGAACTCCCTCCAAAATCTATATTGCACCTTCTCTCAGTTCCCAAAACTATTCTAGAAACATACCCCTCCAACTATGGTTTAGGTTCACCTCTCTCCTACAGCCCTCACTTTTCATCTTGCTTTGAGTGCCACATGGTCCGTGTAAAACTCTTCAAATTGTTAACCTATAAAAAAGGCACTATAGATACAAGAAGCTACTGCAACAAATGAAGCTAGATGTGAATGTCATGTTACCACCCTCCCAACCATCGTTCTTAATGGTGACATCTGTGTGGTTGTGTGGCATTGGTTTACCAACTTGTGAATTGTGCATTTGACTGGTAGAGATGAGGACTCATTTAACAAACAGCTTGGTGCTGCAAATGAAAAGATATTCTTTTAGGATAAGTTTAAATAGGCTGAAGGGTCTTCTTCATGGAAATCTCTGTTGTGATAAGATACAAAAGCAGGGTGTTTGGCCATCTAGCCTTCTTCTTAATAACCTTAAAATCCTTGCATTTGACATAGCACAGAAACGTCTGAAAGCACTGTACAGGTATTTTCCAATAAACAACTTTCATTTACATAGAGTCCATCACACAAGGTTGCACCTGACTGCTTACTCAAATGCACTGACTATGAATTTGTAGCTAATCTATGCACAACAAGATTCTCACAAATAGTCATAATGAATGATCAATTTAAGTTTATTGACCAGGACATAAGGAGAAACTCCATTCTCTTTTTCTGAATCCTGTGGTGGTTTCTTTAATGTCCTTGTAAACGGGCCAAAAGACACTTTATTAATATCTCAACTTCCAACAATGCAGTGCTCACCCATACACTTTGACCTATTACAAAATTATTGCATCTCCTTACAGAAAAATCCTCAAATACTCCCTGACCACTAAAGGTAACCAAATAAACCATCTATCTATTTCCACACCTACATCATTCAATGCTGGCCAACTTCACTCTACACAAGGTACCTTATCTCAGGCCCAAAAATACAGCAACTCCTGTGTCCCATTCAGTCAGTCAATTGACTGCAATCATTTTCGACATTGTTTAAAAGATGCAAGACCTTCCCACTCAGCACTTCCTAAAAATGTGAACATTCCTGAATCCATCATCTACTTAGATGGTGGATTAAAGACAACTCACAATTCAATTTCTTTACAAAGGGGTTGAGGAAGTGTACATCTCATGAGGTTCTGCCATTCCTCAGCTGTGCAAACACTGTGATAGGCCAGTTTCTCCAGTGTGACACGGTAAATACACTCCGAATGTCGGATTCTGTGGTACATCTGATACACAAATGAGAACAGGGAGAGGGAATTATGTACACATCTATTTTACATCTACTTTTTTGGAAAATGTTGCAGGCATTACTACACTTTATGCTACTTACATTTGCACAGTGTAAGGCCAAAGCACAGAACACTGCAAACATTTTAAAGTTGTTCTCATCTGTTTTAGTGAAGGCACTTCCACTTATTTTGTTCACCATCTGTACAACCCCGATGACTGCCCCTCGGCTGACAATGGGCATACATAGAATGTTTCGTGTTGTGTACCCGGTATACAGGTCCACTTCTCTAGAAGAAAAAAAAGCATGTATGTATATACTAATACAACAACAACTTGCATTTATGTAGCGTCCCGGAGTGCTTAACAGTGGCAGAGTCTGACACCAAGCCGGGTGGGGGAGAAGGAGGTGACCGTATGCATGATCAAAATGGAAGGTCTTTAGACGGGATTTGAAAGTGAGGAGAAAGGAGCAAGATTGAGAGTGTGTGTTACAGAGTTTCAGGGCGTATTGTCTGAAGATATGGCTTCTGATGGTGGAGTGGAGGGGACAAGGGTCAAACAGGAGGCTGGAGCCGGCCGAGCAGAGGCAGCAGGTGGTGGAGTCGGGGGTAAGCAGATCGAATAGGTAGGGAGGTGCGAGAGAATGAAGGGATTTGAAAACGAGTGAGAAGATCTTGAAATCGATCCGTTTGGTAATTGGAAGCCAGTGGAGCCTGGCAAGGACTGGTGTGATGGCCATTTATCTATTACAGATAAATGACAAACATAAAGAAGAGTAAATAAGTCAGACATTTGAGAACTTAATACACCAACTTTGCTTTTTGACAATTTTTATATTTTAAAAAGCAAAACTGCTAATTACTGCTCGAAGGGCTGCAAACTTAAAATCTTTCTTAAGGGTTTGGGCCTGAATTGATCTTGGCAACACTGCTCTAATCCAGCACAGCGAGCAATCTGCCAGCAAAGCCTTGGTTTGCATCTCCAGTTTGGTGCGGTTGGGAGAATCTGTCTGAATGCAATATTTAAGTACAGCTAACATCTGAGTTACTGCAAAGCATTTTACTGTATTTTATTATATTTTACGTGTGTATTACCTGTTGAATCGAGGGTCTGCATAGGCATCAGGAATGTTAAGAACTTCTCCTGTTCGTGCTACCTGCCCAGCAATTCCTTTCTCAATAGAAAACCTGGTCAACAGAAGAGAATCTGTTACATTGGTCCGTTGAAGCATTTTAGTTCAGTGCCCCAAACCATACTTAAAATGTCATTATTTTCATAACCTACCACTTACATTTACACAGTGTAAGGCCAAACCACAGAACACCTCAAACATTTTAAAGTTGTTCTTGTCTGTTTTAGTGAAGGCACTTCCACATATTTTGTTCACCATCATAATAATAATCTTAAGGATTATTATTGTTATTATTAACCCAAATTAGCAAATGTTTAGCCTATACTTGACTTGCAGTCTTAAACTTAACTGATAAGAAAGACACAGAATAAAGTTCTGACCTATGGTTTTTGTTTCCATATTTCATTACAATAGAACAGTAATAGAAACAACAGACCTATACGACTCATAGCTTGAGAAAAATAATTAACCTGCAATGGAAGTATGAATGTTTATTTTTCAACATTGAACTCTTACTTAATTCTCCACAATTTTGGAGGAATTTTGCATTCCCTTGATACTTAAGTTGCTAATCTGCTGATTTCTCTAAATATAGCAAATCTGTTATTGTCCATGTACTGTATAAATAACTAATAACAATTGTTATAATAATGACATTTCATTACAGTTATTTATACATGGACAAAACTTATTCACTAAACTTAGTAAATGGAGCAGAATAGCTGGGGAGTTGTTGTCATTTGGAGAAGGCAGTAGAATAACTCCTCCTCATGTGCAAGTGATATTATGATGCTAAAATAGGCACTCAATACCTGATCTCTTTGGTTTTCCTAAAGACCGGTTTTCCTTCGTTCTCCTCACCAATGTCAAACAAGTCTGAGTATAGCTCTTTGTTCTTGTGGTCAACTTGAAAGAGTGCACAGCGATCAGCATCCACCAGGTTTTTTGCATATATCTTGGGGAAAACAAATTTATACAGATGATCAATTGGGAGATGAAAACAAAGGTGATAGAATGGAAAATATTCAGTGTTTGTTTGCTGGGAAAGACTGAGAAGTAGCAATTTCAAAACAGAACCACAGCATTAAAGTTGGCGATAAAAGAAGTTCCTGTTTTTTTTAAAAACAAACCTTTTCTAGCAAGGATTTTCCTATTTTGTGATAGAAAAAGCTGAAATAAGTACTAATTGAGTTTATTTTAAGATAACATTTCAGACATTATCATTGATGTTTCAACAATTGTTGCCACCATCGCAAAGCTGGCATATATGGTGGGACTACATTGCAAAATTGACAAAGGTTTAGTAATTACTGAATCCTGGGTGTGTTGCGGTCATCATTCCAGAAAACAACTCTGACTTAATTGAAATTAAAAATAAGAGTCTCCACAGTCAGAAACTTACCATTATATGTTCAAGTAAGGAATCTATTGCCACTATATTATCAAAGTAGGTTCTGTAAGAAAGGAGAACAAGTTGAAACCTAATCAGCCGCAACATTCCGATTCTTATCCATGCTGTCAGTGTTGATTTTTATTCTTGCTAAAGGAAAATGCTTCATTTCCATAAAACAAGTAACAATAATAATCCTTGCATTTGATATAGCACTTTTTCACATCTTCTAGATGTCTCAAAGCAGTTCACAGAGTATGTAAAGTGAGTTGACTGTATATTTGTGGGCGAAACACAGCAGCCAATTGCACAGAGCAGTGTCCCACAAACAGCTCGTGGATTGAATTGACTAATTATTTTCTTGCTTTTTTTTTCTTGAGGGATTATTATTAGGCATGTGGAGTAAGGAAACTTGCCCAAGATTTCGTACTGTTGCCTTACATACCACCTATTGGGTGAAATACTGCAGACATGGATTACTTATTGTGTTAAATAGAAATGAGAAACATCAACTCAGCATGAAACAAGAATTGCTCTTACTCAGAAATTACAATCACAATTCATGGCATTTATTTGAAAGTTTTTTTTTCTGGTACAAAGGTTGGCAAAGTTTGTGGCTAATTCATCAGTGCAGAAAGAGTCGGAAGAAACCATACTGGGTTCCCATACTGGGTTCATCATTGCATTTGGTATAGTGCCTTTCATGCCAGGAGGATGTCTTAAAGTGCTTCACAGGATACACTTTAAAGTGTAGTGACTGTAATTTGAAGGTAGTACACTAACTGCGCAAATTTCATCAATCAGTGTGTTGTAACTTGGTTGAATATCATCTCCTCAATCAATTTACTGGACTCCTGATGCAGGAGGATGTGAAAGTGTGGAGCACTTACTTGGATACATCCAGCAGAAAGTCATTGAGCTCGGTTTGTTTGGCAAGACCTCTGCATACCTGCAAAAGCAGATGTTATAGAATGAAGATACGGAAACAAAAAGACCCTCGTTTTCCAAATTGTCTAATGAAATGACAGAAGGGAATTAGTGCTTACTGAAGCGTTACAAAAAAAATTATTTGTACTATTCCATCAACTTGTAGTCCATTTTTGTTTATAAAAAAAGTCCGGATCAGGTGGCATGGAATGCTGACAAACAAAAATCCAGAATTGTATTGTTTGGCACAAAAGCGGTTGTTGTTGCAAATTGGGTAATACCATACAATGGGATACATTTTCCATTTACGTAGTGCATTTCACGTCAAGAGGACGTGTCAAAGCACTTATCATTGCTGGATGGGTGCCTGAGATAGAGGTGGGAGCTGAGCGGGTGAGGAGGGGAAAGGTGAATAAATGCACGGTCAAAGAGGTATGTTTTGTGATCTGCCTTCAGGTAAGAAACACTAATTTCACACTTTTTAAAAACAACAGTTTTCATTTTTTTATTGAAATAAACCTGAATGTGCTATTACTCATTAGTCACGATATTAACGGCTGGTTTGGAGCTTGGTAAGGACACAATTGGTTCATTATTCCATAAACAGGATGTGTGCTGTCTAAGTATTAATTTTCAGGGAGGAGAATTTGAATTATTTTCCTCATTCGTTTCATATCCTTTTTGATACTGACACGTTGCTGTATGAGTCATTCCACACACTAATATATTTCCCTAAAAATTATAAAATAATGGAAAAATTACTTGTTTTTATATAAACAGCCTTGATTTTATTTCTTAAAAACATACAGGAAATATCTTAGGTACTAGAGACCTCCAGAAAATAAACCATTTTGTTTTGTAACCAACTCACTCTGGAGTTATGAGCTAAGTACTATACAACTTGCCTAGGTTATTTTCGGACATGTATCCTACATCACACGTTCAAACTACTTGCCTCCATAGGATTGAAGAAAGCAAGTTGCTCACTGAGCCACAACCTTTTGAGCACCCCTGCAAGTTTTAAATACTTCCTAAGTAAGTTCTACCTGGACTTGATGCATTGCAACCGATGCCCATGCTAAATTCGCAGTTGCAATCTGCAACAGAGAAAGAAAAAGGTTGAAATATAATGGGAGTACAAGAGGACAACCTAGAATTGCATTAATCAGCTCACAATAATTTAATTTTTTTTTTCACGCAAATGTTGCAAGGTTGCTTTATGTTTAGCAGTTCCAGGAAAATAATTATCACTATTCAAGGTATCATCAGATACCTAGCGATTGTCTGCATACATATTTTATGATCAATAAGAGGCACATTGGCTAAACGCCGCATGTTCACCATCAGTTTGGAACCTTGATGAGTTAATGAGACCTCCTGGTAAACTTGGACCCACCTTCTGATGGTTAATGCTAAAAGGATCCTTGCCCCATTGTCGATGCAGCTCCAAGATACCTATCAAATCACCGAGTGCAGTCACTATTGGTAAACAAAGGACAGATTGGATCCTAGTTCCTGAGTCCAGCCCTATTCCTTTGGGAAACCGTTCATCCTGGAAGAAGGAAAGTGGAACAAGAGAATATTTAATTGATTTTTACACAAAACAAACACCAATAAGATCAAAAGTCTCATGTACCACAGATGTATATAGGCAGTATTCATCAGATTGTTACTTTTTTTTGTATCAGTAATGAACCATTCAATGTGCTGCCAGTTATCTACAAGATGTCAGCTTGCTTCTGTCTAAAGCTTGGCGGGGGGGGGGGGGGGGGGGGTCAAGTCGAAACTTGAGCTCATAGGCCAGACTGGCACTTCACTTAGCATTGGGAAGGTACTGCATTGTTTGAGGTCTCGACCTTTGGATGAGACTTTACATCTAGGTACATCTGTCTGTTCTACTGTACATTGAAGATCGCAAGATCCCATGGAGATTCTTCCAGTGTCCTAGACACCAAACCTCCAGATAAATAACTATTGGTTTCTTAATTTGTCTAAAATTGATAGGCGTGCATGGCGCAAATACACTTGCTTGCAGTTGATGGCATTTACCTGTGAAGCATTTTGAGATGTTTTGACATTTTGGGTGCTTTATCAAATGCAATGATTATTATTCTACAGCACAATGAATCTCACACATGCATTATAAGTACATGCAAAGCACTCCTAATCATGAGTTACCCTGAAATTATAACATACCAGTGTGTTAACTATACATGCAATTGAATAATTGTTTACTCAATATCTAACATGCTTGTTCTTTTGTTGAAAATATATATTTATTGATAAATATATTTGGTACAACAGAAATCCAAAACAAACACGTTACAATTTTTCCCTTTCTCCCGATACAAAACCATTCCATTGTTTATGGTACATTCCTTCACCATATATAGGTTGTGCACACGTTTTTTGGGACACTTTCTTTAAAGCAGTTGGGAGTCGCCCCTGTGTACACCATATTCATGACTTGTACCCATGTTTTAACTCTACTTGTAAAACTCCTAGCAGTACTCGAACACTACTTTTAACACATCCCCAGCCTCGTGTTAACCTTACACTTTACATGTTCAGGTAACAAAAGATTTTACATGTTCGGTAACAAAAGTTTTTTTTAAAATGGATTTCCTAAGGATTACTTAGTAACCTAACAGAAACAGATAAAGTATGTAATCTATAATCACCTAATCTAGTACAGACTAGACATCAAACAGCAACCTTGCTAATCAAATGGTGGTGCACTGACCTATCAAAGAAACCCAACATACAGTGACAATGGAAATAACAGATCCCGAGGACTAAAAAGTTACGATGCAATAAAAAGAAAGCATGAGAAAAAGGTTGTATCTTCCATGGTACCACAAACCATCTGACCAAATGGTGAGCCTTTTCTAAGAGCTTTTACATATTCAAACCTTTAACCAAATTAAAAACAATTCAAATGCACATTTCAAGGCATTTGAACACAATGGAAAGAAGCATAATGGCAAATGTAAAGTTTGCAAACATCTCCATATTAGTTTTACACAGAAAATAAAATTGACTTGTTATTTTACATTCTTACCCCAAATATGTCTTCTACTAACAACGTTTTCCTGAACTTAGCTACGTACGATGCTATTGTAGTGCCGTATCCAACTGGTCCAGCAGGAACAAGACGTTGGTGCTCGGCTCTGAGTCCCATTGGTGTAAACAAACACAGCGACTGGTGACAAAACAAATCAAACCTTGCTTATTAGAATCATCATACTTTTATTCTTCAGCAGGAATAACTACGTAATATAGTGCTTTTGATCCCACTAATACACTAGACGAGATTTAATGTTGTTATGGTCAATTTTAGGCCAAACACCAGTAAATACTTTTGTGTTGTGCACCACCAAAACAGCACATGGTCTACACTATTCAAAAGTGGTTTTACGGTCTTGAGGTTGCAAAAGAAAATATGCAATTTCCTACTTACTGAACACTTCCTCAAACATGTGAATATTTCAGGCTAGTGAAGGGTACTATATCCCAAAATCAGGCACTAACAGATCGCAGGAATTTTCAACAGAGGTATAAAACATTTTGTTCCTCAGCTCTCAAATTACAACAACTTGAATTTACACAACACCCTTCCTTCTGCCTCCTGGAGCACTGAACAATGGCATAGTTTGCCACCGAATACAGCAGACATCTTGATTTAAATCACTAATGTTTGGTATGTAATTTCAACCCATTGTAAATTGTTCCACAGAGTGGTATCACAGGCTTCACATAGAATTGAATGGGGAGAAGGCATTTCCAATTAGTGCAAGGGAATTTCAATATGTTGGCAGCCTGCTGTTATGAACTGAAGCTGTAACTCAATGCTTTGAGTAATGAGATGATGAGCAGCTCAAACCTTAGAAATGTAAGTGCTACTGGTCAAGTAGTTGGATGAACCTTCACATTTACTGCAATGGAATTGTGAACACATGGTATAAATAACTTAAGAGTAATAGGAAATAATGTAAGTAACTGCATAATATCTAACATGTACTTAGCAAAATCCAAAGGTGTAATTTTGTTAACTAAAACAAGAAGCACAAAACTGTTGGTCCAGATAATTCATATTTATTACTTTTCAAAGCTTAGGGTTAACAACCAAAAAAGAAAAAAATGGACTGAAAGAAGTCAAGCTTGTGATGACTTATCTAAGTTCAATGCCCCAATAATTGGGCTATATAAAGTATCAACATACACATTTTGTACAAGAATAGTTCCTTTAAATGCACTTTTCGATAAAGACTAAATAGAGCTGATCTTTAATAAAAACGTTAATATTTCATATTAATACAGAAGTGGAACAGTGCCAACTCAATGGAATTTATTTTATTAAAGGTTTCAAAAATTATATAAATTACACAAAGGTACAGTACATTCTGATATCACTGCAACAATTATAAAAAGCATATTGCTTTAATCATGTTTATATGATGGATATATATAAGGTGGGAATGTGTAATAAAAGCAGCAACAAGAGCCATTTAGACGTCCACATGACGTGAATAGCACCAAATGCAAGGATTATTATTATTTTCCAGCAGTGTATTTTGAACTCTACACGCAACATGACTTCGGATCATAGCTCTTTTCGGTTGATCCATTCTTGGGAGTACCTACATGCTTTCAGTCTGTCTTTGAACAAATGAGAACCAATGTTCATTTAATTTGATGTGTAGAGGTTCTGTGCAGCATACAGATCTGTGCATCAGACGTATTATATGCATCAGGCATGGCTTAATAATTTGAATTGCAGTTGCTTTCACAGTGGCCGTTTTAGACATATACAGTCTGTTACCATCTTGTCCTGTCATAATTTCCAATTGTGTTCATGGAATGAAAACTCTGATACAATGTCCACAAAAAGCATTGCTGAACAAAACAAAGAATGTTAATGGAACAAGGGTGTGTGCTGCAATTTTGCCAAATATAATTCTTCAGCATTCTTAGCTATTATCTAGGGAACTTTATCTAGAGAATCATGGAGAAATTAACCAACAATACACAGCTACAATATCTTTCATGCCCTCTGTCTGATTCCATGTTGAGGGCAAGATACAGCACTTAAGACAGTCATGCACTTTTCACAGACCTTGATCATCCGTCACAATATACCCTATCAATTCATAATGTGATATTTCTTTTCCTAGAGCTACAGATAAAATACATTTACAGGCATCCAAACATTATTATGTCTCTGATGATGGGATTTAATATGCAAAACTTTATAAAGATATTTGAAGTACATGATGCTCTGGAGAAACAGTGCAGGTCTTGTGGTTGTTCCCACCCTACCTCTGCGACCTCCTAACCCCCTACCAACCGCCCGCTCCCTCCACTCAGCCGGCTCTGGCCTGCTCCATGTCCCCCGACCTACCTGCCCCACCATTGGTGGGAGATCTACCTGCCCGTACCCTCCGTTCCTCTGGCTCCGGTCTGCTCCACATCCCCCACCCCAACCACCCTACCATCGGTGGCCGGGCCTTCAGCCTCTCAGCCCCTAGGCTCTGGAACTCTATCCCCCAGTGCCTTCGCCTTGCCTCCTCCCTTTCCTCCTTCAAGGCCGGTCTCAAGACCTTTCTCTTTGACCGTGCCTTCAGCTCCCCTCTCGACTCTCTACCCCCTCCTCACTCCCTCCCTTCTCTCCCCTCACCCTGACCATTTCCCCCCTGCTCGGGTCCTGACCCAACTGTGCAGCGCCTTGGGACGTCCTCCCGACATGAAAGGCGCTCTATAAATGGAATTTTGTTGTTGTTGAGAGCCTTCAGCCACTCTGCCCCCATCCTCTGGAATTCCATCCCCCAATCACTCCACCTCGCCTCCTCCTTAACCCCCTTCAAGTCCTGCCTCAAGACCCTCCTCTTCAACCATGCCATCGGCCACCCCCCATCCCCTCCGCTCCCCTCTCCCCCCCCGACCCCAGCTCGAGTCTGAAATGCTGTACACTGTCCAGTATCTTGGGAAGTCCTCCTGACGTGAAAGGCGCTATACAAATGTAATCTTGTTGCTGTTGTTCAGTGTTATTACGGTACAGATATGATTATTCAGTATTTCAATCCATAGCTGTTTGTGTGACACTGCTGTGCGCAATTAGCTGCCACGTTTCACCCACAAATATACAGTCAATACACTTTACAGTATATTCTTTGAAGCGCTTTGAGATGTCTAGAAGACGTGAAAAGCCCTATATCAAATGCAAGGATTATTATTATTATTTGTACAGTACAGATCTTGTCGTTCAGTATTAGTAATAGTCTGATGGAGTTTAACTACCTATAACTTCAAAGCTCACCATTGAGAACAATGTCTTGTAACCTCCTGTTGTTTATCCAGCTAGGAACACCCAACCCATTAGGGCTTCATCTTAAAAGGGGATTTAACAACAACAACAAATTACAATTGTATAGCGCCTTTCACATTGGGAGGACATCCCGAGGCGTTGGACAATCAGGGATTTGAACATGAGCGGGGGTGGGGAGTTGGGATCATGGGAGTGGAAGGCAGGGAGGATAGGGGTAGAATGGTGCCCGGTGGCGTGGTTAAAGAGGAGGTTCTTGAGATGTGCCTTGAAGTAGGCAAGGGAGGGAGCGAGGTGAAGGGATGTGGGATGGTGGAGCGGGCCGGAGCCTGCTGAGTAGAGGCAGCGGACAGGTTGATATGGGAGTAGCAGGTCACAAAGGTAGGAAGGAACAAGGCCGTGGAGGTCCTAGAAGGCGAGGCAGGCCAACAAGCAGGGAGTTGGCATAGTCGAGCCTAGATGTGATAAATGTGAGGATGAGGGTTTCGGCTACCTGAGGGGAGAGGCAGTAGTCCTGAGGATAACAGGCACCAACTGGGATAATCCTGCCTGCAGCGACTAGACTGCCTTTACAAGTCTTGTCGATTAGCTAAACTGGCTGATCTGTGATCAGCTTTGCCCAGTACTGTGAACCTGTCTGGCTCAGGAATTAGATCACCAAGCCCTGCACATAGATGAGGGAGGTATCTACTGCAGATTAATGTGGCAGCAGTAATCGGAATTCTTGTGAAGTATTCTGCCAGTGGAAAGATCAAAATGGTGGTTGGGAGCTGAGGAGAGGAATGATATGGGATGGGAGACATGACCCTGAGAATGAATTCTTGGGAACAGAGGAAAATGACGACACACAAATTGAAGTCATGGGTCTGGGGAGTGCAAGTCAGGAGAGTGTATGGTGCAAGTCAGGCTAATAGCATTCTGCTGTTTTGTGAGTCATTGGCAAGGCTCAGCTGGTGTAGTGGCAGTCTGGGGACTGAAGCACTACCTGGGGAGAAGAGTTAGAAGCCCTTTGGATTTCACCAGCTGCTCAGCAGAAAGAAAGGAGCAGCAAAATCATGAGGAATTAGAGCAGCAGGAAAAGCAAGACAACTGCTAAGGTACGATATCAAGTTTTCCAGTGAATTGTTGAAATTTAAGTTCTGTTGATTAAAGAGAGGTACGAATGATACACCCACAGATTAAAAACTAGATTGGATCAAAAGAAGACAATTGGAGAAATTGTTCAAATAATTATGAGATTTGGTTCTTTGTAGATAGCAGAACGTATATAATCAGTATAAGCAGTCTTTTAGTCCTTCTGATACAAATGAAGGTCATTTTTATTGGGCCAAATCATTGGTGCAGTAGATTTTCAGCCACAATCTCATTAATAAAGATCTTAGCGAAGGTACTAAAAACTCAAAATTGTGTGCAGGATAAGGGTAACCATAGACCAAGAAGTAAGAAGTAGTGTTCCACAGGGATCTGTATTAGGGTTTCCACTGTTCACCATGTACATGAATGATTTGGACTCAGATATAGGAGCTATGGTGCCGGAATTTAGATCAATGCAAATTCAGTTTACATTAATATAATGCCTTTCAAACAAAAGAAAGTCTCTTATGATTTTTTTACAGAAGTAAAGGATTAATTAGAACAACAACTTGCATTTATATAGCACCCTCCATACCAGGCGGCATCTCAGAGCTCTTATCAATGGAGGAGCCCAAGGCCGAGCCAGGGGGAGGGGGAAGTAAACTGTAGGCGCAGTCGAAAAGGAAAGTCTTCAGGCGCAACCTGAAGATGGGGAAGGAGGGAGCGAGGCAAAGGGGCTGAGGGAGGGAGTTCCAAAGTTTTGGGGCAGAGTGGCTGAAGGCACGGCCACGATGGTGGAACAGAGGATTTGGGGGCCGTGGAGGAGGCCGGACTCAGTAGAGTGGAGGCAGCGGGTACTGCTGTGGGGAGAGGAGGTTAGAGAGAGAGCGGGGTGCCAAGGAATGGAGGGATTTAAACACTAGAGTGAGGATCTTGAAGTCAATCTGCTCTGTGACAGGGAGCCAGTGGAGTTTGGCAAGGACTGGAGTAATTGGGTTGCAGAGTTTGGTGCGGGTGACAGAGTTTTGAATGAGATGAATTTTGTGAATAGTGGAGGAGGGGAGACCGGTGAGGAGGGCATTAGAGTAGTCCAACCGAGAGGTGACAAAGGCCTGGACAAGGGTTTTGGCAGCTTTTGGGGTGAGGTATTGTCGGAGACGGGCAATGTATCAAAGGTGGAAGAAAGCGGTGCTGGTCAGGGACTGGATATGGGGAGGAAGGATAACTGGGGAGCGAACCTGACTCCTAAGTAGCGCATGGGTTCAGTGAGTTTTAAGGACAGGTCGGGTAGGCTGAGAAGGTCAGAACTGTGGGACAGAAGACGTCAACGGGAGCCAAAGTGTATGGCTTCCGTCTAGTTGATGTTTAACTGCAGGAAATTTGCGCTAATCCAGCTCCTGATGTCCGACAGACAAGCTGACAGAACATCAGGGGCCTGGGGGGCGCAGCTGGAGGTGGAAAAGTAAGTTGAGTGTCATCCGCAAACATGTGGAAGTTAACCCCATGTGTGTGAATGACATAACCAAGAGGGAGCATATAGATGAGGAACAAGATTAATTAGAAATGAAATGAAATGGGGGCAAATGCAGCAGCTATTTACCATCAGTTTGATTTATAGAAGTGATCAACTCTAAAAGGTCAGGCAAATGCACTGAGAAACTACAGTAAAATTACAGAGGAACCTATTGGCACTGATCAGGCTGCACCCATCACAAAAGGAGTTCCTCACCAGTACCAAACTGAACAGACGAACATTAATCCAAATCAAATTATTTACCACACAGCATAATCTAAAACAAATTAGAGGTCTTGTGCATCATTGCTTCTGTGAATAGTTAAAATCAGAGCATAATTTAATCATGAATTGAATCAATGTCATCAATGTATGTGCATGGACCCTTTTTAGTAAAAATATTGTACTGAAAGAATTGCACTAAAGCATCATAAAACCTATACAAACATTCCAGCCTAAACTAATAACAATTAATATATTGGCCATTAGTCTGACGTCTTTTCAAATTTGATTACTTTTTATAAAAAGGACCAATAACACAGAATTAAAACTAAAGTCGAATAGTTTCCGACTTTGGTGACACGCCCATTTAATTAACAGCATAAAGGGAATGATTTTAGATACTATAAATCCAACCGAGATTGTGTTGAAAGAATGATGGAATTTACACCCGTGACTTGACAAATGTTATTGAACAAAGGCCATATGAGCGAAAACATCATCATTGTGGGATACTTGTATATAACTCCCAGTGGGCAACTTCAAAGCAGCATTTCTGAAGGCCTGAGAGCAAGAAGTCCACCCACTCCCTTGGTTAGGAATTATTCGAAGACCAAAAATAAAAGGGGGAGGGAGAAAGAAAAAAAAACATGAACTAATATCAAAGTATTCCTAAAACAAAATGGGGAAAAGAAAGATATATTGAACTGAAAAAGCATTAGTCACATTGAAGTCCTGGACATTAAGCCATCAATGTCATCTAAAGGTCATTTAGTTGATTAATTGTACCATGCCAATAACCAATCTGATTTATACATTATGTGTAAAAGGTTGCTCGCAGTAGTCACCAATACATATACACTCATTTTTGGGGATTTCACTGTCGTGCAATGGGGCAAATTACTCAAATGTCTCAACGTTTAAGGGGAAGCTATACTTTTCCACATGCACTCTAATCAATTTTTTAACTATAGAACATCTCAACAATTCACTGACCATAAGCATTCAAATACAACTTTTTCAAAATACTGATGAGCAACAATGTCATGGTAAATTCAAGCTTCGTTTTTTTGAATTAACTTTGATGTTCAATCATATTGTACTCACATTGTTGCATTCTCCCAGAAAATATAGTGCAAATCCATCAGCTTTGGTAGCTGTCAAAATAGTAACAAAAAGAGCGACTGTTATTGATGTGCTAATGGTGAAAATAATCAGAAGCAAGAGTTATAGCGGGGACATTTTGAATTGGTTTACAGATAAAAAGAACAAGACTGATATTTTTCCAAGTATAAAGCTTGTATTAAATGTTTTCAATTATACGAAAGTACAAATAAATACTCAACATATATTCAAGTCAAGGTTTATATTTAGGTCCAGGAATCAGACATTAGGGAAGGCCAGGATAGTAAAACTGCTTTACTAGTTAAAATTGGACAGATAAAATATTTTAACTGACAAGGCTTAAGGTACGCAAAAAACAAATCAGGAAGTTGTAATGAGTTTAGGTTGCTGTCAAGAGGTGAAAGGATGAATGCACCTCTTCAGGGTGCACATTGCCTCTAGCAACATAATAATAATAATCCTTGCAATCCACATAGTGCCTTATCACATCTTTGAGACGTCTCAAAGCGCTTCACAGAATATATTGTAAAGTTAATTGACTGTATATTTTGTGGGTGAAACATTAATACCACCTTGTTTAATTGCTAGTTTGCTAACCCCTTTTTAACAATAACAATATTTTACTAGAAAGGTTTGTTTTCCGTCAAAATAACTAATATTTGCTTTTGATAAAGCACCTTTAATATCAAAGCACATGATGATAATCCTTTTAAATGTAAAAATATATTTAAACACATGTAGTGGCTATTTTTATATATACGCAAATACAGCAACTGATCTACACCGTCAACATCCCACAAACAGCAATGAAATACATGACCAAATTTAATTTATCTGGACCTCATTTTAAATGAATTGATCAATATCTGCCTGAACCACCAGGATAGACAGAATTTCTGTTTAAGACCATAAGATGTAGGAGCAGGAGTAAGCCATTCTGCCCCTCGAGCCTGCCCCGCCATTTAATAAGATCATGGCTGATCTTCTAACCTAATTCCATTTACCCGCACTATCCCCATATCCCTTAATCCCTCTATCCTTTAGAAATCTATCAACCTCAGTCTTGAATATGTTCAAGGACTGAGCATCCACAGCCTTCTAGGGTAGAGAATTCCATAAATTCACTACTCCCTGAGTGAAGAAATGTTTCCTCAATTCAGTTCGTAAAGGCTGGCCCTTAATCTTGAGACTATGACTCCAAGTGTTAGATTCTCCAACCAGGTGAAACAGTCTCATGTCACGTACCCTGTCAAGACCCTTAAGAATCTTATAAGTCTCTATAAGATCACCTCTAATTCTTCTATATTCTAGAGAATATAGGCCTAGTTTACTCAACCTATCCTCGATGGTCAACCCCCTCATCCCAGGAACCAACCTAGTGAATCTGCACTGCACCCTTCTAAGGCGAGTATGTCCTTTCTTAAATAAGCAGACCAAAACTGCACACAATATTCTAGGTGCAGTCTCACCAAGGCTTTATACAACTGCAGCAAGACTTCCCTACTCTTGTACTCTAACCCTTTTGCAACGAACGCCAACATAATAATAATAATACTATAATAATAATCCTTGCATTTGATATAGCCCTTTTCACGTCTTCTAGACGTCCCAAAGCGCTTCACAGAATATACTGTAAAGTGAATTGGCTGTAAATTTGTGGGTAAACGCGGCAGCGCAATTGCGCACAGCAGTGTCCCACAAACAGTCATAGATTGAAAATGACCAATTTATTATTGTTTTGGGTTTTGGAGGGATTATTATTAGGTGTGTGGAGTAAGGAAACTTGCCCAAGGTTTCGCCCTCGGCCTGGAATTGAACTCAGGTCTCTCGCTTGCAAAGCGAGTGTTCTAACCACTGAGCTACAGGACTCCAAACATGGCATTAGCCTTCCTAGTTGCCTGCATACTAACTTTTTGTGACTGGTGTACAAGGACACCCAAATCCCTCTGAACACTAACACTACCTCTCTTTCCCTCTAAAAAATAATCCGCTTTTCTATTTTTACTACCTAGGTGAATAACTTCACACTTCCCCATTTTATACTCCACTTGCCCACTCACCTAGCCTATCTATTTCCCTTTGCATTCTTCTTGTGTCATCCTCACAGCTTACTCTCCCACCTAGCTCCGTATCGTCTGTGAATTTAGATAAGTTAAGTTCTATTTCCTCATATAAATCATTGATATAGACTGTAAATAACTGAGACCCAAGCATTGATTCTTGTGGCACTCCACTAGTTATATCCTGCCAATCTGAGAAGGAACCGTTTATCCCTACTCTCTTGTTTTGAACTCTGGAACTCTGGTTTTCTTCCTGTTAGCCACTCTCCAATCCATGCTAATATATTACCTTTAATTCCATGAGCTCCAATCTTATGCAACAGCCTTTTATGTGGCACCTTGTTGAATGCCTTCTGGAAATCCAAATACACAACATCTACTGGTTCCCCCCTATCTAACCTGTTTAATATCTCTTCCACAATCTTGGAAATTCTACTTCAGCAACAATGCCCAACTTGAAGTTTTCACTCGATACCCAAAATATTACCCAGTACTATTTCTCATACAACTCCCTCTTTTTGAGGAGGACGTCATTGTGGGCCAACAAGTTGTGGGTTCAAGCACTAAATTGGGTCTGAGATCTTAAGACTCGTCAGCAGCTGGGAGGGGAGTGGGGGCATTGTCAGAGGTACTGTCTTTCCAATGAAATGCTAACTTGTGATCTTATCTTCCAATTTGAAAAGGGTAGTTTCCCCTGATAAAGTGCATTGGCTGTGCAATTGGAGGCAAATGCGGCAGCTAATTTGCATATAGCAACGACCCACAAACAGCCATAAAGTGAATGACCAATTTTTATCTGGAGGTTATTGGTCAGGATACCAAAAGCATGCCTTTTACTTGTAGAATAAGCATTATGGAATGATTTAAATTGATTCAAATAGGCAGATGGGACCTTCATTTAACATCTCACCCAAACGACAGCACCTCGAACAATTCAGTGTTCCCCCAGCATTGTATTCACAAGGTAGACTATGAGCTCAAAGTCCTTACTTGGGGCTTAAATCCACAAAGTTCCAATCTAGAGGCAAGAGTGCTACCAAGTGAGCTAAGCAGACACCAGAGGACACACATTAAAATGAAGAGGCAGGAGTAAAGTCAAGGGAGACTGTACTGCAGCATGTACAGAGCTTAGGAATTACATCAGCAGCAACCAACCAGGATATGGGAACAACCGTGCTTCTTGGTCACTGCACACATGCTCAGCTCATAGGAAGTGAAGTCTCAGCAAGCTGATTTGGCTTTGTGCCTCGTTATATAACAGAACATTTGGGTTTGTGGTCCTGAAACAGTGCATTATAATGTGGTTCCTCTTATTACTTTTTTCTCACGTTTACCAGTTCCTTTTAAATTGCTTGAAAGAGACACAGCTTCAAAAGCCATGTTTGTGTGAACATTCCAGGTCTTGTGGGCATGGAACAGTACGCTCAGTCCATTCTCAAGTGCAAAAGGGAAAGGCAGAATGGATGCAGCATTAGTGAATAAAGGGTGAGGCAGTGCAATGAGAGCTGCTTCTTGCTAACGTCTCCACCAGTGCTGCACTCTTTATCACCAGCCTTCACCAGCATTAGTTTATTATCAGTAAGTTCATCAGAGTTTTGTTACTCACAAAGTCAATAAAAACATACAGCAGCATTTTACTAGAAGCAAAGAGATAAACATCTATTTATTTGGGAAATCATTGTTGTTTTGGTAGTTTTCATTCATCTATTCAAGAATGCCAGTAGGTGTAAGTAAAACTGAAAACCTTACAAAACAGTTTTTTGCAACAAATAAACAGTACTATATTGGTGTTTTAACAACAATTTTAAATCTATCTACTTATCAAAAAGAAGACTTCAGTATGCCCTGTACACTCAAGACAAATCTAACCTACAACAGTGCCCCTACATTCAGGATTTCACAAATCTAGTTCACTACCTGTTTTTATGATGTTACACAACTCGTATAAGAGTAGCTTGTTGTCACCACCAGTATCCAACCGCTGTTCCATGTAGGTGTTCAACTCATACACCACTGCTTGCATGTTACTGTCCTGATACTGCTAAGGAAATTGGAAGAATGTGTTACTTTTGGAAAAAAATATATGTTGTCTTCCTGAAAGAATTCACCTTTCATTCTCAAACTTTTATTTCTGTTCAGCTATTCAACACATGCAGAAATCCATCACAACAATTATCCAAATCAATATGAGTAACGAAAGCAAACTGATAGTTCCACATATGCATGAAAAAAATACTTTAAAAAAACTATATGAAATATAAAGTTGGCATATCCACAAATCTTACATTCAAAACAACAGAGAAGAGATTTCTGGTTAGAAGTTTAGCTTAATTGAGCTTAAGCAGTTCATGAAGTGACACACTGCATTCTTGTGCGATCATTTTGCACCTCTTGAGCTGGCAACCAATATGCAGCATAAAATGATTGCCACCTGCTGAATCTTGCATGACGTAAAAACTGTGTAAAGCTTTTTTAAAATCGATTAAAATTTGCTTAAAAAGTGTGGTTCATAATGCTGAGCTCTCTACTTGAATTCTCTCTCTATAAAAAGTCCAGTTGTAAAAGCCTGACAGAAATGGTTCCTGGTGCATTATGTATGAAATAATAGAAGTCTGGCAGCATCTCAATTGAGCAATTATGCTAACAGTGTAAACGGAAAGTGCAAAGCTTGAGCAATTGATCTTAAGCAGTTCATGAAATGTAGCAAAGCCTTGAGATTTAGGACAAATTCCTGCTTTAAAAACATTGCTGTAATCTTTGCAATCAATATTTTTCTTGCATAAAAATATGCACCAGAAATTGTCATGAAAGTAGGATTTGGGCAAATAGATAACAATGAATAATTGCACAAAATCTGAAAGTCTGTTGATCTAGTGATAGTATGACTAAAGTAGAACAAAGGGGTTGAGATAAGGTTGATAAATCTGCTTATTTGTGGCATTCTCTCAATGCTTGATGTGCAATTACAGACACTTCATACCATTATCCTAAGGCACATTATTCTACAGAATGGTGACAACATTCTTCATGAACCATTTTATTCACTCTTATTTTTACTTCTTTAAAAAGGCAGTTGGTTACAATTAAGCTCTCTCGTGCTTCTCACCATGTTCATGGATTTCAAGGATATTAATTAAATACTAATACAGGTTTCAACGATACTGCCTCTTTTTATACCACTCCTTCGTCTAAGTGAAGACACAAGGCGTTTTCATGGAATTTGCAAATTTGCAGTATTTAATAAGGTGTGGAATATCCTAATATATTTTATGCAAAACATTTTTATATCTTGCACTGACATAGCAGCTAAATCCTCTTGCCTTAACTGATCCGTGACAGGAGACGTGTTTGATTGTGCAATATAAATACAAGTTGAACAAGAATTTTCCTCACATTTCTAAACTACTTTTCAAAAATTTTTGTAGGAAAAATGTACAACGATTTGACAATATTTTTTTAGAATGAACAGTAGGATCCTTTCTTGCCTCTATTGCTCAAGTACTTAAAATGTTCTTAGTGCTTTTCGCTTTGGCTAATTAGGGGTTTAATTAATGTACTGCCTGGGATATAGAACTGTGCACATATCCTGCTTCTGTTTTCATTTACGTCAAGCCCTTAAGCCTCATGTAATTGGTCTGTACTGTTATACTCTGTTGGCCTGTGGTGTGCCCTCACATCTGCCCAGGGAAATATTTAGGACTTCATAGCTGGCCCTTGTGCAGCCATTGATTATACACCTGTGGCTCCAATTTGTTTCTGCTTTAATTTACTCAGATGCACAAAAGTTATGTCATGCAGTCAATTTATTGCAAGTCATTTTGGTGATAAAAACAATGCGACTATACTCTGACAGGCACATTTGTATCATTGTACTTACCCTACTGACATCCTTAAGATTTTCATCTGTGAAAACAAAGGCAACCAATTAAACAGACACCAAACGATATGGTTAAGAGGTTTCAAAAAAAAGTTGGTAATGTGTTCTTATGACACGTAAAATTTGCATCCACCAAGGGTTGACTTTGTCCATCTTTCATGAAAATAGGAGGTTCACCTCACAAACCAAAGACACAGACTTTTACTTGAAGTAAATAAGGCAAAAATAAGGTAAATAATGTAACTAAGGCAGAACAATAATGAAGAATTGATAGATTACTGATTAGATCTTGTCTGGTATACTTTTGATGTCCTTCCGATGTGAAAGGCGCTATACAAATGTAATCTTGTTGTTGCTTCTGGAGAGTAGCAGTTGATGATAATAATCTTTGCATTTGATGTAGCACTTCATCAAATGTTTCACACGTCACAAAGCATTTCACAGGATTTATTCCAGTATGTAGTGACTCTATGTTTTGTTGGACAATGCAGTAGCCAATTTGCGCACCAATAGCCAAGTCAATGACCAAATTTCTTTTCTCTCTGGGAGATTGTTGATCAGGACACCCAGGAACTCAGACACTTATCGAATAGTGTAATGAGATCTTTAACATCCACCCAACAGACAGATGGAACCTTACTTTATTGTCTCATCCAGAGAATGCCACCACTGTCAATGCAGTACATTCCCACCACTGGACCAGATCACCTAATCCAGATGTGGCCTTTGAAATCACAACCTTGTGACTCAGAAGTGAGAATATTACCAATTGAGCCAGACTGACAAATAAGTAGATAAATAGTAAAAAGAACTTGCACTTTTAAAGCACTTTATCTTGTTGAAAAGTTTAAAAACACTGCTCAGCCAATTAATGTGAAGTGTAGTGAACATAGGTAAGTATTGCAGCCATTTGTACCAGCAAGGCCCCTCAAAGGTGGGCAACCAATTATTCTGGAGGATTTGTCCAGTACTACCACCCTTCTGTTTTTGACTAGCGTCATGGGATGTAAAACAAACCCCTGCAAAAGAAGTTGATGTTCAGAAATTCCTTCATCAAAAATAAATTGAATAAGTGTAGAGTTTGGATCAAGAATCAAGGTTACATAGATGGACTAAAGCGATTAAATACTCTTTGGGACAGATATGTTTCTGTGCTGCTGAGGCCATGGGGTGGTGGTGTAAAGAGAGGACAGAATGTTCTCTGTGGTAAGATGGCAGGCCAAGATTCAATAACAGATGAATTTTTTTAATCACCATTGGGGATCAGGGAGTATTTTAGCATAAATCTCCAGCAGGAGATTTAGTGGGTGGGTGGAGTCCATAATGAGATTGATTGTAAATGATCTGTGGGAGAAGCGAGATTGATAGGTTGAATGGACCACAACAATTTTATATAGCACCTTTCACTGGCAGGATATTTCTAAGGTCTAAGGGCTTAAAAACTCCTCTTGCTCCTTGCTTTGGTCTGAATTTGTGTATTCTCCAATTGGTATAATCTGGCTCAGTTTGTAGCAGTGTTGCCTCTGGGTCAGCAGGTTAAGGTTCAAGTCACATGTCGGACTTGAGCTCATAATCCTGCTGGAATTATTGCAGCTGTATGCAAATTGTCGTTGAATCTATAAATATGCAAAATATTTAACGATGTATTTTTGATGTGTATAAAGGCATGAGACTATTCAAAAAGAAAAGAGAATTTCTCCTGGTGTGCTGGCCAACAATCCCCCAAATAAAATTGGTCACTCAATTCATGGCTGTTTGCTGTGTGCAAACTGGCTGCCGTGTTTGTTTACAAGACATAAGGTCACTTTACTGTAAAGTACATCCTGTGAAGTGCTTTGGAACGTGCTCCCGATGTGAAAGAAAGAATTCACTAAAGCAAATAATCAAGTCTTTCTATATATAATATAATGATAATACGGAATGTTATCTGTAATGTCTAGCAAAGTATTTATTTAGGAGACTAAATCAAGTATGCAGTTTCTATCCTATACCTTTTATCAAAAATCTGACTCAAGATTGAACAAAACAAAAAGACGGCTTTTGGAGGAAAATAATGTAAAGCTGTGCTGGTTTCTCAACTCTGAAAATCAATCTTCTGTCTGCGACAATGCAGACATTCATTGACCAGGCAAAGGGCTATTGAATCGTTACAACAAACTAGAGATCAGATCAATTGCTTACCAGAACTAGAAAGGGCTAGAACCTCAATCAAATAATTTCCCCACCTTATTTAATCCATTACAGGAGCATTGTATACTTTGACTGCAGAAGATAGATGATGTTATGTTGTTTTAATACCATTCTTTTAGACTTGCATCACTTAAATTTGGAAAGCTTATTTGGTTGTTAAGGTCCTAATAATAAAATTAAGGTCCTAATTTAGTGAATTACGTTTGGGTTAATTGTGCATAATGTGTCCCGTCAAGCTCATGTGATTAGAGATAGGATGTACTGAGAACTCTCACTGTGCTGTAGTCTGCAGTACTTTGGAGAACTGCTACTCTTGGTGAAATCATCCACAGACATGGGGTCAACTTCCACATGTATACGATTGACACCCAACTCTCTTTCTCTGCCTCTACTCTCAACGCCAGGACCACTGTTGTCCTGACAGAATGTCTGTCAGACATCAAGTCCTGGATGAGAGCTAACCTTCTACAGCTGAACGTCAACAAGGCCAAAGCCTTTCTGACGGGCTCCTGTCAGCGCTTCCAAACTAAGATGATTTTGATAAGTGTCTTGTACTTTTTAACTAATGTGATAGCTTTGCTGGAACTCCAAAATATCTAGCACTGAAGCCTATTAATCAGCTTTACTGTATAGCAGGCTTACAACAACATAAACAACAACAGTTTATAACAATAATCCTTGCATTTGATATAGTGCTTTTTCACATCTTCTAGACATCTCAAAGTGCTTCACAGAATATACTGTAAAGTGAATTGACAATATATTTGTGGGCACAACGCAGCAGCCAATTGCGCACAACAGTGTTCATCAAACATTCATGGATTGGTCAAATTATTATTGTTTCTTTTTTTTTCTTGAAGGATTATTATCAGGCGTGTGGAGTAAGGAAACTTGCCCAAGGTTTCTCCCTGCTGGGAATCAAACCCAGGTCCTCTCGCTTGCCAGGTGAGTGCTCTAACCATTGAGCTACAGAACTCCACAACAGCTTGCATTTATATAGTGCACTTCATGCAAAGTAGCACCTTGGAGCACTTAGTAACACATCCTGTTTACCTCGATTAGTGCATTGGCCATTTTCCAATGCCAGAATGTTTGAGATGATGCTTTGTGTTAGTATGTTCAGCACACTTGGGTTATTTGCATTGACAAAGGAAATCCAATTAAATAATAAAATAATAATTCTTGCATTTCATATTGCGCCATATCACGTCATCAAGATGTCTCAAAGCACTTCAAAGGTTATAGTGTAGAATAGATTGACTGTGCATTTTGTAGTGGGAGAAATGCGGCCCCGAATTTGCACACGACAATGTCACACAAACAGCCACGGAGTGAGTGACCACATTGTAAAACCACCATATGTATAAACTCAAATAAAATAAACTTCCTAGTCTGGTTCTTCATTTGTTATATAGGAAAATGGGAACAAGAGGAGGCCGTTCAGACCATCAAGTCTGTTCCACAAATTTAAAAGAATTTAACAAATTGTATAATCCCAATGCCCCACCCTTTTAATTCTTAATGTCTGCTCCAAGGAGAATGCCAATTGTACCCAGTTTCTCTTTGTTGTTGAGACTCATTAATCCAGGTATTAATCTAGTGAACCATTTCTGGGAACCTTCCAAAGATATATTCTTCTTAAGACTGGATGCTCAAAACGTAACAAAGAATTCCAAATGAGGTATGACCAACACTCTATAAAACTGGAGTAGCAATACCTTACTTTTACATTCCAGACTGCTTATGAAAAAGGCTATTAAATCTCATGTGCCTTGTTGAGAACTAGATTTTGATCTATGGACTTAAATTAATAATAATAATAATAATCTTTGCATTTGATATAGCGCTTTTCAAGGCGGGAGGACGTCCCAGCGCTTCACAGAACACACTGTAAAGTGAATTGACTGTATATTTGTGGGTGAACGCGGCAGCCAATTGCGCACAGCAATGTCCCACAAACAGTCATGTGGATTGAAAATGACCAATTTAATATTGTTTTTTGTTTTTTTGGAGGGATTACTATTAGGCGTGTGGAGTAAGGAAACTTGCCCAAGGTTTCGCCCTCGGCCTGGAATTGAACTCAGGTCTCTCGCTTGCAAAGTGAGTGCTCTAACCACTGAGCTACATGACTCCAAATTCCTAGATCTCTCTGCTCATCTGCCCCTCCTAGCACTTCGCCTTGCGTTGTATAAATATATTCAAATGCATTGCTCTCCTTTGGTTTACTGATGCATTTCGAAACACTTATCATTGAATGTTTCATTTTAGGTAAGAGAATGTTTAATCTATGTACGTTTTCCTACTTCAAAAACATAGTTTGGTTTGCTGAAACATCTTCTATAAACGTTGTGATTCAAGGTGGCATTTCACCTTTTTATTCATTAACCTGCATCATCAGGACATGATTGAAGATTGAGACATTTTTCTAAAAAATCAAGGATAATTTCCCACAACATGATAATGTCCAAGTTATTTGTATCTTATTTATATACTGCAGTTAGTTTTGATTAGTTCTGTTTCATGTTGAGTTGATATTAAATGTTCAATATAAATCAGATTTCAGGGGCACTGATTTGATTCTGAAACTGCTCCAGAACAGTTCAATGTATTGGCTGCAATATAAATCAAGTTTTAAGCAGTTCACTTCAAAGGAGCTTTGAAAGTTAAAACAATTGCTCAAAAGAGATGGTAAAACTCCCAGTTCTTTAAGAATATTAAAAAAAAGACTGCATATTCTCCGAACTCTGCTCGTGTGTTTTGTTATACTTGTGAAGAGCTCTCGTTCTCAGTCCCAGTTGAGAGCATATAAATGCTACCTTCCCACTTCTTTTTATTT